TCTCCTTTTCTTCGCTGTCTCGAGTACTGGTACATAACTAAAATTTATGAATCAAGATTCAAGATATGTTCATCATCTTTGGAGTGCCATTTAGAATCCAAATTTACAATCGATTAAGACTCTCTAATATTTGTTTATAATGATAGTATATACATACCAACTCTAATGGATGAGAGATACATCCTTATCTTCATGGATGAATTACATAGTAACAATATCCTTCAATAATAAAATATTTCTAACAGCAATACGTGTACGTTGAATAAGAAAAATAAAGGCACCCGAAAATATTTAGACACATTTAAACGAATAGATAAAACTTATGGATAAAAATAGAAGAAACAGTTTAATTAAAAGCTTAGAGCTCCTCCCTTCCTACTTCCTTTTCTTCTCCAGATTTAGCTGAACTAAGGAATTCCTTGATTCCATTGTCAAACTCTTGAAGCTTTTCTTCAATGTGGATTCTGGGTGCTATTTCCTTGTGCTTTTCCAACCACAATCTTGTTTTCTGGACATATTCAAGGGCATCCTTCTTGATATTCTCAGGAATTATTTCAGCAAATTTTGGATTCTCAGCTTGTGACAAGGCATATTCAAGCTTCTTAACCACTTCTCGTTTCTTCACAAGTTCTTGATTCTCCTCGCTATGGACTCTCTCTTCAAACCTTTCAATTTCTTCTGAAGTCATATTAGCAACAACTGAGCTAAAGTATGCATCTGCTGTTTTATCATTTTGCAAATCCACAGCTTTCACATAAATTTTCCCATGAGTATCAATTTCCAATGTAACACCAATTCTTGGAACACCACGAGGTTGATTTCCAGGGAGATCCAGCTCAATGTCTCCAATATAAATGTTATCCTTAAAGCTTTCCAACCCTCCCTGAGCAACACGGATCCTAACCTTTACCTGATTATCCTGTGCAGTAGTAAATTCTTTTGTTCCTGTTGCTGGAAGAAGAGCCCCTTTTGAAATGATAGCTTCGAAATGATCCTCTTCTGTACAAATCCCTAATGAGAGAGGAACACTGTCAGCAGTCACAATTTGCTCGGATTCACTTAGCATGCTGAGCTCATTGGCGGTGTACAAAGCTGCACCCCTAGCAACTATTGTGTCGGCATTAACACCTTCATAGTAAATCTTGTCTGCCCCAAAAATCTCTTCAACAATATCGATCACCTTAGGAATTCTTGTGGATCCTCCAACAAGTAGTACTCTGTTGATGAGATTCTTATCGTACCCCTTGTTCTCTTTTCCGTCTCCAGAAAGCAACAAATCCATGGTCTTTCTGATCTTGGAATAAAAGTCCTCGTTCAGCTTATTAAATTTCTCATTTGTGAGCTCCAAAGTAATGGACTTTTCGCCATCATAAATAAAGCTCTTACTAATAGAAGAGTTTGCTTTCCTTCCTGGCGACTTACGAACTTCATCACAGATGTCTCTCTTCATTTCCTCGACAAGATTCCTTAACCTAAGCTTAACATTCTGGTTTTCCATCACATCAAATCCCGTACTGCTTTTAATGTGGCTAGCAAAGTACTGTGTGAGATTGTCATTAACGTTCTCTCCTCCAAGGAAATTATTCCCTCCATAGTTTGGCACCATCATAAATCCTCCGGATGACTCCACAATAGAAACATCAAACGTACCCCCTCCAAGATCAAATACACAAATGTTCATATCATCGACCTCCTCTTTGGTTGTGATTCCTTTTCGGATAAGATCGTATGTATGAGCAAATGCTGCTGCAGATGGTTCCTTCCAAATCATAGGAGTTGGGAGCCCTGCCATCTCTGCTGCCTTCACAGTTGCTGCAACCTGGTTCAAATCAAAGTAAGCTGGAACAGTGATCGTTATCCCTTGAATCCTGTACTCCCTTAGAATTTGATCCTTCAACATGCGTAGAACATGGCTTGAAAGCTCCTCTGGTGTTACAGATTCATAACTCCCTAGATCATTTTCCTGGATTTTATATGCTACTCTCTTTTTTCCTCCAACACTCTCTACAAATATAGGCACAGATGCATTTCTTTTTATATCCTCAACCTTTTTGTCAATGTTTGCAAGATCCTCAATTCCCATTCCTCGCTTGAAGGCATAAAAATAAGTATTTGCATTTCCCTCGGCATTGTACATCTGCAGTCCTGGCCATCCAGCTATGGCTTCATACTTGGATTTATTCCCATCTCCTTCTGGTAGCTTCTTGAAGTATACAACCGATGGATATGTCTCTTCCCCACTAGGAGAGAGGACAAATTTTGTATCTTTTAAAGACGGGCTATATACAGATATGCAGCTGTAAGTAGTCCCCAGATCAATTCCAACAGCAACAGCCTCTCTTAAATCAGTACTTCCAGACGCATTACAGAAAATGGCAGTCAGCACCAACAACAAACTTCTAAATAGCATACCCTTGTCCATGAAGAAAAAATTTATATAAAATTCTTTCTAATTTTTACATGGTGAACCATCAAAAACAGGTGTGACTTCCATATTAGGAAGTTAACATCAAACAAATACATACTCTACCACTATAGGATAAAGCAAAGCCTTGGGTATCTCAAAGCATTATCTATGGATTTCGAACTAGCACAAATGTGCTCTGACAATTCAATGTATTTGGCTCCATAGATAAATCCATCTTCAAAAACATATGGCTGGTTGGTGTCATCCATTTCTTCTGAGTTTCCTTTACAGAGCAAAATACTTATCTCATGCTTGTTAAACGGAACATCCTCTCTTAATCTAAATGCTTTGCAGCATGTTGGACATTTATTATTCTCTGTGTTAATACATCTGTACGTCTTATATGCCATCATTCCGTATTCTATTCGTTGCATGAGCCTTGATTTAAGCCCTCTCCTAAACAACTTCAGTGCACATACTAGAAATTGCTCTGCTGTCTTAGTGTGTCTTGAAAAGGGATACTTTCTGAAGTTAGAATTCGATACAAGAACTGGTAGGTATGATTTTATCTGCTCTGGAACTCTCTTGAACTCTTTGTTGATAAACTCTAATGCCTTATCAAACTCTTGTCCATGGCACATTTCTATGAATTTTTCAACCTTCAGGTCGTTTTCTAGTGAAGCTGCTTCTTCGCATTTCATACTTTTAAGTTCCACTCTGTACTCTCTGCAAAACGATAAGGCCTCTTCAAATAGCCCGTTTTCTATCTGATTTTTGATCCCATAAACACGCTTGTAGAAATCAGCGTCAGAATAAGCTTCGATCGAAAATTTACTAGCCAGGGCTGAGGCAGTACCGAAGCATCCGATGTGCTCAAAATGTTCCATAATAAATACGTTGAGAGTATTTGTAGGTTCATTTCTAGATGCCATTATTCTTGTATTTCTTTTCATTTCATCGATGTTCGACCCTACTACTTCTTTGAGCTTTTCCAGCTTCTCCATATATTCTTCTTTGCTTATCTTTCTGCATCTATACATCTGAAAGAGCCTCTCCATAAGCTTGCATGTTGTCCTGAGAGTGCTTGATATCCTTGCCTTTTGAATTGTTGATAGATCCATCAAAACAATTTGCATTCTTTCAATATATACCTACAAAGGCTTGACATCAAACTCAAAGAACTAAAGTCAAACCATAATTGGAAATAGGTGTATTTATTAGTCTTGTCTCAAAACCTCAGGGAAGATCTCTATTATGCTCAAATTCTACCTTGTGCAACTTATTTGTTATTGAAAGATAAACGTTTCTATAAAGTATTCTCCCCATTTTCTTGTCCGCAAAGACCTCTCCGTCTTTTTTCCAACTTCCACCACTCTTTCTGTATCTACTGAGGATAGGGACTCCTTCACAAAGACTAGATGTTACTATGGTTTCTTTTTCTGCAAAAACCTCCATGACATTTGTATCATTGATCAATTTTTCTTCAATTGCTCCATCTTTCATTTCAAAGCTAAATATCCCACTCCCAGCTAGTGATATAAATAGTGTTCCTTCAGAAATCCTGAAAGATGTAATATCTTTATCTTCCAGTATCCATTCTCCGGACCTTACTCTGAATATTCCACATTGATCAAGCAAGAAGACTCCTCTTTTTGTTTCCTCAATCTGCCGAATGTTCTCGTTTTTAAGGCGCTTTGTAATCCCTGGCCCTGTTACTTCAATAAGACCCCCATCAAAGCGCAGAAAAAGTCTTCCCCTATCCAGTATGACATCTTCTGGGGTAGTCGATATTCCAATGCTTTCATACTTTCGGACGAATACCAACCCGTCATCCTCTATCCGATAAATGTTTGCTGTTGTTTTTCTATTTTTCCCTCCATATGATAATCTGACAATGTGTCCTGATGAATAAAAACAATTAGACCCTTTAAGGTAAGCTATTCTTTCCACATCCCCTTCTTCAAGACTATACATGAAAATATAGTTCTTTTTAACTGCAACTATAAGATTTTTCAAAGACTCCCTAGGGCATTCCCTCTTGAACACATAGGGTATATTGACCTTAGTTCTCTTCACATTATATTCAAAAATTTCCTTCCCGGGCATCTCTTCTTCAATATGTTCAAAGTCGTCAAGAGGTTTGCAGTACTCGAAGCTAGGAAGAGAAAAAATCTCTTTTTTAACATGGCCTGCTTTAGAGTCATATACCACCACACAGAATGATGTTAGAACATAAATGTTAGATCCATCCTGTACAAAATCCACAGGATATCCTTCAAATACCGTCAGAAACATTTTTTCGTCTCTCCTGGTCTCTATCCTAACAAGCTTTCTATCTTCACATACAACCAAGAGGCTTTCAAGTGAAGTTATTATAATTCTAACAATCGGCCGAGAGTGGTAATGATATGACAAACTTGTCTTTCCTTTCAAGAAATAGAGAATGTTCGCATCGTCTGCATATGCAATCACACCGTTTCGAACTGAAAGACATCTGATATTCACATCACAAAGAATTTCTTCACTGCATTTCTTTACAACGTCAAACCTAATCAGGTTTTTATTACTGCATATGTAGAAATATGCTTCATCCCAAAAATAAACTCCTGTTTGGAAGTCAAATAATATCTCCTGGTTTTCATCAATTCCTAAGCATCTATTCATCCTCCTTGCGAGATAGAACAATTGTCCATGATGTATATGAAAATCAAAAACTCCCTCATTCAGAACCTCGATCTCATGAATTGGTTCTTCAAATAAATCTTCATAGATTAACATCTTTTTCTTGGTCAGGAGGTAATATTTTCCATCAAACTCCTTGGCAGCCTTAAACTTGAAGAAATTTTTTCTTCTTACCACAGCAAAGCCTTCCTTTTGATACTCCTCAATAACATTTTCTCCTATCTTATAGAATACTTCACTACCGATAAATATCTTTCTGTTATTCCCATTCAGTATCATAAGGGCCATAAAAATTTCAAGTTTCTCCATAAAATCATGACTCTTTCCTTAAAAGCACTTCAAAGTCTCTGCTCCTTCGGTCTTGTGTTTCTTTCCAGATACCTTCGCAGGAAAGGTTGCTCTTTCAAGCTAACCACGTCTTCCACATACTTTTTGGCTATAATGAATTGAACACTCATTCTTGTTATTTCTGGGGACTCATAACCCTCAGTTCTCTCCAAGGTTTCATCAATAAGTTTTGCAAATCTAATGTCATTTTCAACAGACCCTTGGCTTAGCACAGCCAGTACCCTACTGATGGCCTCTTCCCTTATAATCTCTTCATATTCGTTTACCTTTTGCCTCAGCTGTCCCAATAGGCTCTTAATCTTTAGGTCTTCACATTCCAATATTATGTCCTCCTTTTCATTCATACTGTTGTTATAATCCCTAATTACTTTCTCAATTCCCTTGAGAATATTCAATCCGAGCTTGTTAATCAAATACATTACATCGCTTCTTATATTTTTGACACGATTACTATATTCACAAGCCTTTTGAAAGTTCAATAGCCTAACACCCATATTTACATTATTGTAAAGATGGGAGAGCAGCGTAGAAATCTGATCCTTACAATACACTATTTCCATACTTTCATTGCTACCTTTTCCTTTGGATCCAACTCTATCTCCAGAATCCTGTGTTTTTGAAGAGATAGCTTTTGTGTACCTAAGGTTTTGCTTCAATATCCATTCATGAAACTTTCGGAGTATCTTGCATATCTCCAATTCCATCCGGGCCTTCATCTCTTTATTCTTCATCTGATAATCAATATGTCGTTGTGAAAAAATTAGATCTCTTTGGACTCTACATCTATTTTCTATTTCCTTCTCAAGCCTAGCAACCTTGAGTGTCCTCTCGGTGTTTTCCAATACACTTCCAAGATATCTACCAAGATCCATGGCCAAATCTCATCGCTGTCTAACTTATTTCACTTGGTTTCAGAAGCCACAAATGGAATACAAGAGAGACAAAGGTCTTAAAAACATAATAGACACTGTTTGAGACAGAATAAAAATCATTCTTTATTCACTTTTGTCTTAAGAGATTTTTCATTGTGAGATCTCCCCAAGTCATATTCCTCACCAAACCTTCGATAATCCTCCTCAGAATAAAACTTCACAACAAACAGTTGGATTTTCTTTCTTTGAGCATCCACCTCGACCGTATCCTCGGTAGACATCCACATCCATCCATTACTAACCTTTCCGTGTGGCTGTGCTTTGAATCTTGGATTGATGAAATGATTGCATCCAAGCCTACCAATCTGGTCCCTAAATACTGTTATCTTAACAAGATTGCTCTTCGAATGCATTCCAATAATCATGGTCCCTTCAGCTCGTTCCTCAAGAGCCTTGGTCTCCTCAGAGAAATAATAGAGCTTACATCTAGCCTTAAATAGAACCTCGTCACTCTGGTTTTCCTCGAGATGTTTTCTTTGCTTCTCAACCACTTCAGTTACATCAATCTTATCCTTTTCCTCTCCTCCTTTGGTTTCGTCTTTTCGAGGTACTCCATTGGTTAGAAATGGGCTTTGATGTGCCTTCTTTGTTTCAACTTCTTTCTTGACGCTATCGGCAAGTCCCTCCTTTTCCATTCCACCGGGGACTTCTTCTTTTTGCTTTTTAGGGATGGTCTCTATCTTTTCATGCTCTCCTTTCTTTTCTACTTCTGCCATTAGACTTTGTTGAGGGAGGAATTTTGAGCAAAAAAATACATCGGATCTTAAACTAGAAATGATTTAATATGTTAGTGGCAGATTCCGCCAGAAAAAAGCGAGAAGTCTGTTGTCTTTAGGCGTATATCTCTTTTGAATCCATCTCTCCCATTATCAACCTCCTCAAATTCTACCATATCGTTCAGGGGAGACCCTGCCGTAATAAATAGGGCATTAGCAATGATGGACTCAATCTTCATAGGCTCGGTCTCCGTGAACGTTGCCACATCGTTTGAGCACTCGGGATACTTCCTTTGGATGACAAGAGGTGTCTTCTGCCCTGCTAGAATAAAGTCTTCACTATATCCTTCAGACTCGCAGGTATAGAGAAGAATTACTGATGCGCCTGGCTTGTCTCTAGCTGCTTGGACCAGGTCATATTGGAATCTGCTCGTATCCTTTCCACACTTGTCCAAATCAATTTCAGGAGATGTCATCCCACTAACACTCCAGTCAAAGTGGAATTTGCGCTTGTCTGTGCTTGCTCTGTCTGCATATACATGTTCATTCATCTTCAACTCCAACTCCTCTGCAACACTTCCCACAATGTCCTCAATGCTTCTACCTTTATCAAGAAATTTCTTTCGTCCAGCTTCAGAGATGTACACTTCTACTGGAACTCTCCTGACGCCTATTGCCTGCGAAGAAATTTCCAGGCCCATCAGAAGGATCAGGAAGTACTTATTGCCAAACATGTATTCCTCTAGAAAGAAGACTATTTATTTTCAAATCTGAAACTTACTTGAGGCAAGAGTGTTTCACGCCCACCTTAAACCTAAATGCAGGAAATCAAATGGACTCGCCTTCTCGTTAATAAATAGCAAAAGGCTGAAGCCTTATTTCAATTCCAAAATTTATAAGATCTTCATCCCACCATATTGTTAATTAGATGTATATCCTGAAACTTAAAGAAACAAGGCTAAAACTAAGTACCGATGGGATAAACAATGAAGATCCTTCTCTTGTCTCCATTTGTATTTGCACATGTGATCAATCTTGTTATTCTTTACGAGAAGACGGGGCTGAAAGAGGTCAAGGAAATGTATCATTATGTGGTTGAAAGGCTGTTAGACAAGTTCAACGAGCATCTTCAGAGGCGGGGTATAAGAATTAGCCTATTGGATTTCTTAGCATATGACGATTATCTAGTAAAGCCAGGATACCAGGACATATCAATAATGGGTGGTGAAGAAAGTCTTGATGCCAGAGTAGAAGCATTGAGCGGAATCCCTGCCAATGTCATTCTTGTGGCTTCTGCCAGCCCTGAAGAGGAACGAGAAAAGTTTATACCAAATTCACCATGTATGAGTCGTTTCATCAGCAATATGGTTTCTAGCGATATTGTTGATGACGAACTCCTAACAAAAATAATATATGCAGTTCTTGATTGGATGGGTGGCCTTTTCAAAATAGAAGTTCCGAGCCCTGTCAAAGAGAGAAACCCAGAGATTTTTGATAAGTTTGCAAAGGATGTAACAACTCCAGAATTCATAGAAAGTTTGAAACAATGCACAAAAGAAACAAGAGATAAGTTCGAGAAGTTCATCAGAGTGTTAAACTGGAATGAAGAGAAGATGTTCAGCCTAAGAATGATGTCTGGAAGGTTAGATTCTGGGCAAAGCGATGGAGTAGAAATATCAAGCCCTTTAAAGTGGGTTTTATCCAAATCAGAAAAGAAAGCTGAGGATACAAATTCCCAATCTCAACCTCCAAAAGAAATCAAACAGGAAAAAGACAATCCTGAGTCATCTTCAAACGAAGAAAGTTCTTCTGAAAAAAAGGAAAAGAATACCAATAAGAAACCATCAAGATCTCATGAACCTGAGATATCTTCCAAAAAGATAAAGAAAACCTCTCTAAAAAAGACGAACTCAGATAATCTTGTAGATCTAGAAGAATCCGAAAAGAAAGAGGAGATTGAGGAACATGAAAAAAGGAAAACCAACAACTCATTAGAATATTTAGATAAGATTAATAGCCTTCGAAACGATCAAAAACCAAGAGAAGAAGAAGCATTAATGGAAGAAAAAATTAGGGAGGAATTACAAAAGATCATCTCTCATGAGTCTCATAATTTAAAAAGAAGATTCGATGGGTATCCGGCATTGACTAGAATCCCTTCTTATAATGATGAGGAAGTTAGAGATGCACAGCCAAGAATTTTATTTCCAAGTAGGGCAACTCCGGTAAGAAATGCATCAAAAATTAATAGAGGGCTGTCATATGGGAAAATTCCATATAGAAGAGGTTACCCGTGATTAGATTTTCTTTGTGACCTTCAGTTATCTTACTAAAAATAGAATGTGATTCGACATACTTTATGATCTTTATATGACATGTTTGGAATATTCTTCCTTGTTTTAGCGCTTCTCATACATAATATCCGAAACAAAAACTGTGTAATAAATAAAGGAAATGATGATATGAGATTAAATAAATGAAGAGTAGGCCATTAGCATTTGTATGCTTTGTAATTACCATTAATGCAGGCTTTTTTGACTTGTTTAGTGGCTCCAGTAATAGCCAAAAGAGTAGCAGCAATGAAGAAGAAGAAAATAAGAATGTGGAACTTTCACAAGAACAACTTGTGAATAAAATAATGAGTGAGGTTGAAGATATTGATAAGAGCGTTTTACAACTAAACGATGAAGTTGAAAAAGAAAAAAAAGAAAAGCTCGATAGTGAGAGTCAAAAATTGCAAACGGCGTTATCATCCTGGAAACAACTTCAAGAAGCAGCTAAAAATGCTGAAAATGAAAAAAAGAAACAAAAGAAAAAAACTAATAGTATGAATGCTCTTAAAAAAGAAATTCCTCGTCATACAAATGCTATTAAGAAAAAAGTTGGTAAAGTCGTAAATGGCACGAATAATGAACAAGAAGGTGATGAAAGTGATGGAGGTGATGAAAGTGATGGAGATGGTAAAAGTGGTAGAGGTGGTAAAGGAAAAGTATTAAAAAAACTATTAGGGATAGGAAAGAGTAGTAAAAAAAGAAAAAGAAACCCCTCTTCGTCTAAGGGGAAAAGAAAAAAATTTAAGAGCAGTAAAAATGATAATTAAATAAAGAAGACATAATCAACCAAAAAATTATTAAGAATAATAAAGAAAGGCATAAGGAAGTCCAATAAGAACATATTGCTGTCTTACTTGAAAACATCGCGGGTCTCAATAAAATATTTGAAACAATGATATTCACTATTTCATACATATATTTGAAACACTAGAAATAAATGAGTTGGTCCAGCTAAGTAAATAAATGAGATGTTTACCTTATATAATCCTCTTTACATTTTCTAAAATGCATGGTATAAGTCTTTTCCATCAAAACGTTTTGCGGAAAGAAGATGTAAAAAATATGGCTTCAAGACTCAACTCTACGATAGATAATAAAAGGAGTAATCTTTTTGGAGATCGCAAGAAATTTCTTTCTTTCCTTAAAGAAGAAAAGGAAAGTAATGACAGTCAAGAAAGTGGCAAAAATGAGGAAAGTGGCAAAAATGAGGAAAGTGGCGAAGGTGAAGAAAGTGGTGATAATACTGTTAAGCGACTTTCAAAAGCATCACCATATCTTAAATTGGGAAATAATTTAGGGAAAACAGTATTTGGAAGAGGAGGCCTCTTAGGATAATCTAATAAAATATGAACTCATTGTTGATCCTTATTTTACAATCTCTAACATAAATAAATTGGTGATCTCAACATTGATCTTAGGCTAGATATAGGCACTATTGTAATCGCTGCAAGATTGACACATGTTTCAATTTTATCAGAAACCTAAAACAAGATGAGAATAAAATGAACAATTCGATGATAATCAAATGAAAAAAGGTCTTCTAGCACTCTGTGCATTTGCAATTTCCGATGCAAAAAGTCTTCATTTCCGTCACGAGAAACAGAGGAATGAGTTGCATAAGGCCAGCGGGCTTGGAGCTTCAAATCTAGTTTCTAAAAGCATGAGCAAGGGAAGCTTCTTACTACCGGTGTCTAACGTTAGGGGAAAGAAAAAAAGGCGCGAGAAAAAAAGAAAAGGCTCAAGTGAAAGTGAAAGCGAAAGCGAAAACGAAAGCGAAAGTAGTGAAGAGAACAAGAAAACGAGAAAGAAAAAGAAAAAGGGTAAGAAGAGTAAAAATAGAAGCTAAGGGGATTCTGATTGATAATGGAACCCAAGCATGTTTCTATTTGAATCAAATAAATATGGGAAAAGATCTAAAGGAGATATTAAACTTTTAAAGATTAGTTGAGTACATTCAAATGTTTATATTCTCTTAATTGAATAGTTATGTACGGGATGCATTCTGGATACTCCACCAAGAAAAATCACTAAATGAGTGATCTATAAATGGGATGGTCTTAGTAGATAGATATGGAAACATGCAGTCTACAAAATCGTTCATTGTCCTATATGTTCCAGATAGTGTCTTTACCAACTCTACGTATAATTCTCCCTTGTGATTGATCGTGAAAATTCTTGAAAGAGGGATTTCCAATGCTTTATAAGTTATCACATCAGTGATTTTGTTTCCAAACCCTGCAACGAATGGATTTGTATCTCCAAAAAGGCCCTGAATTGTTTTCAGACATGCTATCTTGAAGTCTTCTGGCCTTCTTATTATCAGTTCCCTATATAGTGCTGCAAATACACCGTCTGGTGATAAGATTACAGGCCCATCGGGGAGCTTATATCCGTCTTGGTATACACTCTTGAGATATGACTTTGTAGAGGACGATTGCCCCAGAGCCCTCGCAGTCAGATAAACTATTTTGTATCCATTTCTGACTATTTTTGTGTATAGTGAAGCCACGCCATGATGAGTCCAGTCCCTTCCTATCATACCATAAAGATGACCCCAAACATCACTCTTTGTTATTGTGCCATCAATATCTGAGACAATTATCTTGGCATCGTCCTTCCATAGGTATATATTCCCCTCCAGGTGCTTGTTCAGACCACTGATTTTAAAGATTGCTTGATTTTTCCCCTCTTTTAGGTTGAGCATCTTTAGTTCTTCAGAGTTCAGCTTCAAAGAAAAGGATACATCCCTTTTGATTATCTTTTTTGTCCCAAATATATTCCACCCAAGAAGTCTATTATGCTCATTTTCAAGGATCTTCATAATCTTCTTTGCCTTATTGATCCGAGACCCTTGGATTTCAAAGAATATTTTACAGAATATATCGTATGGTAAATAGAAACGGAAGTTACACTTCTTACATCCTTGGACCCTCACAACCAGGCTTTCTATATTTCTTATCTCTTGAACCAGGAAGGAGTTGAATGTATGATCCAAAGATTCCTGTATTTTTTTGTTGTAGCAAAGAGAAAATGATATGCTTGCTCCCATACACTCCTTGGTATTTCCGTCACAGATTTTGTCATTGAATGGTGGGTAAAGATGTAACCCGGCAATAAGATGAAGGACAGATCGATATTTTCCTATTAGGAAGTCGAAGTGCTCTGTGGAATTGATTAGATTCCCGAACTTGACGAATCTCTTTTCGAAATCATGGTATGAATCCTTATGGTCTCTTTGATGCAGAACCTGGCCATACATTCGCTTTTTAAGGTTCTCTGTCCTTTCTTTTCTTAAATACTTCTTGAATTCAATGTCTTCAATGTTGAGGTTCTTTTCTTTGTACTTCATTACAACATCGAAGTTCAATGTACTGAGATCAGAGCCATTTCCCAGTGAGAGCTGCTCCAACCTCTTGCTAAGAATTAGCTCATCGTCTGAGTCAAACATCGTGGAGAGTTTCTTGTTGTACTCGAGTATGATATCATAGTCCAATCCAAGGTCGTCCTCTGTGTCTTTTTCAAAGAACAACTCTCCCTGGCTTGTTATGGACATTGTTATATCGCACATTTTTCCATTGATGAATAGATGAACCGTCTGGTTATTGACTCCATAAAAGTAGAGCCTTCCAAACCGAAGTTGGAACTCCGTGCACCTCAGCTTTCCATCCTTGCCTTCAACAACAATAACATCATTGACCCCACTCAATGTTATTGGATTGATGTTGTTGTACAATCCGGAGACAGAAGTTATGAGTTTATGAACTATCCCCATATTCCAGGGTTTTCTTTTGCACTGATTTATCTCCCAATAAGATAGTACCCATTTCTCTCGGCAATAGTATCTCGCCACCTTCCTTGATGTATGGTACAATCTGCGTTTTCCTTTGTTAGGCCTTGCACGCATGTCTTTGCTTTTATTTCACAACCCATTGAATGGAAGAAGACGGACCAAGACTAGCCAAGATGAGGCAGGCTTACAAGCGGGCCATACAAGAAATTCTTAAGGAGAAGGAAAAAATAAAAGGGATCCTCACTGATCCGAATACTCTATGTGAGGATTCCTTTTTTATGGATAGCTCTAAGGCTGGAGAGACTCATCAAAGAGACCCGGAGGAAACGTCGAGTGCTATTGAGAACATTTTCCAGGGCCTTAGGTCAAAACTATCTGATGTCTTTAGGAAAAAGCTAGAGATGAATGACATTTCAAACAAGCTCAATCGGCTAGATAGGGATGTTCTTGAGGGAAGAACAAGCCTCAGAGATGTTACTTCCAAAGAGTATGTTAGGGAGATTTTTGAGTCATACCTTGTTAATACCAAAGTTGATTACATAGACTACATTGAGGAAACCAAAAGAGAAGCCCTGGAGAGGATAAGGGTGCTAAAGAACGAGCTTGAAAAAGCTACTGAGGAATTGGGGCTTCTGAAAAGAGAAAACACTCTTTGCAGAAATACCTATGATAATCTAATCAGTAGCTTCTCAAAGGCTGCAAGGAATAAGAATGGCCTATGAGTGAATGTTTCTTAAAAATTCATAACAATAAAATTTAGTTGAAGACCATTCCTATGCTTTTATCAGGATTTTTCATAGCCCACGGCATAACCTTCCGTCTAGAAAAACTACTTTCTTAATATATCTAACACTACCCTTTTGATATCATTGAAATTTTCATGAACTTTCACATTACAAAATACCACCAGCTTTTTTTTGGATCTTACTTTATTCTTCATTATCTCCTTCTTTAGCGCCTCATCGTACAGGTGAATTGTCTCTTCACATTGGCTCACATATATAAATATATGCGTATTTGTCTCAAGGATTTTTATGTCAGTATCAAGACCAGATATTTTGGTTGAAAAGTCCACATATGCAGACCTACCTTCTCCTCCATCCATCATACCTTTGAGATAATTTCTTTAATCTTCTGTGAATACATTTCATACATGGTTCTTAAGTTTCAACATAAAACCGACTCAGAACTAATGGACGAAATCATTGGTGCTTTACATACTTGACCTTCAACTTTTCCTGAGAATCGTTATCCTCCAGAAGATAGTATGGATATAGAAATATCATCCATCCAACAGTAAACAGAACAAGAAATGTTTCCACAATCACCCTCTGAACAGAATATAAGCCCCGAAGCCCAGAATAGATGAAAAATACGCCTTCTGCCAAGAAGGATCCCGCTATTGAGGAGTAGAACCCCACTCTAGTTGCCTTTCTAGATGCTAGAAGCCTTGCTATTCCTAGCAGCAACGCGAGATAGGCATAGACTGATCCTGAATCCCAGGAACTAGCGACATTGAGATGGTCCTTGTGTACAACTAGGATGTATATGGTCTTTATTATTGTGTAGATAAATAGCCATTTGGGTAGTAATCCCGGTTTGTTTCCCATCGTATGGGGTCAATATTAGATGGAATTTGACAAGTTCAAGCCCTTATGGACAACTATAATAGAAACATACTCCTTGTGAATGACAAAGACAAGGTGGTCGGTATTGGAAAGGCACTTCGAACCCACTTTAGGGAACATCTAATGCTCCACAGGGCATTCAGCGTGTTTTTATTCAACTCAAGAAACGAGCTTTTGATCCAAAAGAGGGCATCGGGAAAGCTTCTTTTTCCAAATAAATGGACAAACAGCGTCTGCTCCCATCCATTTGTCAATGATCTTTCTTTCATTAATCCCCTACTAGATGTGAAGATACATGCGGTCAAGCGGATTGACCACGAACTGGGAATAGGAAGTATACTAATAGATGATTTAAGGTTTGTCTCTCGTATTATATACAAGGCCAGTCCTACTGAAAGATATAGTAGAATCCTGCCCGGGATCCCAACCACACAGAAAATCTCCACCTTTCCAGATCCCAACAACCTCAGCGGGTCCTATTCCTCTGATGATTTCCATGAATGGGAGGTCGATTATATTATTCTTGCGGTGTCTGATGCCTCTCCTTGCCCCAATCCTAATGAAGTTTCAGAAATAAGATATGTTTGCAAGGAAGAACTTCAAGAGTTGATTGCTAGAGATTTGGCATCTCCCTGGTTAGATGAAATATCGAAGCATGTCGATATATTTGATATCAAGCAATCATATTTTCCATCTGATCCTTAGAATAATTTCTGGTAAAGTGCTATCCCAAAAATGGTTCAACGCCCTTTGAAGAATGTCAAACTTCATAAGAAGCCTACGAAATACAAGAAAACACTCAAAAAGGTGAGGAATGAAAGTGACCTGATAACAAAGGAGATCAACAAGGGGATAATCGAGAAATACAGATCTCTTTATGAAAAGAAAAGAAATACTAATCTTAGATAGTTTATTTATTGATAAATCAAAATGGGTGGGAGGTGTAAATGAACCCATTTCTTTATGTTCGGTGCAAATATGATTCCAACCATCCTATAAATCCTTCATTTCTCAGATTCTCTAGCCTTTCTTTTTCTCTCTCTAGCTTTATGGGACTCATAGATCGTTTTAAGTGTATTCTTCAATGGTTTCGGCAAGAATCTATGCTTCGATATTCTGCTTATTTCCCCGACTTCCTTATATTTCTCCTTCAGTATCTCAGAATACCTAAGGGCATCTTTCTCTTTTCTACTCAGTGGTCCTAACTTTTTTGAAGCATAACTCTTCCAAACTCTTATCGACCCGTCATCACTTCCTGAAACAATAAACTGAGAATCATGAGAATATTTCACACCAAATACATTATGCATTCTCTTGTTATAGTATGTGTCTCTACTCTTTCTTTCATTGACATCGAAGATCCTGATTGTCTTATCGAAACTTCCGGTTGCTATCTCTGTCCCAGGTGGGTTGAATTCTACAGAAACAACCGCATTTCCATGCCCTCTGTATATTCCACTAGGTTCATGAAGATATCTTATATCATGGAGATAGGTACAAAAATCCTCATTCCCCGATACAAATATATGCCCATCCATCGGGCTAAATGATATATCATTGGTTTTGCTTCCTACAGATACAGAATGGACCACCTTCCCAACTCTGATGTCAAACAAAGAAAGCCCTCCCTGCTCCCCAACCCCTATTATGCTTGTTAGCACTGCACTAGTGCTTATACATAAGGGGTATCTTGTGCTCATCTGCTGCTTTGAAAAATCTCTTTCGATGTCAAATATCTCTATGCTCCTGGAAGTCCCTACATTCAATGTTCCCATTATGTCCAAGTTTACTACCTCGGAATTACAGCGGTATGTCTGCCCACTACCCAGCCTCTTAACTTCCTTTTCCTGCCCAACATATAGGTTTCCTTCTATGTCCATCCCAAGCCCTTTTATAGAGCTATTGCATTCAAATCTTCTGAGGACACTTCTCTGGCCTAAGTCCCATAAAACCACCTGGTTGTCAAAGCTTCCTGATGCAAACAAAGGTTGCTGGAAATGTCTTGCAAGTAAGTGTATTCCCTCCTTGTGATAGGATAATGCAGTGATGAATGGCTTACTTAGCATCCTTTCAATCTTGACTGAATTAAGCGCCCTCACAAACTCTCTTTCCTTCATAAATGGATGGTAGGCCTCATCTTTAGCAAAGCTCATGTATTCAACATCCTTTTTCCTCTCCTTACAAATTTCTTCTGGTTTGTGGTATATGGTGTTAATCTTCATCCAGGGCTGAAGCCGAAAAAGAAATTCATACTGGAAACCGTATCCCATAGATGGCATCCAAATTGTTTGTAAGTAATTTCCCAGAAAGCTACTCGGAGGAGAACATAAATCTAATTTTTAGTCCTTTTGGAGAGATAAGATCCATCAAGATTTTGAGAGAGCCTAGGATGTTTTCGATTGTTGAATTCAGAGATCCCCTAGATGCAAAAGCGGCAATTGATTCTCTAAATGGCAGAAGGCTACATGGAGAAGGTTTATCATTGCATATAGAAATGGCTTTTGATAGAAAAAGAAGAGTAATAGTCTCTGGAATTCCTTCGGATTCATCGAGCGAAGAGCTTATGAGATTTTTCCAGTACTATGGGCCTATTGAAAACATCACATCTTCCGATCACCCTCAAACAATTTTTATTGACTTTTTGTCTCATAAAGATGCTGAAATGTTTCTCGAACTCAATCAGAAAATAAGCTTTGGAAAAGAAAAGGACAGGCTCTCCATTAAGCCTTTTACCAAAAGAGAGCGAAGAGATCATATTTCCAGCCCGGAAAGAAGCATTTTCATATACAACCTCCCGTCCAAAACAACCAAAACAGACCTCAATGATTTGTTTACAAAGTTTGGAGAGATTCAGTCTCTAGGGATACTAAGTGGAGGAAAAGCATTTGTTAATTATGAAAGAGAATTGTCAGCCCTAAAAGCAATCAGGCACATGGATGGGAAAATCGTAGGAGGAAATAAGGTTAGGATAGTTCTTAAATCCATGAAGAAAGGCATGTTTAAGAGACCATCTTAGAACAGATCCATTCCACAAACCTTAAAGATGTTTAATACCCGAAGCTTCATGCTTAAATTTTCTGTTTAATTACTCTTTCATATGCTAGCTGGGGTATTTACATTAGCATCACAGGAATCCATTCCACTTTCGCCCTCACTGACCATCTCTCCGGAGTAAATATCTTTGAATTGGGTATCTAAATCTCTACTTGGAAAAGAGGGCCCATATCCCCCGAACCCAGGTGTGTCATGGTACTTTTCATTCAAGTAATAATATCCATAAGGCTGTGGATAAGCCACAGATGGTGAGGAATAATCCCTGAATCTGTTGATCATGACATCCCTGCCTATATAATTGCACGAGGGGTTGTATTTCTCAGAAACCTCTCTATCGTAAACCCCACCATATCTATTTCCAAGAACCTTCCCATTAAATCCATTTCGCCTCTCATCTTCCCCACTATTGTCGGGTTGGTCTCTTCTACTTCTTGCATAATCCAGGCAACTTTCGCAAAGATGGCTGGGGGCATTCTTTGAGTCTGAGGTAAAAAAAGAGATATTGCATGACACACAGACAATTCTTTCATGACTACCTTTCAATGCTTTTGTTCTGCCTCCAGATGTGATCATATAAGGTCTCGTCCTACCATGAAGCTTCTGGTAAAGCCCACAAGCATTGCATAAGAGTGTTTTTCCTTGATCTCCTCTTCTCCACGATGGTGTGCTCGTAGTTGAGCAATTAGAACATATTCTTTGCTTTGCCTTTCTTTTGAGCTCTCTTGTGATCTTCGGTATTTCAATTGCATCATATTTTGAGATCAGTCCTCGATCTTTATCTTCCTTGCAGCTACTGAGTCTATCTGAGCCTGGGCATATTTTCACAGTCCTGTTATAGTTTTTTATCCCATCAACACCTTGCAGAAAAGACTTAAGATGGCATCTATTGCCGTACTCCATCTCCTTCCCATCAAAAACCTTTTTTTCACATCCTTTTATATCTTCCATTTCTACGTTCATATCATCCTTATGGAAGCCCCTCCTTTCTTCAACATCGCTAAGATCCTTATCCTGTGTGTCTTCTATATGTCTCTTGCCCCCGTCATCTTTGTTTACAGAGGTCATTGTTTTGTTTTCACAGTGCTATTTTATAGTGGAATTTTCATAATCTCCTTTATTATTGTACAATTAATATATTGCCGATTTAATCTTTGATATATTTGACAATTATCCAAGGTTATCCCCCATATCTGGCAACCTACCTAAACAATGACTAAAACCCTTATAAGCCCATCTATACTAGATATTACTATAATACCTTAAATATATATTATCTAAACAGAAACACAAACAAGATAAAACATATCTAAAAACAAAACAATTGAAAATGGGAAATGAAAAGAACAAGGAAATAATCCGATGTGAATTAGAGAACTATGTCGCAGAGGAAATGAAAAATGCCTCTCCAAGCACAAGACAGATGGATGCAATCCAAAAAATGGTTTCGCTGCCAGAAAAGAATTTTGAAGACTTGGTTTCGGATATTGTAAATGAGATGCGGAGGAGAAGCAGCGTTCCATTTATTTCCCCTGAGACTCCTATGCAATATAAACTCTCCAGAATCCATGAAGATGGATTTAAAAGTCTTGTTCTAGACCTTTTGCTGGTGATGAACCAAAGATCCCCAGAGGATAAATGTTCTTCGGAAAATGTTCATGGATTAATCGACAGCCTTGATAAGCTCATATCTTCACTTAAAGAGGACATGATGAATGAAGAAAAGATGGCCAAAGACATATGTTCCTCTTGTGACGTTTCAGAAAAGTTCATGATGTTCATTGAATACAGCCGCAATGTTTTTGAGCGAAATGGAGAGGATACTAAGGTTCATGAACATATGGTGAAAGAGGCTAAAGAATATTTTGAGATCCAGACAGCTGATGGGCCTGATCTAATGATTAGTGTAGATATGCTTCTGAAAAAATGTGATAAACTGAAGTATAGCAACCTTCCTGAATACAAGTATCATAGAAACAATATCCAAAGGCTAAAAGTTATGGATTTGGAAGAGAGTGTGAAGAAAAGGCTGATCCGGGATGAAGTGGTGCAAGTGTATTCCATTTTTGTGATGGAGAGCACTAATCTGAGAGGAGCGAGAGAAAAGCAGCTTGAATGCAAGGTCAATAGTCTTGTCGACGTTCTATGTAAGATTAAAAATGATGCCGAAGAAGGAAGGGAGATAGCTGCCTATGAATATCTCGAAGACGTGGCCAGTTCCAGTGGGGATATCCTTGAACTTGTTGAAAATATGGATCTAGAGAGTAAGGCTTATTTAAGCCAGCTGAAGATGAAAGTAGCTGCTTTGGAGCAAATACATAATAGAAGTAGTGACGAGGAGCCACTCCCGGCCATGTTCTCAACGATAGAGGCTGTGAAGAAAGTATTGGAAGATGTTTGCAGAATTCAAGGAAATTCTTAGTTATATCGATAAATAAGGAAATGGACAACAAAATATTTAATGGAGAAATAAAATATTGACTTACATTTATTGAAAGCTCAAGTTTTTATGTCTAACTTCGAACTAAGCTGTGCTTTCTTCAACATGTAGAAATCAAATATCTTGAAGTTTTTGATCGTACGATTCTTAATCGATATCTCTAGATACGTATCATTTGTAGACCTATCTTTAGAATTGTAAACCACCTTAATCTTATTGGGTCCCATCCTGCTTACCCTCAAATCTGTCATGCTTGTGAAAAACTCTATCTGAAATTTGTTTTTTTCTCCTCTCACCACGTATCCTGGTCTATTAGGCTCATGACTTATGTTCTTTTCAAATGCTCCTGACTTCTCGATGTTCAGAATCATGTTATTGAACTTGAAGGTGTCTGTCTTGCTATTAACTTCGCTTATAAGAATGCTCCCACCGCAGAATGCTCCGGCCAGGAAGAGGTAGATATGTATCATGCCTGAATCAGAAACACCTCCATTTTATAGTTTAGGATGTTTCACTTCCTCCGAAACACTAGGAAACAGCTTGTTTGATGCAAATCGAAAACACCTATCTAGATGGGTGTAACATGGTTTGTGCTTATAGACCCGGTTTGAACAACCCATGCACCAGCCATGGACAGAGAAGTACCGCCCGGGAACACTTTTGGAGATGGTTGGAAACAAAGAAGTTATTGCATCTCTTCAGTCTATTCTAGAGGCAGGCAAAATCCCCAACATGCTATTCTATGGGCCACCAGGCACGGGAAAGACAACGTCAATAAGAGCTATTGCAAGAAGTCTTCCGAGATCATGTGTTCTTGAGCTGAATGCCAGTGATGAGAGGGGAATAGCAACGGTAAGGGAAACTATAAAAGATTTTGCATCTACATACTCCAAGATGATGAAGCTGGTGATATTGGATGAAGCAGACATGATGAGCAGAGATGCTCAGAATGCCCTCAGAAGAATAATTGAGGACTTCAGTGCAAATACAAGATTTTGCTTAATAGCCAACCACTCAAGAAAGATAATTCCTCCTATTCTCTCTAGATGCACCAAGTTCAGATTTGGGCCTATTGAAAGTACAGAGAGCAGAATCAAAGAAATATGCAGGAAAGAAGGCATAAAGTACACTGAAGATGGGATTGCAGCTGTATCAAAGGTGTCAGAAGGAGATATGCGTAAGGCTGTAAATGATGTTCAGGGGATATCGTTATCTCTGGGGTTGATTGATGAAAGAAATGTCCATAAATTCAATGGAATTGCTCCTGCGCAGATTTATGAGGAGGTGTTTATGGATCTCGGAAATATGAGCATGGTGGAGCTCAGAGCTAGGATTGAAGACCTGAGATATGAATATGGAATAGACTGTGACGCTTTAATCGATAACCTTGGCGGGATCGCCCGGAAAAGTAAAATGAGAAACAAAACGAAAATATTGAAAGAGTTGAGTGATATCGAACGTAGAAGAAGCATAGGATGCAATGAAAAACTTCAATTAGATGCAGTCATTTCTGTATTTATACTGAATAGGGATAATTCCTTATGAAACAATAACTTTATTAAAAATGCTAGGCTTGAATCTATCCAACACGAGCGGCCTTACACTACATCATAATATGGAAGCGCCTCAACTTCTCTTATATCATATCTGCTCCTAGGAATGTTGCTCACAACGTTTGAAATCACAAGCGCCAATACTACCATAACCACAGATCCAAATATCCATAAAGGCAAGTATATTAAAACACTACGAAATCCTGCTAGCACAAGAGAGAATGTGGATATATACAGTATTGGTAGAAGTAATATACACATATTGACCTTCAGAGAATACCTTTTGCTGTATATCCCCCAAAGAATCTGAACAAAAAACAAAAGAGGCTTCAAAAAGGAAGGGATTATTGGTACCAAAACCAGTCCAAAGAGTGCGGCCCTGATCATTTTTCCTATTATTATATTCTTTTTGGCTTGAAGAAAAAACTTCTGCTTATCATTGTGATAATATATGGTATTGATTGTAGATAGGATCTCCACTACTAAGAATATAGCTCCCGAAAAGAGGATGTCTATGAATCCATCAGCATATAATGCATAGTTGAGGATGTGAAGTGTTGCTATGTTGATCTCCATAGATCTAAATATCATACTCTTTAACTCTGTCCCAACCCCATAGACCCAATACAACGCAGACAGGGATCTGGCCATTGGGATGGTGAGAGTTACAGACGATACAGCAAATGGAAGAGACATGACTATGCTGCTGCATTTTCCATGTGCAACTATCGAAGGTAGTGCTAATAGCGTGCTTATATATATTACGAGTGTGACGAGATAGAAGCATATGTTAAGTCTATCAAACATTCTTGTTATGATATATGAGTCCTTGTTGTGCAGAAGAAGTTGCACAGATACTTCTCCAAATATATCATAAAAATCCCTTTTGTATTTATCCTTCAATATTGTGTATGCTTTGTTGATCTCTGCAAATCTATCTGGACTCATTTCGTTCTTGCTTTGGCAGTATAACCTTACAAGAAATCTGTAAGATCTTTCCACATTTTCCTTGGTTGCGTCCTTTGGAATTTTTAGCACGTCGTATAGACTCATTTCAGGGGATATGGAGGAAGAATTAAAGAAAACATTCCCTTCTTTGACCCTTATAACTCCAAAAAATCATCCTTCCATGCCCAAGAGTGATACAAAGCAAAAAAAAGGCAGGAAGAATAGAAATAGGTTGAGGATAAAGAGGACCAAAGTGTTTGGCCCAAAAGGTATTGACCAGGTGAAATCTCAGGTCGAGAGCCGCAAGAGGGTGGAGTATGATCCAGAGCTTCCAGGGGGCGGCCAATTCTACTGCTATGAATGTGATAGACACTTTATCTCAGAAGACGTCCTAATAGGGCATAGAAAGTCTAGCTTACATAGAAAGAGGATCAAAGAAGTAAGAGAGCCTGCCCATTCCCAAAAAGATGCTGAATGGGCTGTTGGGCTGACTTGATCTTTGAAAGTGCTCATTCTCAATCTGATGCATTAAATATTATTTTAATTCATCTAAACTTTCAACTTCTGACAAATCAATTTCACTAGCTAATATCGAGACACAGGTGCTGCTATCCCCATCGTCATTTTTCTCATCAATAACATTCTTGGTTTTCTTTCTTGGTTTTTTAAATGGAAATACAATTCTGGCAACATTATACGGATTTGCCCTCAGAAACGATGTTATATCTGTGAAGAAATCTGCGAAGAAAGTATTGTTCCAGCAGTTATGTCTTTCAAATACATCATTCCATGTTTTCATTAAGACTATGAATGAAGGCTTATAAAAATACCGTTTGTCGACAAGAGCATATATCTTCGAAAGAAGGCGTAGTATCTTCATGGTGTTGCAGTCATTAAGACAGCCTGTCCTCTGCTCTTCTTCCTCAGATATCCCAGGAAGGAAATCAGGTTGGCTATAGATGCACTTCTGAAGGCATGAGCAATCGCTATAACTATATTCAAGCAAACAGAATATCCTTCTTATTCTGTTTTCATTAAACTGCTTCCTGTCTAAGTTCCAGTTAAAGAGATAATAATAATTATAGAGTATCAGTGCACACTCCATAACCACATGCACGTCCCTAGATTCTAGAAACTTCGCTATATGCATCATTAAATCTCCATCCTCAACTTTTCCTAAGTAAAACACAGCTCTCGTACATTTTCGAAGACTTTCTAGCATCTTTCTATACAATCTAATTGCTAGATAGCTACCACTCGATACCAAATCCCTAAGTTCATTCGATCCACACAGAAAGAGATAATCCCATTCACAATAGTTCATAAGATCTAGGCTTTTATCTAGTCCTAGTTCTAGCATATTAAAAAAAGTGGTGTTGTAGACATCATCAAAGATGTTCTTGAGAACCTGATGCCCCACTTTATGCAAAGAAGGAGGCTCTTTGAAGGAAAGGTGTGCTCTATCTTTGAAGACTATTTCAGGATCAAAGTACCTCCTCTTTATCTCGTGCATCACGTCTCCACCCCCAACTCCTTTATACTCCCTCTTTGCCTCATCCATCCTGTAGGCAAATATTGAAGAGTAGAATCTTGCCGTCTCTTCACAGACAAGAGAGTTCAGGAGGATAAAAAAACCACAATCATACAACACTCCTGGAAGCAAAGAGTTCTTCTTAGCTGCTTCTTCGCAAAATCTAATGATATCTTGGGGATTGTCCATAGATTCATATAGTGCTTCGGATAGCAGGAACCCGCCCTTTCTTGTCATGAATAACACCGGAAGATTCGAAGCTGGATCTTGCAGAATTCTTGTTGCTAATCTAAATGCCTCATGCCTTACTTCCGAATCTCTTATAAGATAAGGAAACTGCTTCCCAATAAATCCCCAGCCACCGAGAAACCTCAAAAGGTGTAAGTCCTCAGAGGTAAGTGAAACTATTTTTTCGAGGGATTCCTTATACCCAGGTGATAAGCGGCTACCAGTCACCAATGATTCGTTGAGAATAAACAGTGCTCCTCTGGCCTCATCTTCTACCATTCAACCCCTAAGGACTTAAAATCAATATGGATCATCAAATTCAAAAAGGATAAGACGCTTTATTAGAGCATGAAAATGTAGAAACATATCTTTTCCACCAAATAGCACAGAATTATATCCATCACAAGTACAGAATAGACAAATGTCTTGGCTTCTCCCATATCAACAACCTCCATCTTCGTACGAAGCTCGTTGTTGTCTCCCATCACAAGCTGGTGTATGAAGAATAATAGAATTCCAAGACATCCAAGGAGCTTTTTGTTCTCAAGAAGACTTTCTCTGAATGGCCTTCCTATGTAATTCACAAGAAACGTCGATATCTGCTGTGTTGTGGATAAGAAAAACAGGGCAGAGTTCATTAGTGAAGGAGAGAACTTCTCATTGTACACGGGCGCTTCTATCTCTCTTACCCTTCTTATCATAACAAAGAAAGAGGCTATGTGGACGGCAACTTGAAAAACAACAGAGGTGACTATGTATGGATTGATAATGTTTGTCAAAGGCCTTTTTTTGCTTATTTCTTTGAGAGGCTGGCTTTGAGTCAAAAACATAAATGCAAATCCAATGAGAAGTCCAGAAGCTGTCAGTTGAACATCTCCGTATCTAACGCCCATGCAATCCAGGACACTCAAGGAAAATGCACTGACCAGAGAATTCAATGCAAGAATCTTGTACATTTGGATTGTCGTTACCAGAGCACTTCTTCCTTGTCTCACAACATCCAGAACAGAGTCTAACGACCCAGTCTTGGCTGTAAATGGTGCTGCAACACTTGCATCTCCAAGATTGATCTTTTCTTCCCCCAGGTCTTTTGATATAGTCTCCATAATCTTTTCTTCATTACTTTTTCCCTTTTCTCTCTTTTGAACAACCACAGGTGCCTCCATAAGAGCTATTCCCACATGAGCGCTTTTCAGTGCACCAACATCATTTGTCCCATCTCCACACATTAACGTATATCTCCCCGCCTTATTATATTTCTCAATTATCCTTTCTTTATGAGTAGGATCTGCCCTAGCAAAAATCGATATAGAAAAAAACTCATCGCTTTCTAGCATCTTATCTATCTCAGAGCCCTCCACTGCTTTATCCGGTATCCCAATCTTCTTGGAAACATTTCTTGCTGTCAATGCATTGTCTCCAGTTATCATCACCACTTTGTGCCCTGAAGTATGAAGAGTTTCAATAGTATTTCCTACATCCTTCTTCAACTTACAATCAAACAGCACAAACCCTGCAAAAGACAAATTAGACTCCACATCCTCTCTATCATATTTGGCCTGTTTCTTGATGGGCTTGAACCCAAGTGCTAGTACACGATATCCCTCAGTTGCATATTCCTTATAATCATTATAGAATTCAGGCACAGAATCTAGATGCTGTTTGACAGCCTCAGGTGCCCCCTTCATCCCTACAAATTTCATCTCTTCAGACTCGGCAACTACAGTCATCCTTCTTAGTTCAGAGCAAAAAGAATATGTTTTGTGAATCTTGTGTTCAAAGCATTTGTTTCCTGGTGACCCTGTGCTTTTCAGATATTCATAGATGCTGGTTTCCAAGGGATCCCCAGTTACCTTTCCGTCGAGTAATACCAAAGAATGGCAGCTAGAGAGCACGCTTATTGAATTCTCCGTCTCGTGTCTAAGAGCTGCAACTTCCATAACTGATTCTGTTAACGTTCCGGTCTTATCAAAGCAGCACACATCTACCTTCCCTGCATATGGAATCCTGAAGGGTTCCAAGCAGTACACTCCTTTTCGCACAAGTGCTCTAACACAGCTATTAACAGCCATACTTAATTCCATAGGAAGCTCCGTAGGAACCACGTTTGTCAGAATGAGAATCACTTCCAGGAGTAATTTGTAATTAGATTTCCCCATCCTCTTCCCTTCCTTATAAGCATAAAAAGAAGCAATGACTGCAAACACTAGGAGAGCAAATATGAAAATAAAGGCTTCTCTATCATTTACAGTCACCTCCTCGGTGCACATCATCTTTCTAACAAGGCCCCCCTTCTCGGTCTCAAACCCCGTGTGGAGCACAAAACACACCAAAGGAGAGTCCTTTATCACCACTATTTCTGTACCCGCATACAAAATATGTCTCTTGTCTTTGCATCTATCAAATATATTCCCTGGGTTCCTTTCCGAAATGTCCTCTTTTGCAAGAGGAATAGATTCACCAGATAGCATTGCTTCATTTACAGCACAGGATCCCTTGATCAAGAGAAGATCACAAGGAACACTTGTTGTGGATGTGATTTTGATAACATCTCCAGGGAACAAGTTTTCCGATGACACAATTTTACTTCCGTCCACCTTCATGCCAGTTCTACTATCATATAAAACTTCAACATTAACATTAGGATGGCTCATCTTTCTGAAATGCCTCGCCGTCATCATCCTTTGGAAAACAAGCCCGGATTCAAGAACAATCAACATCACAAGGCTAAATATGGCCTGATATACATATTCGTCAAGACACCACAGGAGCCCAGAAAAAACTTGGAACACAAATAGTGGAGATACTGCGTGCTCCAAAAACAACTGGAAAAACTGTGGAGGCACGATATCAAATTTGTTCTTCTTGAAATGCTTTAGTAATCCCGCATCAACGAATTCTTCCTTTCTTTCCTGCCATTCTGTATAATACCTAAACGGCCTTTTGGTATCAGCCCTGAGCCTTATAATCCCTTTGTCAGACAGTAGATATCCGGTCTTCTCAAACTCAAAAGCTCCATTGCTGAGTCTGCATAAAAACCCTGAGTACAATATATAGTCTCCCTTGTGGTCAAGATCCATTGAAAGCAAAATACGGACTCTAGTAGACCAGAACGTTGATAGAAACATAGTTCCTGACAATAGCAATGTAAACACAATCATCACTTGGGGATAATTGCTTATCATTATCAGAACAGGAAGAGCGTACAATGGAATCATATACACTCGCTTATGCAATGGCCTTTCTTTGTATATACTATGCATTTCAAGGGGTTCGTTTTGAAAAAATATACCAAAACCTCAAAATGGATTTAAACATTGACCCTGGTATGTCTGCAGATATCGAAACATTCTATGGAGGATCGATTCTTGCAATGGCAAGCGAAAATGCTGTTGCCATCATGAGCGACAAACGTCTTGGAATGGGTCCAATAACTGTGTCTAAGGATTTCGTAAGAATTCATAGAATGGGCCCAAGGCTGTATGTGGGGTTATCTACATTCGTCCCAGACACGCAGGTTCTCCTTAGGAGAATAAGGAAAAATTACAACCTATTCAAGCTAGAGGAGCAGAGGGAGATGGAACCCGAGGAGCTCTCGAATATGATCTCATTTCTTTTGTATTCAAAAAGAACGTCTCCATACATCACTGCACCAATAGTTGCAGGATTATCGAGCGATGGTAGGCCTTATATCTCTGGAATGGATTGTATCGGATCCATAACATCTCCTAAGGATTTTGTGGCTACTGGAACTGCAGCCAAGAATCTCATGGGGATCTGTGAGGCTCTTTACAGGCCAAATATGGATGAAGAAAACCTATTTGTGACATGTGCCCAGGCATTCCTTAACGCCGTTGATAGAGATGCACTATCTGGGTGGGGAGCAGATTGTTATGTCATTAGTGAGGGAAAGGTCATCAAGAGGTCCATTAAAGGAAGGTGTGATTAGTTTTGTCATTAGCCTGTTTACTTTTATAGCATGGGATATTAGACTTTCCGGATTTTACCCCATCAAGATGTCTAGAATCACAAAGACCTTAATGTATGCATTGATTCTCGTCCTTAGGTTCTACGATGTCCCTTCTTTCTGCTACAATTATCACAGTCCAGAAACGCATTACCAGCAAGAGTTTCTGAAGCCATCTACCATTCCGACAGTGTATCAGATAATCCCAAGAAAGTACTTCATCTATGTTTCAGCAATATGCGATTTTACAGTGTCGAGGCTGATGAATTCAGAAAAATACTTTATATATTCTTCCTTTCTTCCTGCAGACTCTATATCAATAGAAAACCTTCTTGTGATACTTGGAAAAGCCCACAAAGATGCCACAAGCTTTCTACTTACACATCTAAGTGTTTTCTATGCCCCTCTTCTTACCAGATCCAGCTCTTATGTCTTGTCCTATATCTATCCTGCATACAGAAAAGACTATGAAAATTCATACAGGCCTTCACTGAGTATCGCTTGGTTCTTCCATCTGAATATCTTCCCGCAGTACAGTAGATACTTCTATGACACGTTTTATGCCTTGATGATCTATATTTTTAGCCTGGTACCTGAGGACCAGAGGATGGAGATAATACTACTATTCAAGCCATCCAATTACAAGAACTATCTTTTGTACATAGTAGACTCTCCGCTGTTCCATTTCTATCTACTTATCTTTGTAGTAGAAAACTACATACAGTATCTATTCAAGATTCATGGCATAGGAAATCCCAACTTCCTCAATTGGTCATACTTAGCATTTACATGCTTATTTATCTTTGAAAGAAGGGGAGGAGCGCTGATATCTCAGAAGGAATGCACAAAAAAAAAGCAAGAAAAAGCCTCAGACACTCTTCCACAACCTTAAAATAAAAGTAGAGTATCCAACTTTAATAATACTTTATTCCTAATTGGATTCTTCATCAGCCCCACTATCTCCTTCCAAGTCATCGGAATCGTCGTCTCCATCATCATCAGACACCTCATCATCAGCGCTGGTGTACGAGTCTCCATCAGATGTATCATCTGTGTCAATCGAAGAATCGCTGGTCCCATCAGTGCCCTCATCAGAATATTCAGAAGAATCGGTGGTTTCAGTGGTTTCTTCCTCACTTTCAAGCTCCTTCCTGGTCTTTTCGCCTTGCTTCTTCTGTCTTGCTGGACACATGTTTTAGGGGATCTTTCTTTTTCCAAAGTAAATTTTTCAAACTTTCCAGAAAATTCAAGCCTGCCATAAAACCATAGATGTTTTCTATACCCAAAAAACATTTTATTCAAACACATACTGTATTTACATCCCTCCTCTTTCACCATCCTCGATCTCCTCAATCTTTTTTTGATACTCCATGGCTGCTTTTTTATCCTTAAGCTCTATCGCCCTATCTCTCTTTTGGATCAACTCTATCTTAAGATGGGTAATTCCTCTTCTCTTTGGATATACCTCGTCCTTGCAAGCTACCATTTTGCTTATTTCCTCGTCACTAAGCCTTCTACTCATGTTCTTTGCAAGCTTCTCATAATCTTCCCTAATCTTGGCTATTGAACCCACCTTGAAGAACCTCCATACGTCTTCATATTCTTCTCTAAGCAGAGGAGAGTTGCTAATGTTTTCTATCCTAAAGTTCTTATATGTTCTAGTTCCCGTGGATATGTCCAGATACCTGTTTGTTTTTATCTCGTTTCTATCAATCCAAAGACTGTATACATCTCCTTTCCCCACCCCGACTATCTTAACAACAAGATACAAACCATTAATTCTAGCTCTTGTGAAATGTCCAACAAAATCATCAAAGAATGGCTTAAATACATTCCTTGCAATCATGTCTCTGGTTACTATGCATTGAGAAAACTCCATAAAATTGTCTGTGTCATAAATCTTCTCCTTAGTCACAGAAGGTGCCTTTTTTTTCAGCCCCATCATCTTTTCTTCTAACTCTTTTTTCTCTTTGAACTTTTGAAGCTCAGCGTGCCTTTTGTATAATATCTCTTCCCTCTTTGTTTCTGGCATCTCCAGCAATGCTCTTTTATCTTCCTCAGATTCGTATAGTTCCTCTCTATCAAAATCTGTATGTGCTGACAGCTTGTATCCATCTCTCATTTGGGGTATTCTGTTGGACATGTAATCTGCTTTGACATTGCAGTCACAAGGTACCTTCCAAAGGCTTGATTCTGAAACGAGCTCTACCCTTAGAAATGAATCTTCAGGCAAACAAGAGGACTTGTATCTTCCTACACACAATAAGTACTATGATTACAATATTTTCCATGGCCTATGAGAAAAAGTCTTTTCTTAAGAATGTACAAAACGAAATAGAAATCAGGAAGCTTATGATCGATCAAGAACTATACACGGAGTTACTTAGTAGAATAGCAGATGGAAATTATCTTGTCACTCAAAAGGGAAGTAAGCTTTTCAGATATCTTAAAGACACAAACATCCTTCCAGGTATCTATCTAGTTGGATCCCGGGGAAGACAGGAGCATGTCTCTTTAGAGAAAGTTCCTTACCTTGATCCAAGAGCTAAGTATTTCTTCATAGACATCAAGGACATTCCTCTCTACAGAATGTTTCTGAAGAACAATCTACGCTCCTTTATCCACACAAAAGGTTTCGATTTGGATCACACCGAGAATGAAATCCTTCAAATGTCAAGGATCTCCCAAGAATGCTTAAGGATTCTCGATAGAATTGGAAGCACAAAAATTGTCATGGAGGACATGATAGTTAAGTTAAATAAGGGAAATCCCGATGAACTTTGCATCGAGCATTCTCAAGGCTTATTCATCACAAAATCGCTGTTCAATAACAGAAACGAGTTTTTAGAAGACCTGAAAACCCACTTCGTTGGCTTCATGGACTTAATCCCTTTTGGAATGAAGACATCTTCCTTCTGTAGTGCATATGCAAAAAGCGTTATTAATTATCTAAAAAGAGAAAACGTCCTTTTACTATCTCCGTCGATCAAAAGGTATCCAGAGCTAATTCATTATCTGTTTCCATACAGAATAATCTCGGGTACATCCAATCTCTCGAGCAACCAATTAGTTGTAGGAGGCGTTTCCTTTAATGGAATTCACCAGAACGACTACTTAAAAGAGCTATTTGACCTTGAAAAGATTAAGAAGATAACTGAGAATGGAGTTAAGTTTATATTTACAGCCCATGTATCCATAGACAGCCGAAAAAGGAAATACGGTATCTCTTTCATTTAAAGTACCACCCTAAGTCCAGATAAACTAGCCCATTCTTGTAGTGTTCCCTCTGCTTATTTCTCTCTCATCCCTTTCGTCGTCCCTCTTCAAAAGCTTTTCTCTTGAGGGATCATCATCACTTGAAGTGCTTGAAGTCTCGTCCTGAGGAGGGAGAGAAGAGTCTTTATCCATTTCCGCCATTATCTTTTCAGCAAACTCGTCAAGTGTCATAGTAGGATCGTTTCTCCCAACCAGAACATTTTCGACCCTCCCTCTGGAATCCACTCTTATGCATTCCATCCCTTCATTTCCCCTGGGATTTTTGTCACTCTTGTTCTGAAGCAGCATGATCTCTCTGTTGAGATGCTCAATATTCTTCATCGACATGATGTAGAAGTATTCAATCAACTTCATAACCCACTCCCTATCTTCCCAATCTATAAAATCATACCTAAACTCCTTGGTCTTTCGCCACAGCTTTATCTTGTTATCTCTCCCGCCTCCTCTGCACAATGCCACCGTCTCTTCTCCAACAAGATTCAAGTATTCACAATCCTCGCAGTATTCCTTGAAGAGCTTCAAACCATCGTACTTATTTCCTGCCTTGTCGTTTACAACACCTTTAATATATGGAAAGGTATATTTCAGAATATCAGCTGTTGATAACTCATGGAGATCCACCCTGTCTCCCTCTATGTATACCTCCCAGTTAATCATCCCTATGTCCCTGTTTTCAAGTACTCTCACTATTAATTCTTTTATGTCCATAAAATCAGGGACCAGCCATTCTCGGGATCTTTAAAAAGGCCCTCGGGATTGATGGCCGCAGGTAAACATATAGATATTAAGTTTATTTCTTATTAAGTGTAGCCTCAATCTCTTCAAGTATCTCAGGAATAATGGAAAAAAGCTTCGTGTTTGCTTTTAGAAAGTCCCTTACATTCACAAGGAACTTACGATTGTTCTCTCCACAGCTCTTAGAAAACCCAAATGTTTCGTGGAAGGATGTACTGAAGAGAGTTGGAGCTTGGCAAAACAATCTATCCAACCTCTTATTCCTCATCACCTCATATACCTCTTTTACCTCCTTTATATAATTGAATAGCCTGACTAGCCTCACATAATACTTCAATGTCTTTTCGTTAATGTCTAACTTCTCATTAACACATGCCTGGTTATTAAAGCACAATATCTTTGGAACATAAGGTTTCTCCAACTCTTTTAGTCCAATAGACATCAATAACAAAACCCCAACAGATGGATCAATATACCCAGCCAAAACCATCTCTGGATATACAATAGCCATAAACGACTTTTCTGCATTACGTTCATCCTTTATATCCTTCTCCTTCCGTACGTCACTTCTCACTCTTGACAATACGGATTCAACCATCTTGATTAGTTGTGAATCCTTGTCTATGCCCTTTATCTTTCCCATAATCTCCAATACATCTCCTGAAATCCTATTCTCAAAAAGAGATTCGTAAAACCCCGATGCAAGCTTCCCACCCACAATCTTCTCCAGATTCCGAGGTAGATGTTCCTCTGAATAGGGCAGCACCTGTCCAGAGATCTTCATCACAGGAGTATGTACCACCAGTATAAGCCCTCTAAGAAACTGCTCTGTGTACTTCTTACTGCTGCTCTCATCACAGGTGTTCTTAATCATTTTCAAGAGGTCTTCAGATCCCTTAATCAAGCTAAAAACAGAATCGAAGCTGAAATCAGTAGCACACTTGGGAATTGTTGGACAGAAGTCACATCCTAGTAGCAATCCAAGTGCACTAAACGTTCTCGAATTTAGATTAAAGAATTCAAGAAATCGACTTTTATGGAACACATCTAAGCAAGGCTTTCCAGATCCATCAGACATATCAAGTATGATCTTGTCAACCCCGTCAAACAAAAGAACATCAGACTTACCAAATGCATACGAGCATGCCTCAGCACTCATAAGATATGCACATTGAGCTGTTGCAGAATAGGGTGCTGTTATAACCACAACCCCTTTTTCTTCAAGTATTCTATTAACTATGTCCATTTCATTTTTTTGCATGATAAAACTTCTCCAAAACTTTCCTGCCTTTCTATAGTTTTTTTGCCTATAATCTTTCAGCCCCTCACTCAATAATGTATCTGAATCTGCATGCGAGATTCCCTGGGACTTATTGAGATCTATTCCATCCCAAATCCATATCAGGTCTATTTCATTCTCATCTCTGAACTCCAAAAGTTTCGACAAAGGTGCCTTGACAACCTCTTCAATCCCAAACAAGAGTCCTTTCCAGATGCTTGACACATCGACGTACTTCCGAAGAAACCAGCACCCATCAATGCATATCCTCATCTTCTTGAATGCTTTCTGTGGAACTTTCAAAAAAAAGTTCTGTCCGGGGTGTTTTCTTACCTCTTCTAAACCTCTTATCGGCATCTTTGGGGTTTCCATGATTCAAAAAGAAGAAACCAAAGAAACATTCGACACAAAGAAGGACACAATTAAAAGTATTTAATGGAATGAAGAAGAACCATGAGGACGGCGCCCAATGCTAAGAGATGTGAAAAGCCTTTTGATTTTGTAGGTTGCTGCACATAAGAAGCTTAAAGTATGCAAGAGTTGGACAGAATCTTTTTCCAATGTATTTCCCTACCTAAGAGTCTTTCCTGGTTGGATAGGATTTTGATTCCTGAAGAAGAGGAATAAGGGATAGAAGAAGTCTATTTATGTTCTTCATTGTGGTTGTATGCGTATTACTTAAATTAAGTGGTACTCCTCAATAAGTACTCATGCTGTATGTTATGTAGATAAGAAAACAAACCCCAAGATGGTGGAGATAGCTACTGCAGACATATCCAAGCAGTTAACTATCATAGGCTCAGCAACGTGTGGAAAGACAAGTATTCTTACCAGGCATGTGAAAAGAACATTCGGGACAGAGATAAGCCCCACGGTGTTCAATTCTGTCAGCAACACATACAAGCATAAAGATTACGTAGTCGAGTTAAGACTTTGGGACACAGCTGGGCAAGATGAATATGCCAGATTCAGGCATCTTGCATTGCCTTCTGCAGACTACATCATGATAGTGTATGCTATTGATGACCGATCCTCCTATGCAGAGGTCAAGAACAGTCTTGTTGGACAAGTGAAGGAAAAGGCACCTCAAGCCAAATACTTCCTTGTTGGAGCAAAAATTGATCTGAGGGAGGATTGCAAGAGGCTTGAAGAGCTTGCCAGGAGTGGAGACTCTCCAATAACTACCTCTGAAGGCCTAGAGCTTTCTCAAAGCATTGGAGCGATAGGGTATTTTGAGTGCTCTGCAAAGAACAACATTGGAATTGACGATATCTTTGAGAAAATTTCCAAGTATGCTTTGAAGGCTCATCTAAAGGAAAGTAGGTCCTTCATAGGAGGAATACTTGCTTCCCTGTGGGACTTTCTTTGCTGCCGGAAAATAAATTGATTTTTATTGGAAGTTTTGTCTCCTTGCAGATGAAGTTAGAGAAAGTGGATGTGAGCTGGACAAAGACCGAGGATGAGATTCTTAGGGCTGGGGTTATGAAGTATGGGATAAACAAATGGTCCAAGGTGTCTTCTTTGCTCCCCTCGAAAACCCCATCACAATGCAGGCTCCGATGGCAAGAGTATGCCAATCCCTTGGCAAATAACTCGGAATGGAGCGCCGAGGAGGACGAGAAGCTTATTCTGACAGCAAAGACATTCCATCCCCAGTGGAGTCTGATTGGGCAGGCGTTGGGAAGGAATGGACAGCAGTGCTATGAAAGATACAACGAGCTTGTCTTTGGAAAGATCGATGTCTTCAAATATGGAGAGCTTGAAAATGCTTCTGAAGGAGGGGATGATGAGATTCTGAAGATGGCTAATGCCAGGATGTCTGGGTGCAAGAATAGGAAGGATCTAAAGAAGAAGATTCTTTTGAATAAGAAAGGGAAGGTGTCTTCTAGAAACAGCAGTGAAGAGGGACCTAACCACAATTCCAGATGAGGAGAATGATGTGGAATAGTTAACCATAGGCTTTATATAGTACATTTGTAACATAAATGTTTTATTTTGATTTTTTAATAGTTTCAAGTACATCTCAGAGATGGAACAGAAAAGTAGAACTTCAGCCTCTGCCTTTGGATACATTGGTGTTTTTATTGCTATTCTTTTATGCCTGTCAATAGCTGTCGATATGATGTCGTTCAAAAGACTCTCATTTTTAGAGATGCTTCGAAGCGGGCCAGGGCATGTAAATGGAAGGGTCGACGAGGGATAAGGAGATGGTATTGCAGTTTTTATGAATGGCTGAGACGATATAAGTAAAGATTAAACACATTTGATGTATAGTCCTTAAAATGGATATTTTGGATCTACTGAAGAAGAAGATAATCGAAGATGTCTTTGAGGTTCACCTGGATGCAGAGTGGAGTGTTCTTGTGTATGACAGCTATGGAGCAAGTATTTTGAAGAACTTTTTTGTGAAGTCTGAGTTCATCAGTCACAACATAGTGATTTCTCAAAGAATTGAAGAGCATAGAGAACGAGTGGACTTTCCTGTGATATACTTTGTGAGAGGAGATGAGAATGTTGTAGAGATGATAAATAAGGACTTTGGAAGCAGGCTGTATCCATCTTATGCTGCTTGTGTGCTATCGGAATGCCAGGGTCTCCAGCCACTGGTCAAGGTGAAAAGGGTGGATGTAGATTTTGTTCCTTTTGAACAAAAGGTTTTTAAGGCAGATCCAAAGCAGCTGTATTCTGTGGCCAGGACTTTGAATACAGTCTTCAATGTGAGCTACTCAGGGTCTGTATGTAGAGGACTTGGAGAGATGGTTGAGAAGATGATGGGAGATGAAGAGAGGAAGGGAGAGCTTATAATATTGGATAGGAGCATCGACCTCTTTACTCCACTTCTTCATTTCTTCACTTTTAGAACGATGCTTGAGGATCTCGAGATAGAGAACATGGAGGTATTTGAAAAGAAGTATATGGGAGACAAGATATGGGAGAGTGTCAAGAATGCGCATCTTGGGGAAGTGAATTCTATCTTAAGGAATCACGCGCACATGCTATCGAAGGTGGCACAAAAGTTAGATACAAAGGTAGATAACAAAGGCCTGATGAAAATGGTCCTTGAAGCCCCTGCTGCAGCAAAAACTAAAGAGAGCTTGAGTAAGATTCTCGCCTTGGCACAGAAATGCTATGACAGATTTGATTATCTTTCCAGATTCAACGAAATTGAGCAGCTGCTTGCAACTGGGTATGACAAGTCCGGAGGCAAATGGAGCATGAAGGTTGACGAGGTATTTGAGTATCTCAAGAGTAGTGGGATTGAGAGACCTGATAAGATTAGGATCCTATTGTTACTCAAGGCAAATGGCTATCAATTACAAGAAAATGAGGTGGGCCTTCTTAAAAGCATAGGGTTTAAGGATGAGGAGATTGATGTTTCTTTTGACAATCACGAGAACTTTATACCTCTTCGAGGTCCGGGAAGCAATAAGTATGAGGTCAGCAGATATGAGCCTGTGCTGGCCAATGTCCTGAGAAGCTTTATTGGAAAGCAAAAGGGCCATCTCCAAATAAATAGGTTGACAAGTAGCAGAATACATCTGAAGTCCTTAAGGAAAAGCCATCTCCTATCAGTGAAGAAGGATATTTCTTATCAAAAGTTATACTGTGTCTATATAACCGGAGGAATAACATTTGAAGAAATAAGGGTTGCTTATGAGATCGGGGAGAGCCTCGGTGTAGAGATTATAGTTGGATCTGACAATATTATAACACCCAGATCTTATGTGGAACAGCTGAAGTCCAAATGCACTCGAGCAAGTTGAGCGGTTATATATTTTTGAATTGTAGATCCCAAATGGAGAAGGATATGGAATCTGAAGCTTTCTACAGCCTCAGCGCACGGAAATGGGATGGAAGCAAGGTTGACTTCGAGACATTTAAGGGATGTGTGCTGATAATAGTCAATGTTGCATCATCCTGCAAGCTTGCTGAGAGCAACTACAAGAGCTTTGTAAACCTCCTTTCCAAATTTTACAAGAAGGGACTAAGGATTCTTTTGTTTCCTTGTAATCAGTATCTCAAGCAAGAGTCGAAACCCATTGAAGAGATACACGAAGGTATAGTCAAGAAGTATTCTGACAAGTTTGAGATTTTCGATAAGATCGATGTTTTTGGGGAAGAAATTCATCCTGTGTTCAAACATCTCATCAATACAAAGAATGGAAAGGGAATACTTGGGAAATTTATCAAGTGGAATTTCACAAAGTTCCTTATTGATCGTCAAGGACATGTTGTCAAAAGGGTAGGGCCCATCGGAATTGTTAAAGAGGACGACAAGTGTCTTCTGAATAGTATCGAGGATGATGGAAGAGAGTGATGTCTTAAGGTTGAATAAATAAAAAAATTACCGTACCCATTGATGTATGAGTTTTACAGACAGCTAATGGTTGGAAAGGCTCTTGAGAAGATAATAGATGAGAAAGTGAATTCTAATGTGTTAACCCCAAATCAAGGGAAATACATTCTTGAGGCATTTGATCTGAGTGTCCCTATTGTATTCAACAAATCTGTAACCAACTCTATGAGCTTCAAAGGAAAGGTAGACTTTTACAACCATGTGGATGGGGTATGGAGATTTCAGACAAAAGATTTTGTGATGTCCTTAAACAACGAGTACTTCAGGGCAGGGGATGTTAATATTGTTGCATGTGATGCTGACATCAACATGGATGCAGGAAGAAGAAGAAGAAGAAGGGGATGAGTTTTTAATGTAACTATTTCCAATAAATGTTAAATTTGCCTATGTATCCTTTAGTTGTTCTTCCGAATGAATGGTACCAGAAATTTTTGAACTTATGATAAGTTGGATGTAAAAGGAAGCCCTGAAAATGGATCAGAATAACATGAATAAGTTCTTTAACTCATCGTTCTTTGCACAGACACCACAGAAGGATAACAAGCAGGGGCAATTTCCCGGGATGCAACAGACTTCTATTTTCGGTCAACCTCAATCTGGATTTGGTACCTCCCAGAATCCTTTTCTTCAAGGGTCTGGAGGAGTGAAAAGCAATACGTTTGGGACATCTACAGGATTTGGAGCGGCACCCTCGTTTGGAAGTGGAGGGGCCACGGGCTCTGGAGGGTTTGGGCAGCCTTTTTCAAGTCAACAGCAGCCCTCAACCTCATTAGCAAGATTTGGATCTACTGGGACTCTTGGAACAGGAGGCAATATATTTGGATCTACCTCGAGTGCATTAGGAGGTAGTCAGACGCAGTTTGGAGGGTCTAATAATAGTACCACCTTTGGAACTCAACAGCCAAGTAATGCTTTTGGATCTGGAGCTCAGAATGTATTGCAACCGTTTTCCGCAGGGGCCTCAACATCAGCTCAGCCTAGTATATGGGGGCAGTCGACTAGTTCATATAATCCATTTAACAGCGGCCAGAGCCCCACTTTTTCCAATGGAGGAAGTAATGCTTTGAACAAAACTTTCCCTGGACTTGGGGCAAGTAACAGTGGAACCCGGGATCATCCTTACATACAAAGAAAAATAAGGGAGGATAATGGAGGTGAAGTGACTTTGATGCATATCAATGGCAATGAAAGCTATATGCAAAAACCTGTTGAAGAGCTTAGGGTTGAGGACTACATGCTTGGAAGAAAGCCTATGACGAGTAGCATGGTGGAGCCTAAGAGCACCTCTAGTTTTGGCTCTTCCTTTGGAGGATCTATGCCTTCTTCTACAGTCAATAAGCCCCAGGCAAATAGTATTTTTGGGGCTACACCTCCAAGTAACTCGTTTCAACCATTTATTTCAACAGGGAATACAAAGTCTCAACAGGATCCTACAACGCCCAACTTTGGAAACATCACATCACAGCAATCATTATTTACGCACCATACGGCTCCTTCGAGTACACCGAGCCAGCCATTTGGGTCGTCTGTCCAAGCATCTCCGAGCATGGCCAGTGGGAACCCGTTTCTTGCGAATGCACAACAATCTCAAGTAGGGTTTGGGTCTGTTGGAATGCCCCCTCAGCCATCTATTTCCAATAACCTTTCATTTATGCAGGCACAGCCATCATTAGCACCTGTACAGCAATCATTCGGGAGCCCAACGGGATCTTTCGGAGGTTGTGGGCAGCTGAATCTGCAACAAACAAAAATAGATCCATCCGACCCATTTCTTCTGAAAGACATCAAGTTCGAAAAGACTGAAAAGGAACACCTTCCCTTGAGCAAGGTGCTTCCAAAACCAATATTTAAAGAGGAGACGAAGCCCCGAAAAATATCTCTGAGCTTCCGCCCTCCAAAACCTCCTGCAAAGGAGAAGATATATACGATTCCCCCGATAGAAGACATCAAGCATATGAGAGAGGTTCATAACCTGATTATAGGTTTTGAAGACAAGGGAAGGATAGAGTATCTTGACACAGTGAATGCATCTGAGATCACTATGGCAAACATCCAGTCAAAAATTTACTTTTCCAAAGAATCTGTTGTAGTTAACGATCCTGTTGGGGTGGGATTAAACAGGAGGGCCCGTGTGTATGTAGAAGGTGTTTTCCCCTATAGTAGAAGCCTAGGAGATTATATCAAAGGCGAGCAGAAGCAGTTCCCATTAAAGGGGATTCAGGAAAGATTCGTATATGGGCTGAAGAATGATACGGTGAAGAAGTTTGTTGGATACGAATATGAGAGAGGAACATATGTCTATGATGTTAATCACTTCTAAGGAACAGATAGTTTCTGAATTAAAGAACTGATGGATGTTTTTTATTGTTGGATTGAAATCTGTATTTTGGTCTATCCCTGTGTTAAATGCAAGTAAGTTACATAGAGAAGAAGAGTGTTGACGAGCTTAGTATAAGCACACTTATCGGAGACAGAATATTTTTCATTAGAGGAATGGAGTTGTTAAGTAAAAGCATTTACATGTATGATTCTGAGGTTTTACACAAGGTATTTAAGGATAAGGTTGATTATATATGCTACTTCAACGGGGTGCTACTGGTTTTGTGTGGGAATGCTCTATACAGATATAAATTGTTTGGAGAGGAGCTAGTACTGAGTGGAACTCATCAATTACTCGAACCTCCAATCAGGATATGTGTGAATGAGACCTCTGAGACAAAGGAAAACTGTGGCGTATGTTTTCTATATAGAAACAAAAAGATTGAGATTTTGAATGATGAGGTTGAGAAGATTGGAGTGCGATGCAAGGGAGATGTTGCAAGAGAAGATGAGATAATCGACTTTTCGATAGATGGTGGATCGTCATGGTTTCTGGCTAGATCTGGAAGGATTTATCATACACACTCCTTTGTGATATCGAGAACTGTTCTTTTGAACAAACCCGTCCGGATGATTCCTGAGCCGACTTACTTTGATGGAAGTATCAATAGAATTATGGCTAGGAAAGGAAAGATGTATGTATGCTACGATGAAGGATTTGAGATGTACGATATTGGGAAGGATGTTTTGGTACTGAACTATACATATAGAACGCAGGACTTTGAGCTCCACGCCTCCTCCGATGTGTATTGTCTAGAGAAGAACCTACTGGTTGTGAATGAAGTACCTCGGGTGATTGCAAGTGTCCGGGTTCATAAGATGTTTGGAGACGTTGGGATTTCCCGCGACAGGATTCTGTTCGTTAAAAGGTCAAAGAGGGATGAAAGGACAGACATAAGATTATTGAAAGAAGAGGATGCAGAGGTGAGGACAAGGGAGATGTTTAGAGTGGTGGAGAATGAGATTAGGATTCCTGAGATTGAACTCTCAGAAAATGGAAAGGATGCCTCTGAGAAGAGCTTTCTTATGATACAAAAAATGATCAACGAATTTGAGAGTAAGGTTCTCGATGTGTACAGAAGAATATACTTTGAGCTTGTGACACTTAATGAAAGCTTTAGTGAAAAGATAATAGGATTGACTGCTGAGAACGATTTAATATTGAGGAAGGTAGAGGTTCTTGACAAAAAAAAGAATGAACTGATGGCACGCCTTCAAAGACTTGGTGAGAAGATGAGCAGCACCGTTTCTAGGGTTAAGATAGATGGAAGTAGGATGAAGAGGTTGGCCAAGATGGTAGAGGTGGCTATTGACGGAACTGGTTTCAAAAGATATGAGAAGTATTCAAAGATTCTCAAGCTCCAAAGGGAGGTGCTTAACAGAAAGGTGATTTGAAAGATGTGAAAATGTTATTGAAGGTAATTGTTTCCTTAGGGATGTGGGCAGGATTCTTTCTGTGTATATCACTCTGTTTTACCCAGAAGGCAGAGAGGTAATCTAAGAATAAAATATTTTTGCCTTGGAATAACCCATCAAATGCAAACAATAAGGATTTTGCCGAACATAAAATCTCTTCTCAGGGATGGAAAAGAGGCTGAGGCGGTTGATGTGATAAATGTGCACGTGGATGTAGTTGCCCCATACATAAAGGACGATCTCAAATACATCAAGTCTGACGACCCAAAGACAAGTCTGTGCCTGAGCAAGATCTATTTCGTTCTTGAGGACTATGAGAAGGCTATAGAGTATGCACTCCGTGCTGGGGATCTTCTTGTTGATGATGGATCGTTTTACTACACTTCTATTGTTTATCATATGATGGATTCTGTTGACATGAATACTGACGGTAAGGTCAGGGACTTTGTGCTCCGGGTTATAGGGTCTGAAGATGTGGACGACTCTCTAATTGGATATTTATTTTCCATAAAAGCATATGGATTGCTAAAGGAAGCGCTTGTGAGGCACATGTCTGTGGAGAATGATTACAGGAAGCTTCTTGATCTTCTTGTGTCACTAGGAGAAGAGGAAGGGTGTCTGAAAGAGATATATGGGATGTTTGCCGAGATTGGGCCAAGAAATAAGCCCTTCATTTTTTATGTTATAGACGCCTACTTCTATCTTGAAGACATAGAAAAAGTGAAAGAGTTGATTGAAAGACTTATGAAAGAAGATATTCTTTTATGCTACGAGGTTGCATTCTACATAGAGGATAACTATAGTCCTGAGATTGAAGTTCCAAACGAAAAGGTTATGCTTATACTCAGCGGGGAGTTTAAGAAGAAGATTCTTGGAGGGTTTCTTCTAGAAAAGAACCTTACCAGCTTCAAGTTTCTTGAATCAATAGCAAGAACTAGGACCCATTACTTAGGGTTAGCCAATTCTTTAATGAACTTGGGGACCTCCAATGACACGTTCTACAGAAGCAATGCAGATATCTTTGGGCAGTCAAGTGAATGGGCGAAGTTTTGCGAGGTGTCCAGTATTGGGATGATTCATCTATTCAATTCTAATCCATATGAGATACTCAAAAATTACCTTCCTAGTGAAGTTAGCTTGAAGGAAGGGGGAGCTCTAATGGCTCTGGGACTTATAAAAGCAGGGACTTTTAGCGAAGAAGATACAGAGTACCTTCTATACTTTTTAGACACAGAGGATACACTCACACCCGAGCTAGCATATGGTGTATGCTTAGGACTAGGACTTATCAATATGGGATCGGCTAATAGTGAGATCCTAAGTAAGCTCAAGGAGCTTTCAAAAGTTGATCGTACATTATTAGTAGAGGCCTCTGTATATGGAATGGGGATGCTAGGGCTCAATTCGTGGAATGTTGAGATTCTAGAAGATTTGAAGGCAATATCTGGAGATACAGAATTTGAGCGTGTGAAAATAGCTACAGGAGTCGCGTTTTCACTAGTTCTAATGTTCAGTGAAGAGATGTTCTATGATGAGGGTACCATGGCGAATGAAGACTCTAGAAATTATATAAACGAGCTTCTTTCTGATAAAGATCCGATCGTGAAAGCAGGGGGTGTTCTTTCCCTTGGGTCCGCATTTGTTGGTACAGGGAGACTCAGTGTGATCTCATTTCTTCTTCCTTATATCAACGATGGAAGCGATGATGTCAAGAGAGCAGCTGTGATAGCAATAGGGCTTGTATGCTGTGACAATAGAGATCTTCTTGTAGGAACCTTGGAACCTCTCTCTGAGAACCATAACTTCTTTGTAAGAGCCGCAGTGGCGATTATTCTTGGATTGTTCCTCTCTGGAACAGGAGATAAGGTTTGCACCAACATTCTAGAAGCATTAATGTATGACAGTAACAATCTCGTGAGACAGTCTGCTTGTATTGGTGCTGGGTTCATTACAATGCAATGCAACCCGGAGCTTGTTCCGAATTATAAGCGTATCATTGAAAGGTTGAACAAGTTGATAGTTGACAAGAAGGAGAATGGGGCTGTGGAGTTGGGTGCTGTATTTGGCAGGGGGTTAAGCGAGGCTGGCGGGAGGAACATTATCTTTTCTGTGAGAAACATGTCTGGAATTACATCTGCAGATAGGATAGCAGGTGCGATATTATTTTTACATTACTGGTATTGGTATCCTCTCTTAAGTATGGTGTCTTTATGTGCTCTCCCAACAGGTATATTTTGCTTCAATGAGGATCTTGAAGAAGAAAACATCGAAATCCCGACATCTAATCGCTACTACAATCTTCTCATACGGCTTCCAGATGTTAAGAAAGCAAGAAGATTCAAGCAAAAACCTAAGGAGGATAAGGAAGTCATTACTGAGTCTCCGTCTGTATTGACCTCCGGCAGCAGATGCACAATCAAGCAAAGACAGGAGTGCGGCCTTGATTCCCCTGCAATTTTTTTTGTGAAGAAGAAATAAACATAGTTTTTTGGAAGTAGAGAACCATATTTCATTCTGTTATGCTTTATTCTATTCATCTTGGTCTTGAAATCCATCATTTAGATCTGCAGAAAAGGAAACAACCTCCCCTGCCTCGTATGGAGGCAATCCAAGAGAAGGGCATCCGCTACATCTGAATGCATCCCCTTTGTGACAATTCCCACAGGCGGATCTTATCTTAATCTCTTGCTTTTCTTTTAAACCACAGGTGCAATCTTTACATGCCCTCGTTTTTACAGAGCCCCTCTCGTGTTTCTTCACTACCTTATCCTCATCGGTCAGATATTCACTCTGTGTCCTTGCTCTTGGATCGGTATTCTTTTTTATAATGCTTCTCAGCAATTTCCTCAGTTCTTCCTTGTCCTCCATTTAGGGCCAGGGGATAGACCAATTTAATGCTTATTCTTAATATATTCCTCTCCTAATCTATACCATGCCTCCAAAATCAAAGGATGCTCAAGGTCAACCTGTTCTCTCAAAGCTACCAAATCCTTCTCCATTCTCGACAAAACCTCTTCATCTACGCTCTTAAATTCTCCTTCTTCAAACCCTCTGTCTATCCACGCATTGTTCATTTCGTTTATTCTCCCTCTTAGCTCTTCGTTTTCTCTCATCAGCCTTTCGGTCTCTTCTTTTAGTTGTTCTACTTCCATTTCCCTAATCCCACCGAAGAACAAGCCCTCAAAAAACCTCTCGAGCTCCAGATCAACCTCCGGATGCCCATATTTCTTTATGTATAAGAACAGGATCAGTCCATGGATCTCGTTGACACTGTAGACCCTGGATGGTATACAAATCTCATAAGTCTCTTTGAAATGATGTACCAATGCTTTCTCCACATTCTTGTAGAACAGTATTTTACAATCCGGAGTCTTGAACATAATATCTACTTTGTCCAAAAGAAAGACGATGTCTTCCAGGGACAAAGTGCTCTTGTTCAGAATTTTCTCCAGAAATTGGCTTATTTCCATTGTTTTTCTAGGGAAGATTATTGAAAAGGATATGATGGAACAAACCGGTGTTACAATTGACCCTTAAAGGCCTCAATGGAAGGGATCTTCAATAGTAAGGATCTTTATGAGTACCTTGAAGAGCAGAAAGAATCAGGGATATCACAGACCAAGAGAATATCTCTGTACTACAAAGCAACATCGAAAAGTGTGGGAGATGACGAGTACTCACTAAGAATATGGCTGGATTATATTTGGTTGCTTATGGATGGAACAAAAGACATGACGGAAGCTAGAGAAACATTCAGAATGATAAAAATGAGGTTTTGCAAATTCTACAACTACTGGGAGGCATACATCCGGTTTGAGATTGAGGCAGGAAACGAAAATCTTGCCAAGATTCTACAGCACAGTATTGATTTTGTCAAAGTAAAGGAGTTTGGCGAGAAGAGGAAGGTATTAGAGTACTTGGAATGTGTAATGTCCCATGTCCAAAGCGGGCAGGACCTTTCTATGTTCTTCAAAAGCCCTGAACGGAATCTTGGGACAGATTCTCAACTCTCGAACCATTTTGAATCGAAGGCAATAAAGTACAGAAGCAAGATTTCGAAGAAAGAAGGGAATGAATTTTATCCCAAGCTTGGTAATGGAAAAGGCATTCCCAGAAATGACGAATCATATTCAACGTCTGGAGAGCCCAAAGAGAATTTGAGCAACAGAAACAAAGTTGATGGTAACAACCCGGTTTTATTACCTAGTTTTGACTCGAGACCTAAGAGCTATTGCGGTGCAGCCTTTGGAACCATACCTATTAAGTTCGAAAAGGAGGACTACTCCCAAGGAATAACTACAGAAATAAATACAGCCTTGGGAAGAACAAGTCCTGAGAAGAGTGGTTCGTCTCCAAGATCTGGGGTGATAAAGGCCAGAGAGAAGATAACTGTGAAAGGCCGGGAGGTTGAAATACTCAAGCAAATAGGAAAAGGAGGAAGTAGCAAGGTGTACAAGGTTCTTCTAGGAAGCAATGTATATGCCTTGAAAAGGGTTGAATTGATCGGAGATGAGAAGATGCTTAATTCATACATCAATGAAATAAATCTACTGTATAAGTTCAAAGGGACACCAGAGATAGTTGAGATTATAGATCACGAGATAAGTGAGGATTATTTACATATCTTGCTGGAATATGGAGAAACAGATCTATCGAAGATCATAAGAAGGGGAGGGTTAAGCATGAACTTTATTAAGGATGTATGGGAACAGATGCTTCTGATAGTGAAGAGGGTTCATATGGAGAGGATAATCCATTGCGATCTTAAGCCTGCGAACTTTCTGTTTGTCAAAGGACGGGTCAAGCTCATAGACTTTGGAATATCAAAGGTTATAAGAAATGACACAACCAGTATTCTCTCTGAAGAGCAGTGTGGAACGGTGAACTACATGTCCCCTGAGGCCGTTACCCAGAACAAATCCAAGGTTGCTCGTAGCTCAGATATTTGGTCTCTAGGATGCATACTATATGAGATGGCCCATTCAAGGCCTCCATTGTATGAGTATCCTAACCTGATCCAGAAGATCCAGAAGTTACAAGAATATTCGGAGTTTAAGTATTCAAGTAAGAACAAACTTGCTGTCATGGTTATGAAGGAATGCCTAGTTAGAGATCCAAAGAAGAGGCCAACTATAGACACCCTTCTTAATCACAGATTTCTCACTGGGGAAATGTGCATAGAGTCCCTTAGAGAATTAGTTGGAAAGATCCTTAGAATTAGTGGAAGGGAAGAGCCTGATTCTACATACGTCAATAAGATAGCTGAGCAGATCTACAATGTCCATGGATGGAATTGGGCATAATAACCCAAGCCCTTCCTTATATAAGCATAATGCTTGAAAGTTCCATAATAAAATGTTTTTAATCATCAGAGATACTTATTTCCTTGCAGGAAGAATGTCATCAATCTTCAGAATCATAGAGACAGTTTCTATTGCTAAGGTGATAACATTAATGCTCACCTTTGCAGGCTGAACCACAGAATCTTCTCTGACCATGTCTCCTGCATGCCCGCTCCTGACACTGATTCCTACGTAGTCGTTCTGCTTTAACTCATTCCTTAGCTCAGAAACTATTTCTACAGGATAAAGCCCAGCATTTCTCGCAAGGAAGTAGGGAACTCCTTCAAATGCTTTTGCTATTTCCCTCAACACATAGACATTTCCCTCTGTGGATTCAGAAAGCATTAATGCAATTCCCATCTCGATAGAACCTCCTCCAGGGACTAAAAATGGGAGTTCCTCAAGGCATTTCACAACGCATAGTGCATCATTTAGAGACCTTTCTGCCTCCTCAACCACCATGTCATCACATCCTCTCACTAGTATTGTACATCCATATCCTTTGATCTCCAGCATCCCTTCCACTTCTCCTGTCTCAACGTCCACCAATGATCCAGAATTCAATAAATCTATCTCAGAAACGGGCTGCACATTCATTGTGCTACAGATGTAATCTACATCCTTTCTATCAACTGAGTTCACCACAGAGATATTTAGCTGTTTTAGAAAGTGACTAGCCAGATCGCTTAGAGATTCTCTCAATATGCTCTTCTGAATCACTAGAAGGGTGCACCCACTCTTCTTTATCTTTTTACACATCTCTAGAATGTATCTTCTTTCCTCTTGAATTAGCTTTTCCATGAGTGCAGAGTCGTTGATCAGAATCTTGCTGTCCATGTTTGTCTTTGGAGCACTTAAACAGAACTGGATAACCCCTAGCTTTACCTTCTTTGGAATGTCTTTGAGATCGCATTCCAATAGAATACTTTTGTATGCCTTTACATCATCGAGGCCCCCTCCAATCTTCTTAACAACCCGAATCTTCCTCTTATCTCCCTTGGCATGTTCCATCCCCTTGATGGCTGCTATCGCCATCTCCCCCGTGGAAGATGTTATTTTGGAGCATAGCGCAGTAGAGACATTATTGATGAAGTCCTTTCTATTGCACTCTACCTTCACTTTATCAATGTACTTGATGTCCAATCCTCTTAGCAATCTCTAAGTTGTCACAGATAACAGAAGGATGGACATTCCTCTCCAGCAAGTTACTGATACTTTCTAGTAAGCACCCAGCAAGAACAACAACGCTGGTCGTTCCATCCCCGCATTCTTCGTCCTGTGCTGCGGACATGTTAGACAAAATCCCATGGATTGGGTGCTGATTCAGATATTTCAGAATAGTGGCTCCATCGTTGGTTACAACAGTCTTTTTATCCCTCACAATCATCTTGTCCAATCCTCTGGGACCAAGAGACGTCGAAAGCGTCTGAAGAAGAGATTGAGATGCCTGGAATATCGATGCTCTGACCTGATTAAGTCTTTCTGCCATTGGGGATCAAAATTTTTCTTCATTCATATGCAAAAACGACGCCGACAGCGACAGGATTCGAACCTGTGGGGACAGAGTCCATCGATTTCGAATCGATTGCCTTAGACCACTCGGCCACGCTGCCTCCCATGCACGAACCATAGGAACCAATCTTATACGCTATACGTCCAAAACATTCAAAGAAATCACCTTCTTCCCATCATAAAACGAAACTTATCGAATGGTTGCCAATATCCTATGTTCAAATACTTGTCTCCAAGATAATACCCATTCATGTGCCTTACAGCTTTCCTGGCACTCTCCACTCTATCGTATCCCACAAAAGCATTTCCTGCCGTATTCTTTTCCACCCCCACTCTTATTTGGATTATTGTCCCATATTCTTCAAACAGTTCAATTATTTTGTCTTTAGATACATCCTTTGGTAGGTTTCGAACAAACAGAATCTGTGTATCTATCTGCTCCATTCTGACCCCACTTTTTCTACTTCATTTATTTCCCACAGAAATAAAAGTTATATACCCAACTCTTTATTATTAATCATCTGATCCGTTCAAAACTATGCCAGCACACGCTCTCTCTTAATAAGGCTTGTTAGTTTAGTGGTAAAACAGCTGATTCGTAATCAGCAGATGCGAGTTCGATTCTCGCACAAGCCTTCGCTTTTAATGAGCATTTATAACATAACAGGTATTTCTCCTACATTCTTATCTCATACCTCCCACTGGCCATGCTGTACCTAATCCAAAAGCACACACAAGGATTTCCAATACATTCAGCTCTCTCTATTCTTACCTTTGGATTCTTCCATTCCTTGATGCAGAAGTTGATGATTATAGGCCTCAAGTCAGAGCATCCTTCAAACATTTCCACACGGTAGCTTATTCTTGCCCTTTTCACAACCTCCTTCTTAAATGTCCATCTCAGCAAATCATTCTCCTCATCATACACACTCTTTCCCAAACTATGACTCTTTACAACCTTAGATGCCATCTTTGGAATAGGAAAGCATATTTCAAGCCAATCAAACTTCGTCGGACTCTGGCAGTTCAGGACATATCCTCCATCAGCCTTGCAAATCATTATAAGAAGCCTTTCTGAGTCAGAACACGAGTATCTAACGGCTTCTGTCTTGCCCCTATGGACCTTTGCATCCACCCTTACTCCCTCAAGACCTTCAGAACCCTGACCACTGTTTTTGTATGCAATGGCAGAAGGTTTCACTCCACAGACATCAAATCTCACTGTTCTCTCCTCCCCAAATACACCATTCAGATAGCATCTTCCATCTGTTCTGTTCACCACAACTCTCCCATCATCAACAATAGCGTTCAAATCTTCGCATACATCGAGATATACATTGTTACTGACTATAGGTGGAATAAGCCTCTTCTTCATGTCAAATAACACAATACTCTCTTGCTTGTTTACAACTCTAAGTAGCAAAAAGTAATTCTCTAAAACATTCTTCTCATTGACTTCTCCCAGCCTCTTCTCAAGCTTGCTTTTCAGCCTTGAAATGTATTCTAGGATAGAAAAGTCACTTACAAGACTATACAAAACACCTATCTTAACATCATTTACTGCAGCTTGCAACATCCGGGTTCCCTCGATCTCATCCACAGGGTACTTCATTCCTTTCACATACCTACTCGGGTCTCCATATAGAACTCGATCTCCCCTTCCAACTATAAATATCTCCTCTATCATTAATTTTATTTATTTTGCAAAAGACGATATTTCAACACTGTTTATCCATCTTGATTCAGACTATGTAAAACCATCACGAATGCTTCTCAAGAAAGGAGAAATACTTTTCAAACCATGTTTGAGTTTCATCGGAAGCCTGTTGTCAATAAGAAACACATTCCCCTTGTACCTAACAACCAAATCTTCGCACAGAACCTCAAATCTTTCTCCGTCGTTCATCAGAAACAGAAGATTGAGCCCATCCCTAATGCACCATCCAATATTCTCAATGTAGTCGTAAAATGTCCTAGCCCTTATACTCATCTCACTCACTTGCGATACACATGACATCGAGAATTGTTGGTGTGAGGAACAGTCCACTAATATGGGTGAGTCCCTCGAAAACCAGCATACCCCCTTGTCAATTGCTTCACACCTAGCCCTCAGTCCTGTGATAACTTCGCACAGGAAGCCAGGAATCCCTTCAGAATACATTTTCTCCCTACCCTCTGAACTCATTTCATATCCCTTGCCTTTCGTCCTCAAAGTAAGCTTTCCTGTAGTATATACAAACCCCCCGGAAAACATGTGGTAAAACTTATCCCCATCACTCTCTATTATTATCTTGGGCGTTCTGTCCTTTATCATTCTTATATGTGCAGTAAGCAAGCTTAAAGTCTTCAGGTCTCCATTTGTAATAAACGCAGGCTCAACCTCCAAAGACCCAATAAATACAGAATATACAAATATCTCTCCACATTGACATCTAGTCTCGGAATGCTTTCTTATCCCATCCCTACCTTCATTTCTTTTGGCCACTATTCTGGCATTTCCTAGTTCAATCGAATCTTTGACTTTCTTTATTGTTCCATACCTAGTGCTCTTCTCAAACGAGGGGAGGCACCTAAAATCCTCACATTTAGGTATGAATCTACTAAAACTCCTGTGCATCAATGCCTCACTTGCACTAATTCTCTTGGTTTCATCCCTCTCAAGTAATTTCTCAAGAAGGTCTCGAAGCTCTTCAGAACACTTCAAAGAGTCCAGAGATTCGTAAAACTTCTTCTTCGTAAGCAGGACATAGAATATAATGCCTGCAGACCATATGTCAATATTCTGAGTGTACTCCTTTCCATCAATCACTTCAGGCGCAAGGTAATCCATTGTTCCACAAAATTCATGGCTATTTTCTTCTACATAGCACGAAAGCCCAAAGTCACAGATTTTCACTGTGTTTTCCTTCAGAAGTATGTTTCCCAGCTTCAGATCCCTGTGTATGATTCCTATGGAATGTATGTGTCGTAGACCACACAGTATCATTCTCAATATCTTCAGAGCCACATTCTCATCAATCTCATATTCATTAAGAAACGAGACAAGATTCAAATCGCATAACTCCTCAACTATGCATACGTGATTTTCAGATTCAAACCTATCAATAACCTTAACAATGTTCTCATGTCGGACACAATCTAGCATCCTAATCTCTCTGTACGCCATTCCAGCTGCTTTCCCTCGTCGTGGAGCCACCTTCACTGCCACCTCCTCCCCAGTTTCAGATATTCCACCATACACTGTACTTGACGCTCCTTCTCCAATCACTCGACGAAGCTTATACTTCTTCATCCCCTCAGAATCCTCATTCAAATAAAAGCTTCAAATTCTAAGTACTCCAGAAACAAAGAATATAATAACGCCATTTATTCTTCAGATTGCCTGTGCTAATCCAGGATACAGTCACCTAAAATGTTTTTCGTAATCAATCAAGGTTATCCGAGTACATCTTCTAGACCTTTCCCCACAAACCTCATCATCGCATCTTTTCCGGTCTACAGTCTCTACTTCATAAACCTCTTTGTCTAAGTTTAAGTCGTAAGGCTCCAACGTTTCACATCCAAACTCAGAAGATAAGGCTTCAGAAACACCGGAATACCGGCCTTTGTATATCTCTCGAATCAGTTGCTCATTTAAAACCTTCCTAGTATTCAGAGCACACAGAGTTTTGTAATGGTCGTCCCTAGAAATGTCATGCCCGACAAGGTCCACCAGAAGGTATAGTATGTCCTTGTTCCCTGTTTCATGAAAGAGTATCCGAAGCCTCCTCATCACCCTTTCTTTCACAAAAGGTTTCAGAGTTCGAGCCATGAAGTAGTCCTTTGCTAAATACAGTATCTTACAGCAAAAGGGTGTAGATTCTCCCACTGCGGAATTTAAGAGGAGAGTCATGAATCTTGTATTGGGTACACAGCTCGAATGAACAACAAAATACCTCTGGATCTCACCAAACACTACGGTTTTAAGATTTCCTGTATATTTACCAGACTCCCTCTCCTGAAAAATCTTTTTGAGGAACCTATAGAATATATCGGATATAGGCTTGCATTTCTCAAAATACTCTCTTACATATGAAATTATAAACAAAAACTCGTCGCACTCTTGAGAGAAAAACATTTCAAAGATACTGAAAAAGCTTAGGACTATTTCCTTCTGGTTCAAATGCATCACCTCATACTCTTTTAAAACTTCTGTGGCTTCTCCTACAAGAAATTCACATTCCTTGATAACGCTGTTATTCTCAGGCTTTCCCTTGCTACATAGCCTTCTTCCCCTTTCCAGGATGTTCATGTTCACCTGGAGAATTATCTGAGGATAGAGGCTGGACTCAAGATATTCTGTAAGAATTCCCACACAGGATTTCCCTATCTGGCTTGCATGCTTCAACACATAGTAGATAAAGCTATTTCCACTGATAATGTTTGCTTTGCCTGCCACAAGCCTGAATATCTCTATTCTCTTTGCACTATTCACTTCTCCATGCTTCATGAGAGACCCTACAAGCCACCTGTACTTTTCGTCATAATAGATCCGAAGAATGTCCTCCACCTCCATGAGTGTGTGTATAACCTCTAAGAAGAAATACTCAAACTTAGCATTGGATATTTCTCCTTTCTCCTCATATCCATTCCCCTTAAAGCTACATTGACTGCTTGCTTCGTCAGAAGAGGTGATGGCCCCCTCGTATGTCTTCTTTTCAACATATTCCTCGCCGTTATCATCATCCATATCGCACTCAATAGTATCAAATCCTTTGGCTGCTTTTGTTGCAATAAAAAGAATCCTCCGGATGTATCTTTCACTTTCATATGCTCTAATCGGCACTGTTTTGAAGAAGTGTATAAAAACATCTAGAAATTCCTGGTGATCAGAGTACTCAAAATCTCCATTCTTCTTCAGTTGGAGGATCTCTTGGATCACTCCAGCAAATATCCTTATTATCCGAGACTCATAACAAATAGACACCCCCCTCAGCTGATCAATAATCAGCCTCAGAACTTTTGACCCGGTCTTAAGTCTGTGTGTGCCTTGCACCTCCTCCCTGGCCCTTGCTTTTAGATAGTCAAGAGTGCTCGGTATAGTAGATGTTTTTGACTTCAGGTATGTTATAAGCCTTGATAGCTTCTCTTCGCCTGCAGTCCCCACTTTATATACATCATCAACCATCTGAAAGTGTTTTTCATAGCCAAACAATGCTCTTAGCATCCAAGGGGCAAAGATTTGCCAGTAATGTGTTTATCTTTATCCTTGTTCACTCAGTGCGCACCACTTTCTTCGCTAAACCTTTGGATACGTAAGCTTGCTCTTCTCCACCCCTTCATATATCTCTCTCACTTTGCTCTGTAAGTCCTTATCCATCTCTTCTACGCTCGTGGCAATCTTCTCTATGGCCTTCTCTATCTCGTCGTATCTATGCTTAATTTCTTCTAGCATCTCCTTTTCAATCGTTTTGATCATCTTTTCAATCTCATTCACATCGTCAGAGGTCATCAAGGGTGGCAACTCTTCAAATTCTATCATCCAGATAAACCCTGTAATGGTCTTGATAAAACGGATTTCATCTGGAAGTAAGTCTTGTTATATTCTTCAGGCAAGTGAACAAACATTTCTTCTGGATTATCCATCGAGGATCTATGGAATGCACTTTTCCTTTCCCTCCTTTAACAAGGGGCCAAAGCCCTTGAAGCTCATTCTTCCGAAGTTTGTGGATGACATAGACCATATCTTGGTCTCCAGATCAGACTCGTTGGGTGTGCTCTTCCTCGAAAAGGACATCCCCATCTATATTACAGAGCCTGTTTTTGAGCAGATCCTGATAAAATATCAAAATCTTCTCAGACTTTCCATCCACTACGAAGATGAGGAGGAACACGGTATTTCCATAAGAGATGCAAACATCGAAAGATTCAAGGGAAATGCTAGGTTTATTAAGTTCAATGAAAAATGCCAGTTCGATGATGTTCTGATCACTCCAAAGCCGGCAGGAACATTTATTGGCTGGACAAACTATCTGATTGAGCTTAATAATAGAAGGACGATATACTATCTTTCTTCTCTGGCCAACAAACTTAGGCTTTCTCAGGAGTCGGGAAGCATCTCCTCAGACTACTTGATCATCAACACAGACAGGCCCCCTTCTTCCCATAACATCGAGGAGTTTTCTGACTACATTGGTGATCTGAGGTTTGATGTTGCAATCATTCCTCTGGAGATAACAACAATCCTTACCGAGGTTCTACTTCATACGTTATTTGTGGTCCAAGAAAAAGGTGTAACTCCAATATACATTGTGTCATCAGAATTCAATCGCTTCCATACAATCATCAGTATTGAGAATGAATGGCTGAGTAAACCGTTCTCATCAGTTAAGGATCCCTTTCCAATCAAATCATATAGAAGCCTCCATGTAGTGGACACAATTGATGAAATATCCGAGGTTGCCGGGCCTGCAATAGTGTTTTGCGATCCATTAGAGTTTAGTCTTTACCAACATCCGATATTTGATGGTCAAAAGACTATTTCTATCAACGGTGTAGTGCCATTGGCCGATGCTCATTACAATCTCAAGCTGGAGCTAGACTTTGACGAGATTTCATCAATTCACACAGGTACAATAATATATAATCCAGACCCTGATGAGTATCTCTATATTGAATCTGCATCCAATCATCATTATCTTATTGTAAATGGCAGTGATGTTCAGGTACATAACAGTGAGATATATCTGAATGGCAAGCTAAAGTTTAGTGACAAGTATGGCTTCCGTAAAAAAATGACATTTAATCAAAAAAGGTGTAAGCTAAGCGATTTATTTACTAACGACACATTTCTTTACAACGAGGGCTCATACTACTTTCCACGCAAGGCTATCAAAGTCACAATAGAAAATAATAGAGCTAGGATGGAAAGGATCGACAGGCCGGACGAAGTTAAAGAACACCCTGAATGAAAGAGCTTTTAGATTAGTTTGAGATGTCCTTCATGTCCTATTGAACCTATTCTTTCTCTCGCGAAGATTACCCATCATCTCTTCTTCTGATCCTTTAGTAAATATCCTCCTTAGGTTAAAGAATGGGTTGTATTCCATCTCGTCTTTAAGTCTTAAGAATTTCGTCTCCTTTATCTCCAGCGGAACAGGATAGAGCTCCTCAGTAAATCGAATGTTTTGCTCGTTATAGTCGTGTCCATACAATAAAACGGCCTCATTATTCACTCTTCCTCTTATTTTCATGATGGCCTCGATCATTTGCTCAGGTGTTCCCTCAAAAAACTTTCCACACCCAAGGAAGAACAATGTGTCACCTGTAGCAAGGAATCTTCCATCAACATAGTAACAAAAGCTATCCATTGTGTGACAAGGTGTATACAAGCATTCTATTTCAACCTCTCTGAAGTGGAACTTGTCCCCACATTTGCATATATTACCCTCAAATCCAGATATTCTTTGAGTGTCCGGACTGTTCTCCATTATGTATGGAATTCCACAAGAATGGTCTTGATGCTTATGTGTGGTGAACAGATAAACAAGCCTTCTCTTCTTTGTCATATCTTCAGGCATGCTAAGAATCTCTTTTTCACTATAAATCTTCTTTTTAAAGTTGATGCCTAGAGCCTTTAGAAGCACCTTTGGATTACATGCATCAATGCAGAATGCTGCCTCCTCTTCATAGAATAAGTGCATGTAGTTATCTCCCACAACTATACTTACAACCTTTACACCCATAGCCTTACCCTATACTTACTATTTTATTTAATCGATGGAAAGTAAAGAAATCATGTACTCATAAGGGTTTCAATACAGGGACAAGGACTGCCGTGTTTATATCTCTCCAGATATCTGGGGCGTGTAAATTAGGTGCGGCTCCTTGAATCCTCTAAGAATCCGCTGCCCTTGGTTTATATACATAATCTTCGAATGTTTGGTCCACACACAATGGCAGCAGAATACTCCAATCCCAAGGTTTGCAATGCGTGATGCTTTGCTAAGCACCGGCCCATAAAACCTGACATGGCTGTCAGCTATCCTTGTATAGAAAGACCCACATGTTATTCCTATCCCAACATCGATTTCTAGGCACTTGAGCATTTCTTTGATCTTCAGCCCCCATAGGCAGGCCTCCACCCTGTCATGAAACGCAACAATCCATATCCTTGAAAAGAACTCTATCCTGGTTCCAGAAAACACAATGCTCATCATCTTCATTATATTCGCTACATTTCCAACAACATATTCATAGCTCGTGCCTATTGGAAGAAGTCTGCAGAATGCAAAAATAGGGTTTGGATTGGAGAGAAGGGTGCCATAGAATCGCCTTGTGCTGCTTTTCAATACAAAGTTGTAATTTTCCCCTCCCTGTATAAAGTTTTCATTGTTCTTCTTTCTGGAGATACCTTTAATCGCATCCTCATATCCTACCTTGCTAGGAAGGCAAGCCCTGGATATTAGCTTCACTCCTCTGCATGAACTCTTGTGCAACTTGAGCGTACTAGAAATGGCCATCATTACGGAAAGAGAGCATCGATGGCCTATAAAATCCAGGGTAGAATCTAACTCATTCCTAACCGTATCTAATATGTCAAACCTTGCGACACTGCCCTGGAAGTCGCAAAACAGCGGAATGAAGTGCCAGTTCCCAACGTTATCATACACCTCAACAGCCTCAGGGTCATTGAATATCCTGATCTCTGCGAAGTTTGAGAATATAAAGCTAACCCCTCTTCCATTGATAACCACATGCTTAGGTGTCACCATGCACAACGCATACTCGGGCTTAATCCCCCTAGAGAAAAGAGCCTTCCTGAAGAAATGGCAGAACCTCTGGAGATAAATGTGAGGACTATGAGCTCCAGTCACCTCCGACTGAATGATCCCGAGTATATCAGAAATGTCGATGCCGGGATCATGGACAGATATAAAAAACAATCTTCCATCTACTCCCTTTGGGTCAACAATGAATCTTTCAACCACTTTTTCTTTCACCCTGCATTGATGCACATAGTGTCTCACCCCATTTCTTCTTAGGCTCTTCTTAATATCTGTGCCTTTGAGGTTTAGGAATCTTAATTCAATTCTATCAAAATTCTCAAAGTTCACAAGTGGATTGTAAGAGAGGTCTAGATGCGCCAGCCTATCCCACCCCCAAAGGTCAAATACCATTATCTGGTTCTTCGAGGCATCAAGAAACCTGACCCCCTTGTTTGGAACTGTATGTACAAGATTGCTAGAAATATCTAAGTACTCAAGAGATGGGAAGACGGGAACTTCCTCTATAAGGTTATTCCTAGCCTTCAGAACCCTCAACTTCTTTGCATCAAATGATAAGCAACGTATTCCACAGTCATTAATGCTCAGAAACACAAGGTTTTCAAATGCCCCCAGCTTAACTCTCTTTGTCCCATCCATAACCAGTTTCCTTATTGTTTTTGAAGCCAGTGACTTTACCATTGTTTGAGATAGGTTCAGCACCCTTGCTTCTGCATGATAGAACTCCAGAGGATTATAGCTTAAATCTAGGCGTCGATAGGTGAAGTCCTGGAAGAATCTGGTCACTTTGTTATGCGAAACATCGAGATTTGATGCTCTCATCCTGATGACACGAGAAATCTCGTTATGTGATAGATTAACTGTGTCGAAATATCCACGAAGACATACTACACCAGATATATCGTTATGACTCAAATCCAAATATGCCAACCTCATCATAGAGATGTCAGGAATCTTTTTGATTCTACAGTTTACAAGCTTCAGTTTTCTGAGCATTCCAAGCCTAGATTGATCCTGCAATATCGTCTTTGAGAATGCTGTACTTGCTGTAAAGTCTTTTGGGTCAATAATCACCAACCTTCTCAGCCCATGCATCTTTATGGTTTCGCCATCTTTGTATAGGCATCTAAGGATGGGCATGTCACCATTCTTAAGCATTTCTATTCCCTGCTCACAGGACAGTCCAAGGCCCACCTTTCTTTCAAACTTTGCCACCATCTCTATTGTCTTAGAAAAAACAGATCCGGTGTATTCATATTTCTCTCCTCTAGAGCCATATACCGGTATAGATAGAGTGAAGTCATCTAACCAAACAGTCTCTGTGGAAAAAAGGTATCTGATTTTAGTAGATGTTATTCTTTTCTGGGTTCCGATTCGTCGAACTTCTAAGCTAACCTCCATAAAGGGCTTTGTTTTAAATCAACGATAACAAGGATACCTGCAACTTCAACTCACCATATATAAATCACAATTAATCATAGTATGCCCAGCCCCTGCTTCATAGAGCAAACTATTCCTGGAAATGTGCTTCATGTTCCGCCGTATGTCTCAAATACTCCTTAGACATGCTTTTAAGGGGGACTAGGCACTTATTAAGATCTACAAATCACTTTTGTTTTGAGCCCCTCATGGACAAGTTCCACTCGTTGGCTATAAAAGCATTGCTGACATTCATCTGCACAACGGCAGTGCTTGTGCACGAGGGATCTTTCAGGCTATATCTATGCGTGGCCCTATTGCTTGCAACTTCATTTGATGTGAGCGTGATATTTTACTTTCACATGAAAAGAGTAGAATATAAGAAAAGATTCTTGAGAAAGGTATATGATCCCGGGCACAGAACACTGATAGGTTTTGCCCTTTGCGAGGTTTTATCGATGGTGCCGTTCTATTACATGGTAGGATACTGGAAAACTATGGTGATAAATATTGCACTGGTAGCTAGCCTTAGCATTATTCCTATGCTTAACTCCTCGGGCAGAAGAACAATCCAGCTGGAGCGGAACGAAGAGTTTTTTAAGATAGGGTTCCTTAAGATAGAGCACATCGAGGATGGGGATGTGTGCTTGAATAAAGGAGAGGTCGTTCAGATTCTAGACCATACCGGAGGAAGCACCATAGTCAGAAAGTCTGACGGAAGGGTCTTCACAGTAGAAGACTCTTATATAGACGATGGAATCGACATTGTCCTGTAACTCTATGACCAATAATTGGCAAAATCTCTAAATAAAAGTAATATTAGATTCTAAAAGAGGAGGTTAAACATGGAAACGGATGCACTCAAACCCGTTTATTCAACTAGAACACCTTCGAAGCTCTCGACAAACCACTTCTTAGCATCTTCTGCATAAACTCTCTGCTTATTCCCAACCCTTGATTTGCATCTTTTTCTTTTGGATACCCTATCTCCCGGCCTTGAAAGAACCACAAAGAAGTCCATTCCAAATATTCCAATTGCCGGGTCGTACTTCAACCCGAGGTCAATGTGCTCTTCAATTCCAAATCCAAAACATCCATTGTTACTGAAGCAACCTTCCTTAAGCTCATATTCCTTAACCCTTAATGCAGTGTTGAGAAGCTCGTAAGCCTTCTTTCCAGACACATTGACATGAACGGCAATCTTCTCGTTTCTTCTGATTCCAAAGTTCCGGATAGTCATTCGGGCTTTCGAGGTCACCGGCTTCTGTCCGGTCAACTGCTCAAGGACCTTTGCAGCCCTGTCGAGCTTTGGCCCGCTCTCTCGTGCACATATGTGAATAGATAGCTTCTTAATCCTTATCTCTCTCATTGGGTTTGTCTTAAATTAGCCTTCTCAACTTACTTTCTTCAATGACATATTGGGGATCAAATTTTTTTTCGCTCAAAACCATTGCAACCAAACGTCTCTTAATAGTCCAACAACTTTAATAGCATCAGCCAAATATACCATCTGTACACATCATTCTTCTATGGGCCGTTCATCTTGATAAACCACTTCTTATCTAGAACCTCATGGATACATACGACATTTCCCTCTTTGGCTCCTACCCCAATATCTCTCCTTGAAGGCACTGCTTTCAGGGGAAACATCTGGCTCCCATTTTTCAAATACCAAGACCCGTCCTTAAACTTCACAAGCTTTGTGTTTGAACGCCCCTCCCTATGCCTCACCTGAAATGTCTTGACTTCTTCATCTCCATACTCACTGGGATCGAAAACAAGCCAACCAGGCTTCTTCACTAGAAAATGCATAAGTGGGGCCCTGATACACAAATTTAATTCTGCTGTTCACAAGAGATCCATGCAAAGGAGACATCCCTCATTATGTGCTTAGATATAGAATGGCTCCCATCCAATGCAGGATATCTAATTTACATACTGATGAAATGCCCACCCCACAAAATGGAGCATCTGCTGAACGATATTCTACGGAATCCCAGGGGACCTTCCATAGGCTACATAGAAGAAAGATTGGATGGAGTTGCTGGACAGCGTGAGTTTATGGAGCTCCTGAAGAGTGGGAATGGAATTGCATTTACTTATATGAAAACAAGGTGCAAGGAATGGATCGAAAATCCAAAACGGATTAAGATGATACACGAGGGTCATGACATCCTATTTTCACTAATATTTGGATCCTCAGAGCAAAACTTTGGGATCCTTTGCTTTTTCTTTGAGACCCTGTATTTCCACGGTGCAACCTGGGATGGGCTAGTCGAGGATCTATGTGCAAATCCAAATGAGAGAAGTGTGAAAGTTCTGAATCACATGTTCAATAAGTACAGAATTTGTTCGAGGAGTGATGCATTGTACGGTGAAATAATTAAGAACATAGAGTTGTGCCAGGACATATTCAAGAAAGCATATTTTGAATCTCTCTCAGAGGACGAGAATATCCTTGGGATGTTTCACTCCTTGGTGTTTCAAGATATCCATCCCTTTTTTGAGAACAATGCAGATAAGTTCATAGGATCTTTTTGTAAGCTATTGCGTAAGAATGTACTTCAGAAGGATATATGCGAGGTCTTCAACCTCTTTGTGACGAAATATCCTGAGTGTGTCGATATGACTAGAATTCTAGGAGTTGTTTTAACAACCATAACAGGGTTTGATTATTTGAAATATAGTGTTCTACTCAACATTGTGAAAAGGAAGAGTTATCCTGTCCTTTCTAAATTCTCAGCTGCACTCTCAAATGCGGTGAAGCTTGGTGCATATGTGTCTGAGAATGAGGTTGGGGAGATGAACGAGGATGTACTGCTATACTCAAGAAATCTTCTGAAAGGTTATGACGTGAATAGAGGAATAATTATTGAGATGATTGGGCATCTGAGGAGAGTCTTTGGAGATGGTTGGGAAAGCACAGTTATTGACGGCGAAATTGCAACACCGATGGATGAGGAAAGGCTGATATTTCTATGTATGGCTTTAAAGATGAGGCTAAAAGAGGCTGTTGATAGATGTACTGATATAATTCGGAACAGCAAGTCCGTGGGGTATCTGAGTGTTGTCTCCTTTCGATATCTATTATCTATTGATAGCCATGCTATTATTGACCCCGAGTACATTAGCAGAATAAGCCCAGCATCGTTTCTTGCAATGGCATACTTGAGTAGATGTATTGACGGGTGTGAATCTTTAGCATCTCTTGAGTCGTACTCGGTAAAGTATACAGAAGGCAATCCAATAGCATGCGAAAGGATAGGTGGGGTTGAATGCTGCACAAAAATCATGGGCCAGGTAATGGTATTTCTTGAAGGTAATATCGAAGACGAGTTTTCCTCACAGCTGATTCAAAGAATGATTAGGATCTGTCCTTCCTTGGTGAACCCTGGAGCTGTGAGGTTTATCGATGATTTTGTATGGAAGAATATTAGAAACATCAATTCACCTCAGGCTTATGGATATCTGCTTGACGTTCAGGGACTCATCTTTTTAAAAACAGGAGACAATGCCTGGATCTTGAATCTAGTGCAGACTGTACTTAGTGAGGAGATATTTGAGATATACTCCTCCTCACTGTTTCTTCTTGCTATTGTTGTTCTGCATTCATCTGGAGACTTCTCATCTGTCGTAGAGATAATAAAACAGGAAAGCCTGTGGAAGACTAAAGAACTCTTACCAAGCATGGTGTGCCTTACCATATCTCTTTTTAAGGCAGGGTACTGCACTAAAGAACAGGTGGATTACATTGTTGAGTATTTATCAGGGTTTAGCATACACCATGGTTATGTTCTTCTTAGTAATGTTGCTGTTTCAGGAGACTACACGAAATGGATTAAGGGAGGAAATGTGGAAGAAGAGTTTGTTCTTGCCACTGCCTTAAAGAAGAGAGGATTGACTAGCACCGAGATGTACAGGGAGATATATTCTAAGAGCCTTCAATACTTCAAGGAAAGTTTTATATCAAAGAGAAACACCCGACGAGTTCTTCGAGGATTGAAGTATGGAGTGGAATGTTTTGGAGGAAATGAGGCCTACGAAGTAATGGAAAGAAACAAGCATAGCATTGGATACGAAAACATCCCATTCAGTGTGGCAGTGGCTTTTGAACTTTAGACGGAAGGCACCCTTTTCATGCTGGCCTTTCTATTTTATGGCAATAAACAGGATTGATTTTCTTAGATATATCTCTGCAACTCACAGGCGAACGAATTATTTCACGGTATAATAAGCCCTTACTCACAATGTTTCAGCCAGGCATTGAGGCATATTTGGATGCCATAAAGCAGCAGTACGACACGATTATGGCCGAGAATAGATCTCTTCGGCAGGAAAATGTCCGGCTTGTGGAGGCAAACAGCCAATATGCTAGAAAGATCCAGTACTATACGAGCCTCATGAATAGACAAAAGCACATACCATCTTCTGATCCCGGGTCATCATTTATAAGGGCCTCGAAGTGTCTTAAGAGAGGAAGTGACTGGAGCATCGACGGAGATAACTTGTGCAGAGTTAGCGCCTGTGGGAGGATAGTGATGCCTGGAAAAATAACAAATGCGGTCATAAGTCCATGCGGTAGATTTGTGGCGTTTGGATGTGGATACAAAGTGTTTGTTGTAATGGAGAGTATAATATGGTTCTTAAACTCCTCTTCGGAGAAAATGGAAAAGTATGAAGAAAGGATGTGTGAGGGAGAAACACAAGAGTACAGGATATGCCCTATGGACTTTACTCAGGACTCCCTTCGGTTGTATGTTGCAGATGGAAAGGGCGCAGTAAGAGTATGGAACCTGGCCAGTAAATCCCAGGAAAGATTACTAAAATCCTCCGATCCTATATCTCTCAAAATAATTAGGGATCTGGTGTTTACGATTGAATGGGATAAGACCGTGAATGTGTATAGTTTGGATGAGAAAATACTTAGTTTGAACCCTGGAGAGGAGTTTGGAGGGCCGATGACTGTGAGTCCTGACGGAGGGTTTGTGTATGCAGTTGTGAACAGAAACAAGATTCTTATCATTGATGTGAAGGGCGAGATGACATACATGACGAGTACTAACGAGGAGCGGATTCTAGCGATGTCTATATCTAATGAGCGCATGATAATGTCTGCTGGAGGCTATGGACGGAATGTTGTTCTTTACCGGATAAAACCCGAAAAGCCTTCATGCAGATGCCAGGATGTCATTGAACAAAAAGGAACCATCCTCTCGCTAGGATTTATTAGAAGCCATTTGCTAGTGGGGCAACCAGAAGGTGTTATGATCTGGGATCTAGAGGAAAAGAAAAGCATGAGGATACAAATTAACGAGTCCAATGTGATTGGAATATCTACATCTAAGAACTTCTTCACCACAGTTGATAATAATGGAATTCTACGAATATGGAGGTATAGTCCTGACGAATAGAACAATGACCCTTGGCCAACACCTAGCTTCAAAACAGGCATCCCCTAGAGACTTTATTATTAAAATGTTTTTTGGTCCTCTTATCATTATCCACTTACGTAAGAAAAGTATGTGGGTGATATCCCCTTGTTCTAGATTCTAGAGCTTACTAATGTATTCTTTTATGTCAGAGATCCATGCATCTCTTTCTTTTTCACAGGTGGCATACAATTCTATTCCTTCTCCAGACTTCTCAAGGCAGAAGGCAACCTGGCCTACAGGCAAAACATTGCATCCACTAAGAAGGAGGATCTTAAAGACCCGACTTTTTTCATAGCATATGAGTGCCTTTCCAACAAACTTAAAAAGGTATGCCTTCCATCCTTCATTATCCATCAAGAGATATGAAGATCTAAATACCTGAACACTTGAAATATCTGAGAGAATGAATGATTGCAGCTGTTTATCGGTGATTCCTGAGTTCAATGTGACTTGGATCATCCTATCTCTTGCCCTTCTTTCCTGGGGAGACATTGCATTCGATAATGTTGTGCATCGAATGCCAGGAATCAGTGCAGCAATATCCCCTATGGATTTGCATATCATCCAGTTTACATCAGACTCAACCATGATGTAGTACTTGGTTGTTTCTGCAGAGCCTTCATACCCCAGCACAGTGTTTGATATTCTGATACTTGGATGGATTGTTAGCTTTCTCCCAGGAGCATAAAGGTTTGAAACCGGCGAAGTATTGGAGGGATCATTCCATAACTGTGATGGCTCACTATCACCATCTCCCATATTTGGCATCCCATTTCTTGGTTCGGATGTCTTTACATACATCACATCAATAGGAGCAAGGGCCGGGGATCTGCTTGTACTGTTGTGTATAAAGGAGCTGGATGCCTGGGATGAAACTTTAAGAGATGAACTAGAGGTCCTGGAATTTGACAATGGATTGCTAAATACAGATCTGGATGGAGAAGATTTCTCCTCCACTTGTTCCTTCTTCTTGATATATAGGCATGATGGATCCACGCTTCTTTCCTTTCCAATACCGCCAGGATTCGAAGAAGGCCCTCTATTGAAAATAGAGCTACTTGCCATGGACTTCACGTACCCCTTAGAACTTGCTCCACTTCCTTTCTTCATCGTATAGGAGGTGAAGTCTATGGACGGCTTTTTGTAAAGATCCATTCCAACCACCGATCCTCTAGACATTTCTTTGTGAACCATACTCCTATTTATACCACCAGAAGGATTTACCTTCCAAGATATCATGCCCCCAATAAATCCATCCTTTGCCTTAGGACTATTTGCATCTCCAGCATCCCTTTGGCACCTCTGTCCATTATTTATTGATTCGTTCCCATCAGGAAAATCCCTACGCTTGCCGAAATAGCTTACAGGCGACTCTAGCCTGATGTTTCTGTTGAATACAAATCCATTTCCAATACAAGACCTCGCTTTGAACTCCTCATTGAGCTTTCTCAGCTTTTCATTCATCGACCCCATTGAAAGCCCCCTCGGGTCCCTAAACTTTCCCTCTTCCTCATCTGTGATGGGAGACAAGTATGAATACAAAGTGTCCTTTCCCATGTTTAGGGCTCAAAATAAACATCAATATTCAAAAGCCTTTAATAAAACCTGGACCTTTGTGTAGGTATAAAGAGTAAAACAAATTCTTTAATATTCTTTTGCTGATAGTAATCTACATATATCCTCAACAGGATCCGTAAAGATCTTTCTCTTGTACACTTCACGGCACAAGTCTTCAAAAATCTCTCTTGTGTCTTCGTCAACAGCCATGCTCAGCACAGAGGTTCTAAGATAATCGACAGCCTTCTTCTCATCAATCCCAAGGAGATGGAGATATTTGTGCTTCCTGACAAGAAACTTTGATAGATGGCGGATCTCCTTGTTTGTTTTCTTTTCGAGCCTAAATACCCACATGTCGTTCACACGCCGGTCCGTCCTCTCAGACACATTCCCTCCAAACAGATAAAACCATCCGTTCATCTGAATAAACTGATGTGCAGACCTTGAAAGTGGTTTAATATCCACCCCCGTCTCTGCTCGAGTTTTGGCAATCACCTTTGTCCATCTTTTTCTAGTAAGGGAGTAGGTATATACATCTATGCTCTCAAGCTTCCCTTCCTTTTCCTTTCCATGGCAAAAAAGAACAACAATCTCTGACAAATAAAGAAGACCCCGCTGGATAATCTTCCCGTCTCCATTTATAGGAAACGGCACACTTTGGTAAACGGTATCTGTATCAAGGCTGTAAAAGAGAATCTCTCTTATTGAATTCTTATTTCTCTGCCCCCCTATAATTGCAAGGCTGTTGTTATAAATGCTACCTTCGATATAGTCTGGAGGAATAAACACCATGCTGTGCCCTAATCTAGACTTCAAAGAAGGTGTGTTGGGTGGCTGTACCGTGTCAGACCTTACCATGGTCCATCTACTTATAACCAGGCCTGATGACGACGTCGAAAGCTCATGCCTTGAATTAGATTCATCTGTTATACTCTCATGCAAAACTCTCGATCCAAATGATGATTCCCTAACACAGATGGATCCAGAAAGTTGTTCTTTTCTTCTGACCGGATTGCTAGCATTCTTGTATCTTCCATCTAGCCCAAAAGCAGCCTTTTCCATCTCATTCATTTTTTGGTAATCTTCAAGGACATCTTCTTCATCTTCATAGCTTGGAGATGTATCATCAAGGGAAAACATATAGAGTCCAGAATATATGTCCTCCCTTTCAGTCGATCTCCCTCCAAAAACACATAACTTATCTCCGGTAGCAACCATTTGATGGTCATATATATTCCCCGGCCCTCCCTCATCATTCATATTTATAACTTTCCACTCCCCATCAAAAGCCCAGATATCTGATCTTCCTGAAAAAGCTTTACGAGAGGACAAAGGAATATACTTCCCCATCAGATAAAGCTTTGACTTGTTAGAGATCATCCTGTGGCAACTTCTTTTTCCGGGTGTTCTCCCATCCACTTTGATCTCAGTCCATTCCCCATCTTTGTATCTCCAAAAATCCTCAAGCTCCTCTACCCCGTTCCATCCTCCATAGACATACAAGCTTCCATCCATCTCAGCCATTTGATGCCCTCCTCTCTCACATGGCCATACTTCAGTCCTTGGTATCTCTGTCCACACAAGTGTGTATGGAGAATTGTCTATGAACCCTTGGAAAACACATGGATCCAACTTGTCTAAAACCGCCTCCACATCTTCGTATCTGTGACTTTCCAGCAACTTTCTTATGTGCTTTACAACTTCATCCTCGATTTTATCTGAGCTTCTTTTCTCAAGGATCTCATAAACATCTCTGAATCCACTATCTCTAAGAAATCTCAAGCAACTTCTCATTGATCTCCCGAACACAATCATTTCGTTATATCTAATAAACTTCTCAACATCCATAATCCCCCGGAGCTCAACAAACCACAATGAATAACTAAAGTTGACACCCCATGCGGCCAGAGGCTCGATCTTGACATACTGGGCAATGTAGTATGCCTCGTCTTTCACAAGGAGATTGAAGGTTTCCATTTCAGAATCATTTTTTAGCCCTCCACACAAGACCTCTTTGTACTCAACTCCATCCTCAGAAACACTTATTCTCATCTTCTTGACATTGGATACATGCATCTTGTTGTATTTTCCGAACGTAATGGTCACAACAAGACTTGGGGGGACTTTCAGGATGATGTATTGGAGATGATCATTGGTTGACGTGGACCACCTTGAGTTGGGATCCATGGGGTCGTTTCTTTTGATATTGTTTGGCACATACACGGAAGCATATGTGGAGTAGCTATGTATCTCGTAAGGAATCGCACAGTAGGATCTTCGGTCCTTCAACATTTCTCAGGGGCAACTTTGTCAACATTTTGATGTGTCTTGATTTTTGATTCATTCCAAGTAATAGAAAAGTGATTTGGAGTTTATGGACAAGATTGTAGAAGCACCAATGAAGTCATGGTGATATTTATATAAACCAGAGATTTTTTTATCCCATGAAATTGGAGTTAACTGTAGTAGAAGAGGGAAGCAGAGGAGGATCCATTGGGCTTGATAGGGAAAGAGCATCGAAGAGACTGTTATGGGCCAGCAATGATTCTGGAGGCCAGCGAAGCTCTGAATCGAGAAAGGGAAAGAATGGAAATGCGCTTCCCAAGAACTTGAACAAAGGAAGTGGGTCTTTTGAGGAGAAACAGAAGACAACACAAAAGATTCCTAAGAGGATGGAAGTCCCGGTGGTAGAGGATGAGGACAGCAAGGTCAAAACAAGTGAGAAAGTTAAAACATTAAATTCCTTCAAGGAACTCTGCTCCCAAGCTTTAGTAAATGCACTTGGGAAGGAATACACTGTCCCAACAATCATACAAAAGTATTGCATACCATCCATGGTTGAAGGGCGGAATCTCATTTGTAGGGCCCCGACAGGGATGGGGAAGACCATGTGTTTTTTGATTCCCATTATAGAAAGGTATAAACAAATGAAAAAGCCACAGGCGTGCATTATTTCCCCGACAAGAGAGCTTTGTGAGCAGATTCGAACCGAGACCTCGAAGCTTGTGTATGGAAGCAAGATCAGGGTTGTATCGATCTACGGTAAGAAGCAGGACCTTCCCAGCTATGCCGGTGTCGATATTATAGTTGCAACACCTGGAAGACTCATAGATCTATTGCACAAAGGAAGGGTGGATCTTTCCGAAATAAAAATGTTTGTCTTAGATGAAGCAGACAAGCTTCTAGACATGGGGTTTGAGGTGCCCATAAAGGAAATCCACAAGTATATTCCCAAGAATACACAAACATGTCTCTTCAGTGCCACGTATTCACCAAAGCTAACACGGATGATAAACTACTTTCTTCCGGAAGATAAAGTATCGGTTGAGATACCTTCTGAGACCCTTAGGAACATCAAGCAGGAGATTGTGGAGGTTCGGAACAAGAAAAAGGCGTTGTTAAGTATCCTCCAGAACTCGGACATCAATCTCAAGGGATCGTGGAGGATGGAGGTTCAGCCCGATAAAGTCCTTGTATTTGTTGAAAGAAAAAGTGAATGTGGAGAGGTCGAGAAGGTCTTGAAGAAAAGCGGTGTTTTATGTGTCACCCTGCATGGGGACAAGGAGCAATCTGACCGCAATGAGGCACTGAAGGGGTTTCGCAATGGGAGGTTTCCGGTGATGGTTGCAACTTCTGTCGCTGCCAGAGGTATAGACATCAAGGACATAAAGCTGGTGATAAACTACGACATTCCAAGGGATATAAAGGAGTATATTCATAGAATTGGACGTACTGGGCGTGAAGGAAAATCAGGGAAATCGATTTCATTTTATGATGGGGGAGTGAGTGCAGATTTCAAGAAAGCATTAATAGAAGTTCTAAGGGAGTCCAAAAATCCAGTCCCCTCCTTTCTGTCTGATGTTGCAGAGGATTTTGATGCTAAGCTTCAAAGGTTGAAGATAAGTGCAGACAAGGAGACGTCGGATGATGAGGAAGTAGGCCTGTGGGGGGATGTCTCCCTTGGGTAAGGGATAATAAATACTAATCTACACTTTATGTTTGTGATTTCTGAGCCTTGCATTTCGGTTATATGCTGTGGACAGAGAAATACAGGCCCAAGTCTGCTGACATGTTTGAAGGTCCGGATCACTTAAAGAACATCTTGAGAAAGTCCGATGGAAGAGGGCATCCAAATCTTCTGCTTTACGGGCCGCCAGGCACAGGAAAGACAACCTTTGCCCATCTTCTGGCGAATCGGAAGCTAGAGCTCAATGCGTCTGATGAAAGAGGCATATCTGTGATTAGAGAAAGAATCAAGGTGTATGCATCCACACTAGATAAAGACAAGACAATAATACTTGATGAATGTGAAAACCTCACCTCTGATGCACAGCATTGTTTAAGAAGAGTGATAGAAGACTCTGTGAACACTCGCTTTATATTTATTACAAACTATCCATCAAAGATTATTGGGCCACTTAGAAGCAGACTGGTCAGTGTAAAATTTTCGTTAATGGAGAATGGGATTCTTGAAGACATAGGCAAGAAGGAAGGATTGGGGTATGATAAGGAACTATACTGCAGGCTCTTCGGGCTTTGTGGAAACGATTTAAGAAAAGCGATCAATGTTTTGCAAGGCATTGCTCCTCTAAGTAGCTTTTGCATTGAAGAAGCTGTTGGGGCCATTCCTCAAAAAGTCATCGATGCATTTTGGAATGCAAACAGGCCTGAGGTTATGAACTATGCAAAAGAATTCTTGAGAGAGGGATATTCTGCATTGCAGCTGGTCCGCCAACTATCTGGATCCAATAAGGGGAGCGAGGTCCAGTCGGCCGAGTTCCATTTAGTGCTATCCTTTCTTGAAGAGAAGTCTGTCTCCGGGTGCTCCGATGAGTTAATTTTATACAATCTTCTTGGAAGAAAGGTGGAGATTTTTAACGCCGTATGAAACTGCTGGATTTAATGAATATTAAATCTACTTGCCTTCTTTCTTTTTGTTGTTAAGCATCTTCATTAGCCTTTCGTAGTATCCCCACTTTGCAAGATGCTCTTCATTGATATGTAGCTTACAATGGTCGATTCTTTTTTGTAGGTCCTCTCGGATATTTCTTTTGTCTTCATCATTGGATACACCCGAGATTTCCTGTTCATAATCCAAGATCTCCATTAGGAACTGCTTTCCGACATCGAACTTCTTTGTGCTACTCAAATACCTTGCTCTTGCTAGATCGTTTCTTAGCACATCATATGCTTTGTTTATTTCCTCTATTGATGTGCCTTCCCCAGGGGATGGCCTAGCCTTATCCGGATGGATTCTCTTGCTAATTTCGAAGTATCTTTCTTTTAGATCATGTTTATCTATGGAGAACGAAGGCTTCAGCCCGAAGATGTCGAAGTATCTTGTTGGACTTCCCATGGATGTGTGTTTCTGGGATAGAATAGGGATGAATATTCTTCTGGAAGTACCGCTGCCCTTGTAGATGGCAAAGCCCAAAGACGGAGGAGAAAAGAAGGCAAGCAGAAACTCTTCTAAGCACGGAGGCTCGAAGTCCAGGGGAGAGACTAAGAAGAAGATTGTTTTGAAGAGGAAGCCATGTCCCATTCAAGGAAAGGTATTTCCAGATGCCTCAAAGATGGAGAAAGATCTTTTGGTGCATGGAACTATTAAAGACAAGATTGATGTACTTACACTGCTAACGGAAAGGAATCCTTCTGCAGAAAACTACAAGGGCCTCCTTGCATTCTGTGAGAACCAAAGAAACGATGTTCATTACTATGCACTCAAGAACATCAAGGACCTTCTTATATCAAAGAGGGAGGTTGGAAATCCCTATATCAAGCAAAGGATCGTAAAGTCGTTTGGAGTGAACCTTCGGAACCAATACATAAAGAAGAAGGTTATAAGGTTGGTGGAAAAGCTGCTAGAAAAGGGAGTCTTATTTGTGGATCTGATCCATCTGTTTATCAACAAACTGGGAGACAAAAAAGACACGACCAGCAATGTGATTGATAAGCTGCATCTCCTCTTTCCTGGAAATGAAGAAACCATTCTTGATGGAGTTGAGGACTTCTACTTCAAAAACGACTTATTTAGATCCAGACATGTTGTACTGAAGTTCCTGTCCAAGCTGGACTGTGAAAACAAAAGAAAGGCTTTTGAGGTATTTAACAACATTCTCAGGGATTTCAACGAGAATATTCCTGAAGAGCACAGGAATATCTTACTGGAGGACTTGATTATTGGGCTGGGAAAAAACATGACGGATGAGAAGGTATGCAGGATGGATATCATAAGGAAAGCTGTGCATACCGAGAAGATGATTTTCTACGGGAGTAAGGTGCTGTCTAACTGCAAGGATTCCGAGATGATTCTGTTTTTCAAGAATGCAATTAGGTCATATAAGATGAGAAATTCAAAGCACTTGCCGGAATTCCTCAACATGGTCCACAAGGCTGTGTCTGCAGACGAGAAGATTGAATTCCATAAGTTCCTCCTGGACACATCACTTCTATACACCCCGGAGTATATAATATCAATACTGATCATATGTTCTGAGGCTAGGAAGGCCGGGATAAGCGGATTCGACAATATACATAGCCTCCGGATTCTTGCCTTACATCACAATGATGCAGTTCGAGGTCTTGCACTTCAACTTATTAGTGACGAAGCAATTCATCCATTTGATCCATTCGACAAAATGAGCCTTTTAAATGCCGAGATGATGTGTGGAAATCTATGATCCCGATGTTCTAGATGTGAATGGAAAGCATTTGGATTGACGGATGTTAAAGGTGATAAAGTGTTTTGGATATCCTTTATTTTTCAGCTGTCTGATTGGCCCGACAGTTTTACAAATAGACAGAGCCTTTGAGTTTTGATGATAGAAAAAAGTAACCAAAAGAAGGATGGAAAGGCCCGCTACTGCATCCATCGCAAACTTTTTGGTTGGATGAGAAGGATATATTACAGGTACTCTGTAGAGACAGGGATTTGCATTTTGGAATGGTGGGAAGCTATCCTTGTCAATATTTACTTCTTACTACTATTGTCTTCACTAGCCAAGCAGATAATAAGGATAGGAGTTTATTTAATAGGAGTATTACTGAAGCACTGGCCCTTCTCAAGTAAGCCCTAATGCCAATGAAATTAAAGCTTAATTGTTCCTATTTCCTTAAGCATTGAAAACACAAATTGCTGTAACACATAATTAGTGTTCATTTTCCCTAAGATCTCAACAGCCTTAGACCTTTCTCCTGCTTCTAGTAACATCGTGATGATGTTCTTCAGCTTAAGCTCTATAAAGTCTTCCATCTTTTTCATTTTACAGGCAGCTTTAGTGATCCGTTTTAAGGCTCGGATCATTCTTTCCTTGTCTTTTACTAAGTGTGATATAAGAAACTCGTTTTCGAGATGAGACAATGTTTCATCATATTCAAGAGTTAGATCTGTGTCTCCAGCCCAAATGCTGTTGGATACAGGAGTTTTCTGAAGCCAGACACCTGACCTCTTTTCAAGAAAATATTCCTCATCTGGAAACGAAGCTACAACAAAGTACTTCCTGTCGAGTCTTAGAGATAAAAGATCTCCGGTTCTTGGAATCATACCCTTGGCATCTATCTTGCGCTTGCCGATGGAAAGCACCGTGTAGAATCCATCCGCCTGGAGATATGCCAGCCTCTTTCCAAGAACATCCATAGTCACAACATCTCCAGCACAGATAAATGGCATAGAAAGGACCCCAGTCATAAGGTTGTATATCTGTATCTTCCCTGTGTATAAACATATGTGTTTTTTATTCACACACATCATCTCTATACTCCCATATATCTTATAAAACTCCTTAGGGCCTCTCTTAACAGAGACATAAGTCCGGTCCTTACTCAGCTCGACATTAAAGTCGCCAAAAGATTTAGACATTTGGCTGTTTCTTGGTAACTTTTCTATCTTCCTGTTGCAGTAGTTGAATATTGCAAGGTACGAATGCTCAGTGGTAATCTCAGCACCTTCTGCTTTTGTCTCTTCTGAAGTTGGGTCAGACGATATCAATACAGGCTTTACTATCTTCTTAGCATTCTGGACAGGCTCGTCCTGATCGTTACTTTCTTCCGGGCTTTCTTTTGTCCTTTCAAATATGTCTCTGTTTTCCACAGAGAAGAAAATATCTCCAGAACTATCCTCTTCTTCCTCATAGGCTTTTCCAAAGTCCCCATCCTCTACATCTATCTGAACAACCTCTCCTCCATAAGAGCATACAAGTAATCTTGTTCCGCTTTCATTCCAGCACATGTCCAGCACAGGTAACTCAGTCAGGTTCTTAATCAAAAGGAATGGCTTTGCAGACAATGAGCACCATAGAGATAAACTTAGATCCTGGGATGACACAGCAGCAACATAGTATTTTCTATCTTTTTTGTATAGTACTGGGCTGAATGCCACAACCTCACATGGTGCTGCATGTCCAATAAGTGAGCATTCATTTCTCAGGTCTTTGTTGAAAACTTCAACAGTATTATAATTCCTGTTGAATGACAGCCCAGATGCAAAGAATTCTCCGTCAGGAGTCCAGCTCATCCTGGAGAAAAAAGACTCAAGAATCACTCCTTCAGAAGCATCCACCTTCTTAACAACCTTGAACTCCTCATACAAGACAATTCCATCATCCCCTTGGGTGCACATATATCTAAAGCTTTTGTCGACACAAATACCTTTTATCTGTCCTTCATGGGGCCTCATCTTCTTAGCAACGTCTAATGACTTCTGGTCATAGAGCACAACATATCCATCATATCCAACACTCACAAGAAATCTGTCAGTCCAAATCACATTACTGACGTCATTTTCATGCTCCGAGGTAGATCCAACAACATCTCCGTTCCTTTTATATACAAATACCATTCCATCATCTCCTCCAGAAGCAAATAAATCCCCATCAACACTAAATCTGACACACAGTACAGTTCCTTGGTGCTTCTTGATTGTCCTAATGCACTCATAATCTGGGTTCCACAGCTTTATCTCTCCACCAAGGGACGAAGTAACAATGTGTCCGTCGGACACGTCTATAGAAAAAATAGGCTTTGGCCTCTTTGTCCCGTGGTTGATCCCCGTCCTCAGAACCCTCATTCACATGGGGACTCCGGCCCGCCCTAAATACCACCTCAGAAAACCTAAACATGAAGAAACTCGAAAGTTTAATACTAAGGACTAAAAAGCATTCAGTCCCTCGAAGACCCTTTCTTACTTGACACAGAAAAGTCCCCTGGCGAAATGTACGACTTCATTCCCCCGTTCTTTATTAGCCAGTCATGCCCAACAAAATGAAGCTCAGTATCATTGCATATCGCATGATTTATGTGCTTAGGCATTACTTTCTTCTTTCCATCCGTGTTTGCGACATTCTTTGCTCCATCGGTGATCTCACTGATCAGGTACATCACACATGCAGAAACCGCAACAAGGGCATCCTTTGATATCCTCATTCTAGTCCTGTCTTTCATGATCTTTTTGATCTGGCTCAACTTTACAATGCTCTTGTGGTGTTCCTCATCCTTCCCCATAACTCGTGGATCGGCCTTTCCTCCTTTTGCTTGTACCATTCTCTAGGGCATGGTCTTTGTTTATATATTTTCCTTTTGGAGGGAAACTAAGGCTTTGGAGGGAAGACAGGCTGCAGAACCCTTCCCCAATCATTTAACTTTTCTCCTTTTATTCTCATCCTCTTTGGATAAATTTTCCTTTCCATAGAAGACCCTTAGAAATCCTTGGACATCCTTTCTCTTCAGGCTGTTGATCTCAATCCACATGTTACTTTCCTTTCCTTCGTATTCCTTGACAAACTCCATGAATTCTTTGACCTGCTGCTCTACCACTACCTTCTTGCCCTTTACGGGAATGACGTCAATCGCTATGAAGAACGCCGTACACCTCTTCACCTCCTCAGCCCCAGGCTTTATCTTTCCAATACTCTCTTCCAAGACCCTGAATGCTTTGGGGAAAGGAATAGCATACAGTATGTCATCGACTGCTTCGAACTTTGATGCCAGGATCCTAATCCTCGATTCTACATACCCTTCCCACTTTGTAAATCCCTCTTCCAAAGTCGACATTGCAAGGACCTCAACAAAGAGCTTGTATCGGCCAAAGAAATCAGACAGTTCGAATATCCTTCTGAAGTCGTTCTTCTCAAGGTTGGATAGAATCTCGTGGGCTCGCGAAAACTCCATGGTAATCACATGCTGAGTGCTGTTCGATACATTATGTGTTGCACACATAGAGGGATACGCAGGCGTTATCACTGGCATCCGATGGTATTTGTCTGAAGGATATACCTTGGGGTCCCAAACCTTCAGATTGTAATTTAGATCTACTACTGGACGTAGAATCACAGGTGTCGGCCACTTCCATGACGAAAACAACTCAAAGAACTTGCATACAATGGTAAAGGACGATGCATTCGGATACAGCTGGCAAACCCTCGCAACACACAATGAAAAGGCTACCCCTCCAAAATATCCGTATGGATTTCCATACACACATCTCCTTTTAGCCCAGTACTTGATGCATCTTAGGGCAGAATGGAAGGCCTTTACGTTTGGAACAAGATTTAGCATCTCATCTGTGACTCTAGATCCGTTTAATGACAAAATACACTTCTCGTCCATGCTCTTCAGAAGTGTATCATTGAGTAGGTTGATTCCATCCTTCACAACCGGTACGTTGAGCCTAGCAAAGACTAAATCAATTGGAATCCCTTGAAACTCGAATTTAATTATTGGTACAAATGCATCCTCTATTTTTGTAACACCTTTTATATTCGGGTCTCCTTTTAGTTCTTCATAAAAATAAGTGAAGAAGTCGTTTCTGGTCACATGCCTGGGTACAATACACAAGGCATCGATGTCGGTTCCTTTTCCATGCACCCCTAGCCTATAGCTCCCAAAAGTAAATATCTTCCCTCCATATGCCTTCTCTCCGTCTCCGTTTCCTTTGTTTTTTGCCATCCTTGCTACAAACTCCTTGACCATAAAGTTCAACTTTCCAAGAACTCTCTCCCTTGTTTGCCCTTCCTCGTCGTCTTCGAAAAACCCACGCTCTTGTAGGTACATATCCATCTCCTCAGATAGCTTGACATCCTCCTCTGTACTCTCCTTCATAGAAAGAGGCCCAGTCACCCCATGCTTGTAGTTCCTTTCAGACATTTCCATTTTGCTACCCCTCTTCTCATTTTCTTTTTATCTATTCTTCTCCTCGACGCACTAGCTCCTGGAACCAACTCATCCCATAACACCAAAAGACATAAAAAACTAAACATTTTAATATCCTCCTCTCAGCCTGAGCACCAAATGGAGAGTAGACTCCTTCTGGATGTTGTAGTCAGACAAGGTTCTTCCATCTTCTAGCTGTTTTCCTGCAAAAATAAGTCTCTGCTGATCTGGTGGTATACCCTCTTTGTCCTGTATCTTTGCCTTCACATTCTCAATACTGTCGCTTGCCTCGACTTCTAGTGTGATCGTCTTTCCTGTTAGGGTCTTCACGAATATCTGCATTTGTTTGGGGTATTCAAACAAAGCATTTTTATATTTTGATCCACCAATCACATCAAGCTTCTCTGACGCAATCACCCACACAAAACTCCAAAATACCTGAGTATCAGAAATACAAGAATTGCATCTACTTGGAGGCCCGAGAATTCCAAGCCTGTTAAAGAAACTTTCTATGTTTCCAGAACCATTGTGAAATATTACGCCTTCTCCCTAAACTGCCAGTAATATTCCGGCCATCCGGAGTAAGTTAAGAGAAAAAAATTTACCCTCAAATGGTGTTGGGAAAGGTAAAAAAGATTCCGCTCATAGCTCCAAGGCTTACAAAGGAACAGAAAATGGAGAAGGAGCTTTTGATAAAGAAGAAGATAAACAAGCTAGCCAATGCCATCCGAATCCCGCCTGCAATCAACCAGTTTAAGACCTTTTTGTCCGAGGATGATACTAAAAAGTTCATTAATCTATTTATGAACTACAGGCCCGAGAATAAGGAGGAGAAGAAAGCCAGGCTGAAATCAGAGGATCCGAAGAAGGGTCCTAAGCCTATTCTTGTCAAGTTTGGGCTGAAGCATGTGACAAATCTAATTGAAACCAAGAAGGCAAAACTTGTTCTCATCTCTGCATCTGTCGATCCCATTGAAGTTGTTATATTCCTCCCTACTCTGTGTAGAAAGATGGGAGTGTCATATGCAATTGTTGAAGATTCTACGATTCTTGGAAGGCTCGTCAACCTGAAGTCCACGTCATGTGTTTGCTTATGCGATGTGAGACCAGAGGATGAGGCGGCCTTCAAAGAAATACTAGGAATAGCAAATGCAACATTCCTCGATAGCTATGAAACCCATCTGAGTACTTGGGGAGGAGGACCCAAAAAGCAAACAACTGGGGAGCAATGAAATAAAGCAATTTCTTTATTCTTGAGAATTAAGGCTATCATACCATCACTCCTCTCGAGTAAATAGGACAGATAGACCCACAGCAGCTAGTATTGCAAACTTCACCCCGGGAATGGTATTGATCCAGAGGTTTATCCATCCAAAATAAGGAATGTATCCAACAACAATAGACTTGACCTCATTCCTAGTCAAATAATTCCTTCCTTTTGGATAGAGGGAAACATCATCGTCAAGGTTATTGTCTCCCTTCGTGAGATATCTTCCACCAAACTGCTTAATGCATCTGTGTACACATGGAATCTCCTTTCCAAACTTGAAAACAGTCATGTCTCCAACACTGAAATCCTTGTTAGCAAGCCATAGTATATCTCCCCTCTCAAATCCAGGGGACATGCTTTCACTCAGTACAACAACAATAGGACTATCATTGTTCAAGAGAATCGAAAACATCTTCCATATCATGTACGTCCCCATCACAGAATATGCCGCATTCACAAACTGGACAAGCTTCTGCCGAATACTCATCCTTTTCAGCATCCGGATATCCTTTTCAGAAATAATATACTCAAGCATTCAGGGTCTCAAGGTAACATGTTTCTTCTCCCTAGTAGAGGCACACCAAAATAAACAAAGACATAGAAATGAAAGAATAATTTATTATTCTAACTTCCCTCCTCACATCCCATAGATCTTGAAGTTCCCCTCATATCCATATCTCTTTATCATATCCATCGTCACTTTATCAACCTCGACACAGTCAACATCAAGCATGGACTCCTTTGGAATCACATTCTCCTTTCTCTCTCTTTCTTCCTCATGGCTCTTGATGTAAACCCTGTTGTATGTCCCCTTCAGAATCTTCTTATAAAGTGACGTAAGATATCCTGCAATCTCATTCTTCAGCTTCTTTGATTCAACAACCGCAACATCTTGCACAACAAGCAGATTGTGATCAAAGGTGTTGTCAAGCCTCTGGAAATACTTCTCTGCTATCGTCCGAGCCGCTCTCTTGACTATCTTATTCTTCACACTACCCTAAAAATTAAAGTCTCCACCTACCATTTTGGGGTGAAAAATTTTCTTGCACAAATCATACTTCCTATGGGCTACTCATTGCTTGTACTCAGGTCTCAGCTCATATGTGTTTTTAAGATCCTTCTTATTCAGCACACAGATGTCAGAGACAATCTCTTGGATAAATGCAACAGGTTGCCCACAGAAATCAGCCAGGTCCTTTACAGTCCACGATGGATACTTCTCAAACGCCTTGAAGACCATATCTATCACCTCATTCTTTCCAAGTCTCTCCCTCTTCTTATCCATCAGCATCTTCTTTCTCTTTCGAGCAAGATACTCAAGCTCCCTAAGGCTTCCAAACTTCTCGCCTCTCTTACCTTCTTTAAGATAATCAATGACCTGTACATCTCCTTTCTTTGCACTGCTCTTAAATCCTGCATCCTTCTTGTACTTCAGATACTCCTCATTAATCTCAGGTGTTATGTAGCACTCATTGTTGATCATCCCTTCAACATCTGCATTGTTTTCATGTGCCTTAACAACATACATGTTGTTGTCTCTAGCCTTTATCTTTACATCAAACGAAGATGGGAACCCGCCTTCACAAAACTCCTTCGATAGCTTCAAATTCAACACTGCCGGCTCGGTAGGTGTTGCTTTTGTTATGTCAAGCTCCCCAACCACAGTCTCCTCATTCCGGCTCAATATCCTTTCTGCCAAAAATAGAGGAACCTTTGCAAGCCAGATCTTTGTATTCTTATTATTTATATTCAATTCCATCGAGGGCCTGAGCCCTAATACCATAACTTAATTTTATAGAAGACTATGAATGAAATTTAAATCAACATCATGCACTTTGTTAGATCACATTTATTAACATCATTGTATGCTACAACAGGTGAAAGAAGCGCAGTTATTTACTGTCCCAGCAACGCTACTAAGGCAATCAACGCAATCACTGCAATCAACACTCGTCGTCGTATTACTAGTGTAATGGGCTTCTAAGCTATCACCCTCATTACGTACAGTAAATTCAGTGTTTTTAGATATTGTAAATCCTGCATCAACCACAGTATCACCACCGTCCTCTTCATTATTACCCTGAGAGCTAGGTTGAGTATTTATTACTTCAGGATTTTCGCCACCCTTATTAGATGACCAGACTGATGTTTGGAAGAGTAGTATCATCACGATTAGTACTTTAATACCCTTCATATTTATTTTGAGAATGTCATCTTAAATAATAATATAAAATTTTATCCCTGATGAAGATTTTGGTCACAAGAACAGTAAAGGTTCCAGAAAACTGCACTGTAAGCCAAGAAGGAAAGGTCTTTACGTTTGAGGGGCCGAAGGGAAGCATAGTAGAGGATTGCACTCGCCATCCTCTAACATTTGATATTTATGAAGGAAACATTCGGATTAGGCTTTGGAATGGAAAGAGGAAGGCAGCAGCTCTTGCAATAACTGTAGAATCCTTACTGAGGAATGCTATCAAGGCTGTCACCGTTGGGTTTGCATATACACTGAAGGCTGCATACAACCATTTCTCCATTAATATGGAGGTGAAGGATGGAGGGAAGATTCTCCTTGTGAAGAACTTTCTTGGAGAGAAGAGTGTCAAGATATTCAAAATGCGTGGCGTTGCAAGGGTTAGACTTGATGAGAGAAAAGACACAATAGTTATTGAAGGGCCATCCCTTCCTGATGTCTCTCAAAGTGCAGGGACAATTTCTAATGAATGCAAGGCAAAGAATCGTGATAGTAGGGTATTTCTTGATGGGATATTTGTCATTGAGAGAGGCATTATGGCTTGAGTAAAAGGTCAATTTATTTATCTTTGCTTTTTTCGATAACCTTTTCTTTAGAAGTCTGAGCTTTTCTTAATTAACCTGAGGTTCTTTCTTCTTAGTCTTAGCAACATGTTTTTCACTGGATATTTCCTCCTCAAGTAAATTAGCATGCCTTTCGATGTACTTCAGATCACTTTCCTTCGTCATTTCCTGCCCAGTGAGAATTCTATCTTTGATAAAGAAGTCTTCTCTTCTCTTTCTTATTTCAAGTATCTTTGGAATAGTAGAGAGTGTCTTTTCCACCACACCACGGTCATATATTCGAGGCTCGTTCAGGCGGCGCTCAAATGTCAGGACTGTGTCATTGCAGAGCTCCTTGTTAGCCATCTTCCTTGCTATCTTTGTCCATTTCACTCTTCTTGGATTCACACGCCTTTCAAAGAACTTCCTGCACTTAGACCTACAGAATCTAAAGACCTTTGCATCGTTTCTGACATAGACAGTCCCGTGTCCTTGATATATGTTTGACGAGCAGAACCAACACTTCTCAATCCTCATCTTACCCTTGGACTCATCTAGAATTTCTATTCAGCTAAAACTAAATATTTTAATTAAACACCTATGGATGGCTCTAGCCGAGTCTTTGTCTTTAGCTTGGCAATAATCGTAAACAACTCATCCCTGTCCATTACAATGTACTCCCCAATCCTTTCTTTCACATGGCTGAGCTCAGAAAAAATGAAAGAATCGTTGGTTGCCAGAACAAGCTTGTTCTCAAGACATCCTTGGAGAATGATCATTTGGCTGTAAGAATTGTTATGTCTCCTTCTTATATATATCTCAAAATAATGCTCATATAGATGGAGTAGAACTCCTACAGCCATATCTTTCAGGACTCCCGAGACATTAATTCTGAAGAGCAAAGTTTTTCCAAGCCTCCGAAGATTTGCAATGCAGTCCCTGAATATCCAAATGAGTTCATGATGGATCTTGATGCTTTTTTTTATCCCTGGAACCACCTTTCCTGACAAGCATAGAAAGGCATCTACTCTGGAGCCCTTTAGCAAGTTATAGCAAACCAAGAAGAAGCTCTCTGTGGACGATAATTCAACATCATATCCTATTTTCTTTACAAAGCACTTGCTTCTTCGGAAGTATGATTCTATTGCCATCTTTGTGTTGTATCCAAGGTTTGCATATAATTCACATGAGACTTCTTTGGAGATCCCCTTCCTTGCAAGATATTCATGGATTCTTTGGCACTCTGCCTTCTTGTCCTTTTTATAATGGATCTTCCTGTCAACAACGAATGGGATGTCGTTCTGGAGAGCAGAGAACAGAGAAGTAAAGTTCAAGAAAGAAATGCAGGGTCTTTCGATGTGGTATAGACCGTCTATGTCCGTCAAAACCCCTGCCTTCTGAATTTCAAGCACTATGTCTTCATGTAATTCCTTACACCCACCACATACATCGTCTGGGAATCTGGGTTCACTCATTAGGTCATCGATAGGCATGGTATTCTTTGTAAACATTTTATAGAAGCCAAAGCATGTAATTATAGGCCACAAGATATCATTGGTGATGTAGTTCATGGCCTTTGCTAGGGAATATGCTAATATACACGAATGGAGCCACTTAGACGGACAGGTGCAGGTAAACAAAGATCCCTGAATCGATGAGTTCTTTTGTCCACAAATCAAAAGGGCGTTCTTGCACTCTCCTGGGTCTAGGTCGATAAACAAATGGAGATCTGAATCTGAGTGAAACCTGGGTTTTTCTGGGTGGAAATCTACTTCGAATCTGATAAGTTCCTTGTGGAGGATTTCTGTGATTATTTTGGCTGCACAGAAGCTTGCAGGCATGTCCGGCATGAATATCCTCACTGATCTATATGATTTGAACTTATCAATGATGCCAGATGGATTTCCTATATCAAGCATCTCCCCCAGTCTTCAGATATTTTTTATTGGGATATTTGATGGATACTCCTCGGTAGTAGATATTTGATGGGGATACTACAAAAATCTCTTGGGTGGAGAGCCACGGTCTTATTAGGGATAGTTAACCCTTGGGTATGAGGTACTTCTGCCACGAGATTCTACTTCTTGAAGAGATAATAAAGGGGCTTTTGGACTCTGAGGAAATAGAAGAAACAACAGCCCGCAAGTATAAGTCCTTACTTGAAGTAAAAGATAAGATAAATAGCCGGATGATAGAAATGGAGGAGTACTATATGAAGAGGATAGAGTTCTACAGAGAATGTGATGGGGCCAAGGTGAAGGAATTGGAGAAGGATGTTAGGAGCCGTGATGAGAAATATCTTGGGCTTCTGGTCAAGGCAAAGGAGCTTAGAAACAAGATAGAAAGGCTTGAAGTAAGAAACAAGCTCTTTAGGCTGAAGTCTGAAAGTAGAGATGAATTATGAAAGTTTGATTATAATTTTCCTGCATTGGAATAAGGGGGAGTGGCGGAAGATGAAGAATGATCTCAGGAATGGAAGAAGACAGATTTGGATGGCGCAGAGCAATGGGGCTGTGTGTCTTTGAACTTCTGCTCTGTTTGAAGAGAGGCAAAGGATCTCTCCTTTTACCCTTTTGCACCCTGGTGATAAAATATAAAAAGAAGAAGGAAAGAAGGGGTGATGGCAGGAGAGAGGGCTGAGTATGATGGGATTGTCAGTGGGCAAGAGTTAATTTATCAGTTCCAAGAAGATAGCGACGATCTTGGGGAGAAGGAATATGAGGAGAACGAGGCAAACTCCCTTAAACTCCGGAACTTTGTTGAAGATGAGTTTTATCAATCCGATGGACAGATGCAATATAGAGGAGAAGAGGAGATGAGACTCCGATATGGACGGAAGAAGAAGGAGAAAAGGAAGAAAAAGAAGAACGATGAGAACAAAAGGCCTTCGAATAGGAAGATAGTGAATCTTCCTGCATCACCTCCTTATGTGAGGTTTGTAGATGGAGAAGAGAGGCTATGCTTTAAGTATGTGACAAAGGTGAGTGAATCTGCAAGGGATGCAATGCCTAAGGCGGATCTCGAGGACAATGAGTTTTGTGTAAGGTTTGACCTCGATAGTGTTGATATCAGCAAGCTGAATGAAAAGTTCAAGGCAGACAACTGTGTGTATCCAAGGGCAAATCTTCCATACGAAATGTACACTGGAAATAGATGGGGGTTTGAGACTGAATGTAACCGGCTTGCATGGCAGTTTGTTTCATTGAATCCAGTGCTTCTATATGGAAAGAAGGGGCTTATCCAAAGGGCTGTTGACTCGTATAGAACGATCAACAAGCAGAGCAGGAACAAGAGGGTTGTGAAGGAGGACAGATTTCCTAGCGACATTGAAAAGAGGAGGCATGTCTCAGGAGCACCCTCAACAATCACGATACAGTGGACTAATAGGGGGATTCTGAAGAAATGCAAGATTCAAGTCAACATTGAGAATATAAATTATGAGAAGATTGATGATGAATTCAAGTCGAGGTTTTCGGTGTTTATGGACGACTTTGACGACACATCCTTTGGGAAGAGCAAATGGGAAAGCCACAATGCTGACAACGAGCTTGCAGTAAAGATAGCTTTCCTCAATGTTGAGAACACATCGTTTTGGAATGCCATCAAAGCACTTGACAAGACGACTGTCCTCAAGAAGGCTATTGAAGCATACAAGCAGAAGAGAGATGAATATGTAAGTTCTGAGGATGATACTGAGATTTCTGATGTTGTTGCAAGCACCCTAGGAGGCAGCCTAGGAAACTCGAAGAGTTGTAATATTGAGAATTTTTATTTTGATAATTGACAGGGTTTGTTTTGAATAAATGATATTATGGACATACATTCCAAGCTGTTATGAAACGATGTTTTAAAGTGTTTATACTTTTTTGTATAAAGGACATTGCTCTAATAAACAACATGATGCTGCTTCTATATCTGTTGGGCAGCTTTGCAGAGATAATGGAGCAGTGCAAGCCCATTGATGAAGGATATGCCCTTACCAAGTACTTTACCCAATGGTGCCCTTCATGCCAAAGCATAGCACCTGTTATTGAGGAGATCAGTAACAAGATAGATAGACATGGGGCAAACCTAAAGATTAGAAGTGCTGATTGCGACAAATGTTCTTGTCCAAACATCAAGAGTTACCCAACACTCGAGCTATCTAAGGATGGGGAGGTCTTGGGGAGACTGGAGGGAGGACATGGCTATGATGCAATAGTTGAATTTATTATGCGACATACCGGAATTGAAAAGAGTGTGTTTGATGGGCATAGTGCACAGAAGGAGGCAACGGTTAGGAAGCTGACTAAGAGCGACTTCCTAAGCGGATTTGACGGGCCTTATGTAGTTCTGTTTTACTCCAGAGAGGATGACAAGTACAGAGAGATATTTAAAGAGCTTGCGAAGATATATGATGGGAAGCTGAACATCGGAGAGATTGACAGTGCTGAATCTGCAGAGTTTGTTAACAGATACGACATTAGATCGTATCCTTCGATATCCGGGATCTTCAATGGACTGGTGGTACCTTTTATTGAGAAGGAGAGGGAGCCTAGTGTGCTTAGCTTAATTGAATTCTGCGACAAGCTCATTGAGCCATCATTCAGCAATCTAACTTTTGAAAAGTTCAATGATCTAGCATCCAATCTTGAACCCGGAGAGCCTATTTATGTTGTGTTCCACAAGAACGTTGCTTTAGCCAATGCATATTTCCAGAGGATGGCACATATGTACAAGTTTAGGGCTCGTATATATAGATCTGATGACCAAGCCTTGTTTGAAAAGGCATCTATATTCCCTAAGGCCCTGGGTACTGGATCCGATGCATCCACCAGTCCAAACCATGAGGATGTTGTGGTCCTTTCCGTGTACAAGAATGGGATCTTCTACAGATACACGGATACCTTTGGAGATGAAGTAAAGATAACAGACTGGATATTCCATACACACTACAAGTACTTGACAAAGGTCGACAATCGCAACTTCTACTCCATATTCCATGGACTTAAGCCGGTGATGATACTTCTAACAAGGGGAGAAGAGTTTGTAGGAAAGATGAATGAGTTTAGCACAGATAGACACTTAGGAGTTCCATACACAGACATGATATTTGCTACCATGGAGATTGATGAATATCCGCTGTTCATTCCAACACTACTCCCGAAGCTATCTACACCAGCATTGATCGTATTTGAGCCCTGGGCAAACCTATTCCGTCACAAGAAGGTTAAGCTTACAGAGGACAACTTTATTTCTGCAGCAATGGACACCTACGCCTTATATCAGAAAAACAGCCTTCCTCTCTATCCACCAAACTCCCGTAGTCTTCTTAAATACAGTGTGTTCGGTGTGTTGGCCCTTGGCATTGGGCTTTACTGTTCTTCCAAGACAAGTTTTGCAAAGAAGAACAAATAAATCTCTTTGACATATATTATTTTAAAGCAAAACAAACCAGAGAAGTTTGAATCTTGATGGAGCCAATTTTTACTATAGGCGGCTTAATTGTCTCGTACTGGAAAGACATTCTGAAGATAATTATTGAGACATTTGTTATTTACTTGGTGGTTAAGTTCAGGTACCGTTCAAGAAAGGATATCATTATCTTCCCACAAAGTGTAATTGACAAACTTGTGGAGGAATTTGATCCAGACGACTTGGTAAAAAATGTTCCCAGTGACGTGATGCTACCTAGCATCTACAGGGAGGGGATGATTGACTTGGCAAACTTCGATGTATTTGGGTTGTCAATGGAAAATAAAGAAGAGATTATAGAGGTCATAAGAAAGTATGGAGTTGGAACTTGTGGCCCTCGAGGATTCTACGGGACTCTAGACATCCATTTGGATCTTGAAGAGACCATTAGCAAGGAGCTTGGTGCCGAGGCATCCATTGTTTATCCCAACAGCTTCACCGCCGTAAACAGCATCATTGCATGCTTTTGTAAGCAGCAAGACATTGTGTTTTACCATGAGGATAGCAATGAAGCCATCCTCAGAGGAATTGGGCTTTCGAAGTCAAAGAACATTGAGTTTGGGAGTGTCTCCGATCTGAAGATAAAGCTCGAGTACTTCACAAAGCCAAGTGTCAGGAACTTTGTTATTGTTGAAGGGCTGTCGAGGAACACAGGAAGGATTGTGGATATAAGAATGATACTGAAACTCAGGGACAAATACAATTTCAGGATCATCCTGGATGAATCGTACTCCATCCCTCTTCTGAACAAAAGGGGTGTGTGCGGAATGAATGGCATAAGCCTTAGAGAGATCGACATTGTTATTGGATCTCTATCTGGAGGACTTTGCAGCACAGGAGCATTTTCAACAGGAACTTACTATACTGTTGACTACCAGAAGCTGTCTGGATCCTCTTATTGTTTTTCTGCATCCATGCCTGGAGGTATGGCCAAGGCCGGCATACTCAACATCAAAAGAGACTTTGAACATGAGGAGCTGAGAGATAAAGTGAAAGCCTTCCACACAAGCTTTAGATCTAAGACATATGAGATCATATCTCATCTCTTATCACCTATAATAATCGTAGTGAAGAAGAAAGAAATAAGGAGATCTATGTCCAAGGAAGCATTACTGAAGGAGGTCTTAGACATAAGAAGTGAACTCCTCGAGAACGGAATAATCATTGGATTCAATCACAATCCATGTCCTTCACTGAGGGCTTGCTTGAAGACTGACATCCTCGAGGAAGATATTGCAAGACTCGTCACTTTGTTGAATAAATGGTGAGCAAGTTTATTTTCTTTCACAGCATCAAGGGATTTGTGTCACTCTATGGTCTTCTTAATGGGAAACTTTACTAGGTCCACAATCTTCAGCACCTTTGATGCTTTAGGAGACATATCTGTGTCCAGCAGCATTTCCATTAACCTTGTGAAAACAATCATCTGCGAATGGTCATAGTGGTCCAGGATGTCATGTAAGCATAAGTCTATTGCATCTGAGACTTCTGCACTCTTGTTGCTGAATATCAAGGTCTTCAGCCTGGCTAGACTATTGTGCATCTACAGGCAGGGCTACACCTAGGTGCATTGAAGAAATATTTTCTGCATGAGGTCCTTGGAATGGAGATCTGCAGGAATGATGATTTTTTGATAATCTTAGAAAAAAACGAGTTGCTTGTAGTGGATATTCTGACACTGTCTGTATTCCACAGAAGGGAGTATGGGGCAGGGTCGGTCATAGGATGCTGTAGCGAATATGCCTTTGTTGGAAATGGATGTGCGGTTGTGGCATTATGCCTTCTTGATCTGAAGGAAAAGGTGGTGTGTGAAATGAAAGCACCTGTAACAGCTATCTTCCATTTAGACGGATTCGTGTATTGTGGAAGTGAGGATGGAACAATCCATGTTTACGGAATGGCAGAAGAGAATGATAAGAGAGAAGCAAAGAGTGTCGGGGAGTCTTTATGGTCTGAGATATCGAACGAGATGTTTCCAGAAGAGGATTTCCAGTGCAGGTTCGGGTTTATAAAAAGTATGAAGCATCCTGGGCCTGTGACCCAGATATGTAGCGATGGAACAGAAGTATTTGTGGCAGATCTTCGGAACAAAATAACGGTGTATCCTTCCAAGAGAACATATGATATCAGAAGTCCAAAGCTTAGGTACAAGAACTATATATTTGCAAGTGAAAGAAATATGCTATACTGTAGAACACGGAATGCGTTTGCCACATACCTGACCGTGGAGAAGCCAATAAATAGTTACACCTTTAGTATGAACGGAGGGATTCTATTTGCACAATGTAGAAATGATGTGTATGTCATTGAATTCAACACTAGGAAAATCATAAAGAAAATACATGTGCCAGGAAGGTTTGTATATGATGATGATAGAAACAGATTGGTATGGTTTGACGGAAAGAAGTTTTCTTCTATTGAGAATGTTCTTGAGAACGGGTATGGGGGGATGGAAGATGTGGTGTTTAGAGAAGACGAGCTTGCTGAGAAGAAAATAAGAGTTGAGGAAGTTGTGGATGAGGGGTTTTTAGAGAGGCACAAGGGAGACGAGGAACGGAAGAGAGCTCAAAAAAGAAGGTACTTCAAGGTTTCTGAGTCGTATGGGCCTAGTGAATGGAGTAACAATGAAGAAAGAAAAAGGATGATTGATTCCGATGAGTATTCAGAGGAGGTGGGAGATAAGAGCAAGATAAAGGAGAGTAGTCCAATGCCAAAAGAAGAGGCAGAAAACCTACTATATTACAACTCCGAAGGATACATGATTTGCATTAGGGGAGAAAGCTTTGACAGGGTGGAAGTTATCTATCATGATATCTCTCGAAGAAAGATTGAGGTGCCTAGAATCTGTGGATGTGTCTTAGGATCCTTTTGCAAAGACAATGTTGTAGTTGGGGATGGGAAGAAGATATACTACACCGGGAAGTTTTCTAGGTGGGAGAAAGAGATCGAAGCAAAGATGGTATCTGTTTCCGAGAAGATGGTGGTTGTTTTTTCTGGGATTCTACAAGTCTTTGGACTCGATGGAACTGAGGTGTTCAACTGTCTTGTTCCGGATGTCCATGCAATGTGCTGCCACCTTGGCATTATTGCGGTTTTTTGCCGGGAATTGATTCTGATTGATTTATTCAAGTCAACCGAAAGACTTTTTTTGCCTTCGCCTGTTGATTTTGCTTGTTTTGATGAAACCGGAAGGATTTTTTATAGGGTTGGTGGAAGAATGTACCAAGTTTACAATGGATTGCCTGTAAGAGTGTGTGAGGTCCAAACACGACCATTAGCTGTGGTTAGAGGCAGCGTTATTTCTCTAGGGGCCTCCAGGAAGTTATTTCCATCTCCTCATGTCGAATACACCAAGTTTGATGTATTTGACCCATTTGAGGTTAAGAATGAGGCGAAAGAAGAAGATGTGCCCAGCCATGAGAATCAAGAGAATAAGGTCATGGAAGTAAGCAAGAGCAAAAGATATAACCCTCTTGGAAAATAAATATGTTGATTTGTTGGGAGTGATAGAGGCGGGATGGTTCTATGTGGAGGCTTTTTGATAAGGCCTTGAGAGGTGGTATGGTCTAGTGGAATGACGCTTGCTTAGGGTGCAAGAGGTCTTGGGTTCGAATCCCAATACCGCCCTTTTCCTCTTCTTTTGCATTGGAACTAGAAAAAAACTAGAACAATAAAGTGGGTTATTATCATATTTCCAGAAAATACTCAATCCGTTTATTTCCGAACTTCCTTTGTCTTCTTGTTGAATTTGTCGGAATAGAATTTCAGCTCATCTCCTTGCAACACATGTCCTGTTGCTGCTCCAATTTGTCCTGGTCTTGAAGTGATAATTGCGTATAAGTAGCCTTTCTCGAAACTCTCATGCAACTCAGGATCAACGTTACTTGCTACTGCCTTAATGTCTTCCTTAAATCCCTCTGCAGATATCTTGACAACAGAGCTTTTCGTTAATGTATTGGTACGAACAAGGTCATTGGAACTGGGGTGGTACACAACTTGCAGAAGCTTTGCCGGCCGGATCTTTCCAGTGGTGATGAATCTGAAGTGCCCGACATCCAGTCTCAGCGCCTTGTGCTTCCTATTTCCACCCCTCACTCTAACAGGCATAACCCTCCTCTCCCCTATCTTCGTTGCACTTGGTTGGGACCCTGCCCTGTTGTTACGCTTCTTGCGGCTAATGACAGCCTTTGCACCAGTCTTCCTACGCTTATGGTCTCCTCGGTGGTTTATTCCTAAAGTTAATCTTCCTTTGAAGGCTCACTTACCCATTTCAGGGCAAATTTTTTTGGCTCTCTTTATTATCAGACATCCAGGTCTATTATATATTCAACTACTTGGAGTCTTGATCAGTCCCTTGACCAGTCTCTGGTGAAAATGCTTCCACAGTCTTCCTTCCAAATGCTACAATCCCATTTCCTGTACTCACAAAGGCTTCCTTGATAGAGCCTACATCAATCTTTAACATCTTGTCTCTACGTAGTCCTGTGATGAATGCTGCAAGAGATCCCAAGAAAACAGTTGTTATGAAAACCATTTTCAATGTCATCGGGAAAACACATCGACCACAGATATGTACTTTCCACCCAATCATATTATTCCACCTCTTGCATCATAAATGTTTGAAACACATTTATTGACTCTAGAAAGAAATCCTACCTTCATGCATGAACTTTGATGTATTTGGGAATCAGAGGATACATTAGATGCCATTGCCGGCTGATTGGAAGAGATCCACACATGATCCATTGCAGCTCATGTGGAAACTGGCTTCATACCGTTTGTTGTGGGTTTTTCAGTAATGAAGACAAGAGAATATCTAAAGAAACATTCTCCTGCTTTTATTGTTTGGGATCCATCACAAAAGCCGACAATGCAAATGCTCTCTTCCGAAGAGTTCTTTCTATAATTTATACCGAGGATCTTAGAAGCAAAGCATGGCTTTCCAGCAGGCTAGGGATTACAGAATGGCAATCTACAAAGCAGACAAGGAGGCTGGCAAATGAAGGCTTTGTCAAGGTGATAGGGAAGCACAGAGCCATATCTTATGTGGTCATAAAGACTCAGGAAACAAAGGATAAGGTTAAGAAGTACTTCGGTGTCTAAGCGAAAGTGGATTATAAAAATGTCGTAGAATAAAAATGGTTTATATCTCATCGAGTTCGACCTTATAGAGCTTGATAAACACGTGGGTCCCAAGCATCTTCGGGTCCAGGTTTCTTGCAAATCTAGCACGGACAGCCCCGGAATTTCCATGTATTCTAGTTACTACTCCATGGACAGGATATACTTTTCCCTTGTTACTCGTTTTGTAACAAATAACACCATTTCCTATGTACTTGCTTGCTTCATCTTTACTTGCCACATTGTTAATCTTCAGCAAGGCATACCTTGGATGGAGTCTTCTTTGCCCCCTTTTGAAAGAAACAAAGGTTGCTGGGATTGTTGTGCGGCTCAGCACCTCCTCACTCATTATTGCTTCCGGCATAACGAGGGATCAAATTTTTTGTTTTCAAATGGTTGCTAGAGAGAAAGGGGGTTTGTAATCGAATACAGGTTGCATACAAGACCTTTGTCCTCAGGATTCTTTTCAGGGGCATACTTATTCTTCACTTCTTCAAGAGCTGTCCTAAATATCCTTGGACTCACTTCTTTTGGAAGATCTTTTCTGGAAAACTTGATCTTGGTGAAGTTATAAAAGAATGCGTGTTCGTACATCATTAGCATGGTGTCATCAATGTATTCCAATGTATCTATGTTTTTGGCCTTGTACTTAAGATACTCCCTTCTTATTCTTTCGTGGTCGCATATAAGATACTTTGTGGAAAGGTCCTTGATGTAGTCCTTTTTCATCCAACTCTGAATAAGCGGTTGCGGCTGTTGAATTTGATAATGCCTGGAAAAGCCCTTGTAATGGAAGAGCTATACAGAAAGTTTGCAGAGACCCTAAAGGAAAACACTGCACTGAGGCATCAGATAGTAGATCTTCAATCAGCCCTGGCTTCAAAGGAGCAGGAACTGTCCATGGCTAGGGAGTCCTCGGGAATAACTCATCACTTGAAGAAGATAGAATCCTTGGAGCAAGAAAACAAGAGATTGAGAGACGCAGCTGACAAAGATGGCCATAGGATCTACGAGGGAGAGAATATGAATCCAAACACCCCTGCGAGTAAAGAAAGGACTGAAAGTATTGCCCAGGCCAGTGAGGAAAAAGACCCCAACAACGAGCTTCGCCAATATCTTAGAACAATAAGAGAGTATGTCACTGGCCTTACCGGGTACAAAATGGAGTTCCGAGACGGAGAGATCATCTTCCATTCCCTCTATGCCTTTGATAGTGAGGATGTTTTCATCTTCCGGTATAAGTCTGGGAGCATGGAGCTTGTTAACAATGAATTTGCAGCCTCATGGGCTTCGGAAATCCAGAACTACCTGATTGCAGGGAAGTCGATTCCTGCATTCTTAGCTGCAGTCACTCTGGAACTCTTCAATAAAAAGACATTTGGATAGAACATTTCAACGTCTTTTAATTCAAATAAATCCTGCCGCTAAATCATTGAATACATTTGAGGAGATCTATTATCTTCTCGGGCTTTAAGTTAGAAAGCACATTGTTCTGCTGGCTTATCTTCGGAAGGTTCTCTACAAATTCGTCTAGAAGCCTTGAGTTATCTTTAATCTTCAGATCAAGGAAGTTAAACGAACTAAGAAAGCAGTGGTACTTTCCTAATATTCCTTCCATCTGTATGCTTTGGTCTTTCACCGGAAGGGAGGGAAGAATTGTGTTGTCTCTGATTGAGCCCATCTTTTGGTCAACAAGCTCCCTGAACAACTCCATGCTTCCAACCATGAACTCGTATTCTATCATCGAATCCCACATCCTACTTGTCTTCTCGAGTCTCTTGAACAGGGCTCTTGCATTCTCCTCATCCCCTATCTTGAGTAGAAATAGGAAAAACTCTTCTTTCAGCAAAGTAGAGGTGGGATGCTTCAGAAGTCCAGAGGAAAAGATGTTGTAAGGTGTTGCCCGGCTCCCTGTTGCATAGTACTCAACAAACGCACAGTATATGAATACATGAGGGCCTATTCCTTCACCTCCAAGCTCGATAAACAATTTCCTGAAAGACTCAAGGCCCCTTTTCTTTAGGACATAGTTCAAATGGTTGATTCTTATCAGGTCTCCTTCTCTGCTAAGAGTCTTCTCGGTGCCGTCTCCCTCTTTTGCACAGTACTTTCCTTTCAGATCTGCATAGACACTCTCTTCGTCCATCACAAACCCGTAATACAAAGATAGAAACATTCCATCATTCATCCCAATCCCTCTTTGTATCACTTTCTTTGCCCTTTCCTTTTGTCCAATTCCAATCAGGTATTCACTATAAAAAAAATAGGCTTCATCTGCATAGTAGAACGAGTCCAGAATGTAGCTGTGTATAAAGTGCATCCGAGACTCATGGGCCCTTGCCCCAAGCTTCGCCTCGTTCTCCATCTCTAGGTTTATTAGCTTTGCTGCATTTTTGATGCTCCAACTCCTTATAAGTGGCTGTATTTGCTGGTATCTTTGAAACGAGCTCTGGAATATAGGAAGAGTGTCACTAACTATCTTTTTCCCTGTAATCTTGTTGAGCTCAAGCTCAAAGTTTTCAAAGTCCTTCCACAGCTCGCTTAGCGAATTCATGGGTGTCTGCAACGCCCTCATGTATCCATTCCTTATCTTCTCAATCCTTGTCTGCTCATCCTCAATCTTTCCTAACTCCTCAATATACTCCTTGTACAGTACATAAGAGTCCCAGTAATTCTCAAACTGTCCTAATGTAAACTCATACACCTCATAAAGCTTGAACTTCTTTTGACTGACTTTCTTAACATACTCAATGTATAACATCCAGAAATCCAGATTGTAGGACTTCTTCAAGCACTTTCCAAACAATACCTCCAGGTTTCGATAATCCTTCGACATGTACAAGTCTCTTGCATGCTCCATAACAGCAGATGGGCTCTCCAGCTCGATCCCTGCATTCTCTTCTACATCCATCCTGGGGTCAAAATTCCTCTTCAATAATACCTCATCCTAGAAACTCCCGTTAACGAAAACATTTATTTCTTGTCCAAGAACTCCATTGCTTTCATCCCGGAGATCGCGCCAGAAGCAGCTGCCGTCACCGCCTGACGATACCTCTTGTCACAAACATCTCCGGCAGCAAAGAGCCCAGGAATACTCGTGCAGGCCTCGTCCTTAACAACCACGTATCCATTAGGATCCAGGTCCACATTTATATTCTTCAAGAACGAAGTGTTTGGGTCATGCCCTATTCCAAAGAACACCCCGTTCATCGGAATGATCTTTACTTCCCCAGTCTCAACATTACGGATGCTGATCTCCTCAACCTTCTTGGTCCCCGAGGCACGCTCAAGGACATAGGGTGTCATTATCTCAATGTTTTCTGCTGCCTTGGCCTTTTTAACCATATCATTTCTTGCGCGGAATGTATTTCTCCTGTGGATGATGTAAACTTTCTTAGCAATCCCTGACAGATAGAGTGCTTCTTCCATAGCTGCATCTCCTCCCCCAATTACGCAGGTTATCTTGTTCATATAGATAAACCCGTCGCACACAGCACAAGAACTTACACCTTTTTGCCAAAACTCATCATCCCCAGTTCCAGGAACAAAGAGCCGTCTTGCCGAGGCTCCCGTCGCAACAATCACAGCCTCGGCCCTGTATTCCCCCTTCTCACTGACAACCACAAATACCCCGTCCCTCTTCCTTATGTCAGAGATCGTCTCTTTGGCCACCCGAAGCCCCTGTGAAACTGCATGATCCTTCATCAGGCTAGTAAGCACGGGCCCTTCTATTCCATCAGGAAATCCAGGATAGTTGTCCACCGCTGTTGTTGTTGTAAGCTGCCCTCCAGGACCATTGTTTCCTATGTATCCCCCTTCAAATAGTAGTGGACTTCTGCTCATCGTGTACAGTGCCGCATTGTATGCTGCTGGCCCACTTCCTATAATCACAACCTTTTCCATTTGGGGCATCTTGTCATTTCAAAACAATACCATTCCAGGCACCCCACTCTCCAATAATTATTCTCAATTATTATCATTCCACTTTCTTTAGCTCTTGGTCAGTTTCTTTGATCACCTTGGAGGACCTTTCGTTAATCATAGATATATCGTTCACAATGCTCTTATGTCTGACTGCCTCTTTGTTCTGTTTATCTGCCTCTGCTCGTATCTGCCTCACAGTGTTTAACACCCCCACCATCTCTCTATCGGTCTTGTTCTGCCCCTTGATGTATTCTTCCCCTTCCTCAAACTCCACATGCTCAGGAACATACTCTCTTTCTCCCTCTTCCTCCTGCTTCTTACTCACAATGTCATCAATATTTCCCCTGTCTCCCCGGAACCATCTCTTTATCGCACGTACACACGGGAGCTCGCAGCTGAACACTCTCCCCTCCCTCTCAATGTCCTCTGTAATATCTGATCCTCTCCTGGCATTCGTGTTTATCCCAATCGCCGCCTTCCTTGCATTCTCCAGAGTCTCCCCTTGCCTCATAAGCTCCTCAGTCGTTGCTTTTTGTTTGAGGGCAGTCTCATCAAGTTGCATCCTTACTCCCTTGGCTCTTTCATAATTCTGATCCTCAACCCTCTCGGCCTCCTCAATTACGTCCTGTGAAACTCCCCTCTTCTTCTTACTCTTCATGGCCCTGTCTAGAGAATAGACATCGCCTCCCATCGGATTGTTTATTTCCACATCTTAAAAACCTCAGCCCAGGAAACATCTTGCTAGATCAAACCTAGAAAACAAACATTTAATCTCATATCATTTTCTTCTTCTGGAAAAACTTCTTGAGAGAGTACAGCTCATACGAATTCACTCCGAAGTATATAACAAGAGTTACTACAGAAAATACAGTCACAAAAGAAAACATCCTTCGATGCTCATAATCAATGCTCCCCATCCTATGTGCAAGGTACTCAGATTCACTGTTGAGCTCATGCAAAAGATTGTCCAGCTTCGTCATGGCTGCCATCGCTGGTTCCACACTAACCTTCTTTGCAACATCCTTCTTGAACGTGTCAAACTGTGTACTGAAATCAACCTCTATCTCTCCAAATGTATGTGGCTGGCTATCATCAATCACAATCGGTGTCAGCACCATAGACAGCACCTTCGGCTCACTTATGTTGAACGAAAAATGTGTCTCCGTATCTACAGGAAGGTTCTCGTTTGATAGATAAACACTTCCCGTGTCAGATGCTAGAACAGCCTTGAAGCTAGAGTTCTTGCAGTTGATGGGCTTGAGGTACCCCTTGCAGATCTTATTCTCAATCACGTCAAACTCGATCTCGATGTTTCTATTCCGGCGTGCAGAAAAAATCTCCCCAACTATCATTCCAAGATATAGGACAAAAATCATGGGTTGTTTAGGCGCAGGGTATTTCTAATACATTCCTTATTTGGAATGAACTATATCGTGGGGCCTAGAACATTTAATCTAATTCTTTTCACCTAGGTCATCGCTGAACTTCATCACAACAGGATCCATAGCACACCCAGCATCTCTTACTATTATACAGTACTCCCCACTATCCTCCGAGGCCTCAAACCAGATGTCTTCCTTCGATACATGATTATAGACCCCCTTTAGGATTCCACAGATCATCTCTAAACATTTCTTTTCCTTTCTTGTGTACTGAAGCATCGGAAACTTTTTCAAGGCAATAATCCCTTGGTTGTATGTGGGGCGGAATGAGAAGTAGTGCGGAAAAAAGGTCTCAGACACGTCTTTTGATATTTCAGCTAGGCTCATAGGTTTCCCCGGGCTTGCTGTAAAGAAGAAGTCATCGGCCAGCCTTTCTCCAATCCTGACTCCGATCCTAAACATCTTCTCTCTGTCTTTTCCTACCCCATCCTTGACAACCTTGTTAATGAATGATGTATATACCAATGCAAAGACATCGTAACTCATTTGCTGTTCATTTCTTTTAGACATTCAGGGCTATTCTGTAAACCCTCAATACAGATGCAAAGCGTCGATCATAGAGCTGCGAAGAACCCCAAAGCAGAAGGAATGAAATCCGTAGAGTTTCTCGATCACTTGGCAGATGTCCAGATGCATTGCACTGCCCCGTGTCTTCCTCTGTTGTACGAAACAGCCGTAAAGGGAATGATGAGCTATGCAGTGAAAGCCCCGACAGTAGCCAAAGGAGGAGGAAGAGTTGAACTATCTGAAGGGTCTAACGAAATGAACATGGTAGCACTTCTGACACACTTCATAGACCTGATGTACGGTGAGGGATTTGTTGCCATAGAGGTCTCTGTAGCACTGAAGAATGGGCTCCTTGTTTGTGACTACTCGACGGCCGACGGATCCAAATGTCAGAGTCTCTGTGAAATCAAGGCAATTACTCTTTGTGACTTAAGAATATTTGAGAAGGATGGTGTATTTCACTCATACTGCATTTTTGATATTTAACTTTTTGTTAGGGTTTGAAGGATATATAAAGTCGAATTCTTTATTGCTGGCAAATAAACCAACGATCATTTCTTTTCTGGTTGCCCTGTCTCTGTGACTTCTATGAAGTTGTAGTTCAGAAGGTCTGTGGGAGGCTTTGCTCCCTTTTCCTCTTTTTCAGACCCCAGGATTCTCTTGGATACAGATTGGAACCTGGCTTTCAACGACTCCAGATCCTTTGAAATCTTGTCCAAAGCCTTTAATCCTTCTTTTATCTCTTTTACTTCAGCCTGAGTGAGGGCTATCTCCTTTTTCGGTTCCAGCGGTTTAAGGAGGAACGACGCAGATATAGGGGTTTCAAAAGTAAGGTCTGGCTGGATTTCAGGTTTTGGAGTGTCTTCAGAAGCTGTTTTTAAAGGCTTGTGGCTTGTAGACGCCGTATTCTTCTTCTCAACTTCATCAGAGATGCTTTCTAGTTTCTGCCCCATCTTTGGATTCAAGATCATACTTTTCTTTTCAGAATCTTCCTCCAAAACTATCACTGTCTTTTTTCTTTGGGCAGGATGACTTGGGCCTTGAGTATGGGGCATTCCATGGTTCCTGTCCTTACTGGGCAGGAGCCTTTTGTGCTCGTCCTTCACAGCAACCTCCAGAAACTTCTTGAAGATGCTGTCTGTGGACTTTGCAGAAGAATCTTCTGACTTACAGAAGGCTCTGAAACCAAGGATCATCGAGACCACCAAAAGCCTCATTATTTACAACTTGGTTCTTGAATTTGTACCTCAATCAAAAACCTGTTTCAAAGGATGATTGGCATGATATACAGAATGGAGATAGGGCCCACGATAATGGATTTTGTTACACCAACCAAGCAGAAGGAGCTGAGGACCGCATTTCAAAAACTGGGAACTACAGTAGTAGTAGTCTACGGGCCTCCAGGATCATCAAAGACTCACAGCATAAGGAGGACCGCAGATGCTCTAAGCCTAACTATAGAATACATTGAGGATGTTGGAGTATACAGAGGTATGCTCCCAGTCCCGAATACAATATGTCTTACCGATCTGGATGATTATGAGTATTTGTCTAAGCACAGGAGTAGACTGGTGAAAATGAAAAACTTGGTGATTGAAACCCGTACATTGCTTTCCATTGGCAAGATCCTCCCGGATGCTGTTATTGTAAAGTTTGGGAAAGTTTCTAACAGAAAGATCCTGAAGTTCTATAACTTAAGTGAGGAGGAAGCCTTGGTGGTTGACGGAAATCTACATGCTGTTGAGTTTTGCAAATATTCTGTAAGGAATGAAGCAATATCGATATTCCACTTACTTGGTAGGCTGTTCCATTCAAAGGAAACTAGTGTGTCTAAAGCCTGTGAGATGGCCAATATGTATGGTAGGGATAGGTTCTTTGGATATGTAATGGAGAACTGCTCTTTCTTCATGTCTATAAGTGATATTCAAAGGCTTATTGAAGGGCTTAGTGTTGATGATCTAGGAGGAGCACAATTGGAACGCTTAGTGTGGATTATTATGGATTCAAAGAAGAGTAGCCCAAAGGGTTTTTTTAGCTTCAGGTCATTCCGAGGGGTCAGCAATGAGCATGTGTGTAATAGTATTTGCATGAACAGGTGATATGAGCTGTCCTTGGATGACTGGGTAGTAAAGATAACTCTGTAAACAATTTATCCCCGATGATGAGTTTTGACAAGATGAAGTCAAAGTCCTATGAGAAGAAGATGGAAGAATGGCTTACCATGGTTAGTATGAAGGTGGTAGACTTGAATAGACTAGTCCTTGACTATCTAGTGCATGAGGGACTAGGGGATGTGGCAACCGAATTTGCAAAGGATGTTGGGATACCCTTCACTGTGTCTTCGTTTCTAAACCATAGAACCAGGATAAGAAATGCAATTGAGGAAGGAAACATTGATATGGCAATATCGAGGATCAATGATCTGAACTCGGAGATAATAGATAGCAATATCGAGCTGTACTATTTTATCATGGAACAGAAAGCTTGTGAGCAGGCACAGGCAATAAGAAATGATAGCGAAAGCATAGGGGAGCAAAAGGTATTTGTTCTCCTTGAAGAGGTCCTTGAGTTTGTGCGCTCCGAGCTCTCATCGATTGTTGAGGAGAACCCATCACTGGGATTGCATTTCGAGGACTTCCTTGAATTTGTGGTGTTTAACTCGAGGAAGGAAGCAGTGGTTGAGAGGAGAAGAAGATTAGCAGGATATGTCAATAGATGCATATTGGAAAAGTATGAAGTGACAGAAAATGAACTAAAGAGAGTGCTCAGTGGAATAGTTGAGGGGGAAAAGCTGCTGACGGAGAAGTACAAATTCCCTACATTCAACGAGTCGTTTGTATGATGAAAGAAAAATAAAAATAAAACGTTATAATAAAAAGACTAGTCGGAACACAGCAAAGCCTTGCTCCAAAGGGAGCGACTATCATCAATGAGATGTAAGACATCTCGACTTCCATTGGGCTTGCTGCCATTACTCGTCATCCTAGTCTCGTGAGAATGCAATTGCTGCATGGTGGCGGTATTGATTAACTAAACAAATGATTCTGAATAGTATCCTCGACGCAAGGGTATGAGGAATCTTCGAATTTATCCTTTCCTGGTGGTGTTTTTCTACGTTCCATAGGGGTGTTGGAAACACTTCATCGGTGGGTGGTTAAAAATGAAAAGATTGACTAGAGGATGGGTGGGGAGTTAAAAAGCATATTACCTCTTGAGAAGCTGTACGACTTTTTGTCCAAGTCCATTGATGTGGAGATATGGGAAAAAGACATCAGGGTTAAGCACAAGGGAAGGATAGTTGGTTTTGATGAGTACATGAATCTTGTGATCGACAATGGGACAAAAAGGTATATATTGAAGGGAGACTGCATATGCGTGATCTTTGGAAGAGATGCGTGTTAGAATAAAATGTTAACTAGCCTTAAACAGACCAGATACTTGTTCTGCTTCTCGGGAACGAATAGTACAAAATATTGCACCACCAGTAAAGAGAAGAGGGGTAGTCACGAAAATATTTCATAAACCTTTCTAAAGGTCTTCAGAGTCAATATCTAGGTAAGCATCCTAGGTGGAGAAGAGATGGACATGCATAATAAAAAAGTTTTACTTCTGAGGGCTAATGTTTATTTTGCATCTTGTGTTTAGCTTGTGCACGTCTCTTGAGAAGGCTCTGTTAGAACAAGGAGATGTGGAGAATGCCATCCGTCTTTGTGGAACAAAAGAAGGGCCTCTGGACTATTTCTACAGTTACTTTGTTAAGAAGGTGTTTATGGGGAAGTCTGAAGAGGCTCTTCTTGATATAGCCGGATCCGATAACTACAAGGATGCTAGGAACATTGTTCTTGGGGTGATGTCCATGGAATCAGGGAATACAAACGAGAGAGCAAAGCTTGGAGCAGATCTACTCTGGAATGTGGCAGTAAAGGTTTCCAGGAAATATCTGAGAAACCCACATGCGTTTCTTGCCACAGATGCTTTTGAGAAGCTCGAAAAGAACTCTCTGACAAAAAGAGGGATAGGGAACATAGTCACGATGGTTTATTCTGGAGATGACATATCTGCAAGGCTTTTTCTGTCATTGCTGGACAACCGTAAGATATACATTGGAGACTATATTGATGTGATAGAGTTTCTTGGAAGAAATGGATATGGAAGAGCGCTTGGCTATCTTGGAGAGATATACTACCATGGGATTGGGGTGAAGAGATCTCTGGACCAAGCCATGTACTTCTTTTCAAAGGGCAAGGAAATGCAGGACACTGTGGGGGCATGTGGTGTCGGGAAGATACTAATGTCTAGCGAATACAAAGACTACAAGAATGCAAAGTCGGCATTGTCATTAGCAAACAGACTTGGACAGTCCGGGGAGGCAGAATATCTGATGTACCTGCTTATGAGTCGAAGGCCGGAGTATGTACATAGGGCCGGGCCCCACATGGATTCTGCTCTTATGTATGGATATCTTCCGGCAATATGCAGAGATGGGGTCAACTACTATACGAATGGGCAGTACATCAACGCCTGCATCAGGTTCCACCCGATTATGGACTACTCCGATATTGTGTATGACTTGAGAAAGAGGGCAGAGGCAAGCTTCATATCTCGCAAGTACAGGCAGTGTGTGATGGCATTGCTTATGTGTGTGGAGCTTGGATCTGTTTCTTCCATAAGAAATGCAATATACGTTTTGAAGAGACATTATGTTTTCAAGAGGCAAGAGCATCTGCTCTTTGAACTATATATGAAGCTTCTTAGAAAGGGGGACCAAGATGTCATCAATAGGATAGGTGATGCTTACTTCTACGGATCAGGGGTTGAAAAGTCGTATAGAGATGCATTTGCATTCTACATATCTGCGTCTCTTGCAAGAGATCCCGAGGGGTGTTACAACGTCAGCTACATGTATGAGCATGGATATGGGGTAAAGAAGAGCCTTCTGCTTGCCTACAAGTATATCCTAAAGATCCGTTCTACAGATGATATGTATCTCCTTCTCCTGTACACACACATTAGACTTTTCTTCAAGCTTATTGCTCGTCTTTTGCTTAACAGGTACTCAATCTCGATATGCATAGGAGGCCTGGTGGTGAGAAGGATATATATTACCAAGAGAGCCGCACCAAATGAACAGGAAACCAAGAAAGATTAACAAGCTAGTTTCCAAGGGACAATAAAGTGTTTAGATATTTGCTTTTTAGTTAGAAATGACGATATATCGGCTATCCATACTGCCTAGGCTTCAGGCAGTGATGGATTCTCCCCATGCACTTTAGGACTGAGTTTGAGAAGTTATAACTGGGAAGTAGGAATGGATTATGCTCCAACACACTCAAACAAAAGAAGTACTTACCTATTTGTTTTTAAAGAGATTGTCTTTCTGTTAGTTCAAGTCGAGCACCAGGACATCTAATACCAATAAACATCAAATTGAAAGTCTTCATTAGGTTCTACAGACTCAATGCTCTTGACTTCTCTTCTGCAGCATCTTTCCTGTTGAAAGTTAAGCTTCTTCTTTATCCTGATGTCAGTTGGGAAGTCAACACCTTTATAAAGGGCAGATACGGGAGGAAGCTCATCATTTGAGGAATAGACTTGGATGTATCCCACTATATGGAAATTCTTATCTCCACATGTTGCAGAATAGGTTCTCTTTATCATGGGATTCCCGCTCAGAAGTTGCTTGTACATCAGAAAGACACCTTGGACTCTCGATGGAGTCCATGACATACCATCCGTCCATCTTCTGATTCCGCTTTCTTCTTCGCAATATATAAATATACTTCCGTGGCGGATCTGTTTTCTTTCTTTGGATGTAAGTCTGCGCTGAATTCTTGGGATGAGGCCTCTTCTGGCCAAGTCTATCAAGACAAGGCAGTCTGATTCGTTCTCTACGCTTCCATAAAAAGACTCGATGCTTGCCATGGATCTTTTGGGCTATATCCAGATGATGGCGGTTGGCATAGTTGATTGAACTAACCTTATTCAAAAGAATGCAGATGACAAGCTTCCATAATTGATTCATAAAATTGCAAAAGAGAAATCTATGTGAACCCAAAGTCAAGGGCAAAAATGGAGTTGCCAGGAATCGAACCCGGGCCAACTGCGTGCAAAGCAGGTATCATCCCACTAGACCACAACCCCTGATATCGCTCGACATCCTCTTCCACATTACATCTTCTACGTCTCCTCTAAATCGCGAATTTTTCAAGCCCATAATAGAATGAGCAGGCCTCTCACAGCTGATGAAGCACATGTTCACAAGATCATTGGATCAAAGGTAGGATTGGAAGAGATCGAGGGGATAGAAGGTGTGTCCGTCATTACCGGGAATATAAGGTGTTCTGTGGAAAATTCTGTGGTTTACAAAATAAAAGGGACTGAATCTCTCCTTATATTTGGAAAACAAGAGAACCCGATAGACTTTGGTAAGCTTAAAAAGATATATGAAGATAATGTCAGATACACTGAGAGGGAAGGTCATGAGGCTTCTGGGCTATATAGCGAGGTCACTGATGATCAAGAAAAGAAAGAGCCATCTCAAGCCTCTTCTGAATCTACTGATAGGAAGTTGTCTGAGGAGGATACAAAACTGACAAGTTCACAAGTAAAAGCCTCGAGAGATGATATAATCAAGCACTTGTTGAATCCAATTATGATGTTGTTGATGCAATGATGAAACTAACTAAGTAAAGTAATCATCCTTTATTTTTGAAGTACTTTTCTGGCTCTGGGACATATACACTATAGAACCTCCCACACAAAGTGTTGTAATAGTTCTTCTTAATTGGATCTAAACTTATGATTTTCTCTATAATGCTGATTCTTTCTGTTTCTTCCTTAATGTAATCTAGAAGCATTAATAATGCACCACAACACTCAGGCTCAACTTCAAGGATTTCGTGTACAAATCCAAAGCCTTCATCTTCAAGGCTAAGGTATACAGTCTCTCCATTCATTATCACCCAGAAACTATCAAGAGCTCCCATAGTCTCTTCTATTACGATGATCCTAGTGTCAAGCTCGGAAGCTACTATTTTTCTAGTCTTGTCTGCTTCAAAAATAATCTGACCTTGAAAAGGCTTTGAAAACCTAATCTCTAGATGATCCTTGTATCTTCTAATGTATAGGCCATTCCTCATCCTCTTTCTTTCTCTCCACAGGTAGAAGTATTCCCAGGAGGTTGGATCTAGAGGATCGGTATATATAATGGAAAGAGGATCTTCTGAGTCTTGGTGATGGTGTAGATATGAGTAATTGAATAAATCCCTTCCTGTCTTGGTGTTGAGAATGGACATCCTATAATTCCAACAATGGAAGTTTCTTGGGTCTGAGTCAAGCAGAAGCTTTGTAAGAAAGTCTTCTCTGTCGAGGTATTTCTCCCTTTGCCTTTGAAAGTTTTTCATCATGAACTTCCTGTGGTGCCAAGGCTGATAAGACTTAGGATTGCTTCTCAGAGAATTTTCACAAACCTTGAGCTGGCTTCGAAAGTCCGAGGGATTTGCCAGGAGATACTCTTTAAGCTTGTTCCAGGAGAAGTAGTCGTCAGAAACCAGCTGGACGATTTCCTTATGCTTTTCTATTGACTCTTCTTTGGATCTTAGTTTCAGAAGTCTGTCAAATGCATCATTATCCTCGATGTATTCTCCCTCCTCGACATTGTGTATAATCATTCGGGGATTAGTTTCTTTTCTCCAGAGATTTATCCGTCTTAGAATGGTGTTGGCTTCGAATAAAGTACCCTTTGATAAGATGGACCGGATTGAGAGATTTCTGGGAAGAAGGCCCACGAAGAAGTGTCGCAAGGTCAAGTCTGGAGGAAAAGAGTTTTTAGTTACAAAGAAAGATGTGAAGCTCATAAGAAGCTACAGGAAGAATGTATGTATGGATCCAGATGTCGATTTGTATAGGCCATTGAATCTAAGCTTTAGTAGAAAGACAATGGATGAGGGGATAGAGACAAGAAGAAAGACTCCGGCGCCCCAGAGCAGAAGGTGGCCTAAAAGGAAAATAAGGAACGGCAGGAGGAAGGTGATCGAGGAGAGAAACAAGAATGAGATTGTTGACATATGGGAAGAAGAAGGCCTTGAGGAGCTAAATGATTATGAGCAGGACATGTTTGTGAAAGCAGGAGAGGCGTATGCAGGCCCAGTTGAGCATCTGGAGTATAGGAGAGAGGATCTAGAAGGAGATCTAAGAAGGATATATCTAAGGCTTTATGAGCCAAGGGAAGGGAAGAGCTACAAGCTGAGAGATCTGATTAAGGATTTGCCCAGAGCAGAAACTCTAAAGCCGTTCCCGGAGGAGATTGGTCTGTCCTTTAGGTTTGAAAAGCTTGGAGCGGTTGGGATCAGTCAGGATTTCAAGAAGTTTGGGGTAGGAGAAGAAAACAAGCTGTGTGTTTATGAATTTAAGGGTTTTGTGAAGGTGAAACACGTTATTTTTGACTCTGAGATCCGTAAGATTATGTTTACAAAGGGGGAGACCATATGCATATTACTGGCGAACAATACCATATGCATTGTGAACGATACCTTTGCAGAAGGGTTTTCTGATGGGCAGAGATCCTTTCTTCGCAAGGAGTTTGTAATGTGGAGCAGGAAAGAAACTGAAGAAGGGGTGAAAAGCAGCAGTTGCATGTGCACTGTGATAAAGACAGATGGAAAGATAAATGATGTAGAAGCACATTGTGATGGAAGATATATAAGTGTGGTCTATGGAAAGAAGGTTATGGTTTATGACCTTAAGGAAAAAAAGGAATTGGAAGTCCTAAGGGTTCGGGGTACAGTGCCTCTTAAGGCAAGGTTTCACAGGTCTCTGGACACAATGGTTATTTCTACAGCAAGCTCGTTGATAGTTTATGACCTTGTATCTAGAAAGATAGCAAGAGAAGCAAAGGAATTTTCGTTTGTCCTTGACTTCTTTAGTATTTCAGACAACATAGTTGTATTAGTGAATAACCTGAAGAAAATAATTCTGTATGATTGGGCCAATAACGTTGTAAAAAGAACCATGCTTCAGGAGGATGTGGGAATGGAAGTGATCCAGCATAGAAGATTTAATCTTATGTGTGTTGCGTACCCTATGGAGATGATTGTTTTCTACAATGACGTGGGTAACGACCTGGTTGTCCCCGTCAAAAGGATTCCAGGAAGATATAGAAACATCCTGTTCCATCCCCACCTCCCTTGGGTATATGGGGCTAACGGAAATAAGGTGTGTGTGTTTACATGATGTGGATGGACGGGAAGGGCATCTCTGTCTAGATAAAGACTGGGGCTGAAGGCTTATAAGCAAATTTTTTTAACCCACGGGTTAGGCATGCAGATCTTTGTGAAGACGCTAACAGGAAAGACTATAACGTTGGAAGTTGGAGCAAGTGATACCATTGATAGTGTCAAGGCCAAGATTCAAGACAAGGAAGGGATTCCACCAGACCAGCAAAGGCTTATTTTTGCAGGAAAGCAGCTTGAAGATGGAAGGACTCTATCTGATTACAATATACAGAAGGAGTCCACACTCCATCTTGTGCTGAGGCTTCGTGGAGGAGGAGCAAAGAAGAAGAAGAAGGACTTTTCAACGCCTAAGAAGGTCAAGAAGCCTCATGTGAAAAGGGGCCTTTCGTGGCTGGACAACTTCACGATTACCGAGGACAAGGTTAAAGTCAACAATGTCTCGTGCGAGGCATGCGGGGTGGAAGTTTTCTGCAGGAAGATATCATCTGGGTTCAAGTGTGGAAAATGTTACACGGTTTATGGCAAGGACATTGCTAGCAATTAAAACTCCTCTTTAGTTCTATTCTATTATTTTGAATAGTCATGTGATTTATTGTATAGGTCTTGAAGAAGAATGGAAATCCTTTGAAAAGACGTACCCTAGCGAATGGTTCGAATTAAGATAAGCGGGGTTCCTATTGAGATGCCTTTTGAGCCGTATCCTGCACAGATAATCACGATGACAAAGCTTATATCTTGCTTGATGACAGGGACGAGCGGGTTAGTTGAAAGCCCAACAGGAACGGGGAAGAGCCTGTCGATACTATGTGCGGCGTTAGGATATAGCGAGCATCTGAAGAGAGGGATTAGAAGTGGATGTGGCAAGAGAAGAGAAGGAGGAGGGATGAAAGGAGAGGAAGTGAAGGAAGAAAAGCTGAAGATAATCATATGCTCACGGACTCACAAGCAACTTGACCAACTAATCGATCAGCTGAGGAAGACCCAGTATAAGCCCCGGATTTCCATATTAGCAAGCAGAAGCCAGTATTGTGTATCACCAAAGCTTCGGGAAGTTACAGACAAAAACACGGGGTGCAATGAGTTGGTGAAGAGTGGAAATTGTGCCTATTTCACTGGAAAGGATAGGCTTGCAAAAAGGGTTGGGGATAGGGTGTTTGACATAGAGGAGCTGAAGGGAGAGGGAAGAAGATGTGGTGGATGTCCTTACTATGCCTCTAGGATTCTGAATGAGGATGCAGAGGTTATATTTGCACCATACAACTACCTCATTGACCCCAGGATAAGGGAGAATACAGGGATTGGCCTTGAAAACAGTGTGGTGATTATAGATGAGGCACACAATATAGAAGACGTGTGCAGGTCATCTGGATCGATTGAGCTTGGGTCGCGGGCAATAGAGATAATACAGAATGAGATTCTTGGAGCCGTGAAGAGGAGTGGGATACTAGGGGAGATTAAGCTGGACTTTATCAACCTGATGGATTTTTTCAGAAAGCTTCGGGAAGGAGCAGACAATACAGATGAGTTTGATAGAGACACGTTTGGGGGGAAGCTTCGAATAAGAAGGGGAAAGGATATAAAGGACGAGCTTGAAAGGATGGGAATAAGTAAGGAGTTTGTTCTGAAGATTAAGAATTCGATATATGCAATCCAGAAGAATGAAGAGGCAAAGGACTTGCTGAATGTAAGCACGCTCCATGTACTAGAGGGTCTGGACTCTGTTCTATCTGCAATTCACTTTAGCGGCTGTGATGCATATTCGTTTGTGTTCCACAAAGTGAACGATGAGAATGTGAGGAATTCAAGAGCATCCAAGTTTTCTTATAACTTCTGGCTTCTTGATGCTGGATACACATTTCGATCGTTTGTTGGAAAGGTTAGGTCTGTTGTGCTTCTGTCTGGAACATTGACACCGTTTTCCTCATTTTCATCTGAGCTAGGGCACGAGTTTGCTCATTCGATTGTTGCACCCCACCTGATTACACAAAAGCAAGTGTTTGTCTCCTGTGTAAGGAAGGGACATTTGTCAAAGGAGCTAACAGGGACATACGGGGTTTCGGACACACCGCAGTATCTAGACCAGCTCTGTAAGATCATAGTGGATGTGTCGAGCAAGATCAAAGGGCATGGAGGAACACTTGTGTTTGTCCCGAGTTATAGTTTCCTAGAGAACCTGCAGAAGAGAATGGGAGGGACAAATCCTGGGATACTAACTGAGCCGAAGAATGGAGCAGGAAATGAGTTTGAAAAGGTGATGAAAAGATATAAGAATAGAATAGCAATGAAGCAAAGTGCCGTATTTATGTGTGTATACAGAGGGAAAGCAAGCGAAGGAATAGACTTCAAGGATTCTTTTGCAAGGGCGGTTATTGCAGTTGGAATTCCTTATCCAAGTCTTCATGACCCACAGGTAGAGCTTAAGAAGGAGTTCAATGACAGATACAAGAGCTTCAACGGACGGCTTTGGTACGAGGCCCAGGCGTTCCGAGCAGTGAACCAGGCACTTGGAAGGGCGATCAGACATAAGGACGATTGGGGGATAGTGATGCTTCTTGATAATAGGTATTCTGAAAAGAGAGTTCAAAACCATTTATCTAAGTGGGTTGCAGAGAATATCAAGGTCTATGACTCATATGATGGATGTGTCTCTGATCTCTTGAGGTTTCTATCCTTAATTAAATAGAAAAGTTTTAAAACAAGCTCTGCCTGTGCCTTTGAATGCCATTGTTTTTCTAGATTTTTCCTGTAGTTTCTGGGAAAACGAAAATATTTAACCATGAGTTCCCTAGTAGTCAATGTCGTCTAAGCAAGAACCGTTGGTAGAAGGCAATATAAAAGATAAGCACCCTGAGACACATGAGTTTGAGGTTGATGTGAACCAAATGATGGATACTATGATCAAGAGTGTGTATTCGTCTAAGGAGCTGTTCCTTAGAGAGCTTGTGTCCAACTCCAGTGATGCCTGTGACAAGCTTAAGGCACTATACTTCCAGTTAAGGGAGAAGGGGTGTTCACTTGATCCAGTCACATCTCTGGGAATTGAGATTATCCCAAACAAGGGCAACAGGACACTAACGATCAAGGATAATGGAATTGGAATGACAAAGGCCGACCTGATGAACTTTATTGGGACTATTGCAAGCAGTGGGACTAAGAAGTTCAGGGAAGAGATGAAAGAAAAGGGGAACTCTACCGATGCCTCTAATCTGATTGGGCAGTTTGGTCTTGGGTTCTATTCCTCGTATCTTGTAGCTGAGAGAGTTGATGTGATAACTAAGCATCCTGAGGACGGGGCACTTATCTGGACATCGACTGGGAAGGACCAGTACACAATAGAAGAGTATGAGGGCGAGTCTTTTGCCCACGGAACATCGATAGTATTGTACATCAAGGAAGGAGAGGAGGAATTCCTTGACCCAAAGAGGATCAGCGAGATAGTGAAGAAGTATTCTCTATTTGTGTTCTATCCTATATATACGTATGTTGAGAAGGAAGTTGAAGAAGCAGAAGAGAAGAAGGAGGAAGAAAAGGCTGTGGAAGAGACGAATGAGCCAAAGGTTGAGGAGGTACAAGAGAAAAGGTTAAAGAAAGTCACTGAGAGGGAACAGATTAATGTTGAGAAGCCATTGTGGAAGAGAAACATAAAAGATGTTCCCGAGGAGGAATTGAAGAGCTTCTATAAGACCATTTCTGGAGACTGGGATGATTTCCTTGCAGTTGACTTCTGGCACATCGAAGGACTTCTGTCTATTGAGCTTCTTATGTTTATTCCAAAGAGAGCAAGGTTTGATATGTTCAACAGAAACAAGAAGAACAATAACATCAAGCTGTACTGCAAGAATGTGTTCGTAACAGATGACTTTGGAGATTGTATTCCCGAGTGGATGTCGTTTGTCAGCGGAGTAGTAGCTTCTGATGATATCCCTATGAATATCAGTAGAGAGATGATTCAAGGGACAAATGTCATGAAGCTTGTCAAGAAGACTCTTCCTCAGAAGATATTTGAGATGGTTGGAAAACTTGCAATGGATACTGAGAAGTACAAGACATTCTACAAGGAGTTTGGAAACTGCTTGAAGATGGCGATAGGAGATGCAAGCGAGGGGCAGCAAGATGGATATGCAAAGTGTCTCCGTTACTTCACTACAAAGAGTGGGGAGGACATGATATCTTTGGACACGTATGTGGAAAGAATGGCAGCAAACCAGAAGCAGATATATGTAGTAACTGGCCTAGGGAAGAATCAAGTCAAATCGAATCCAGCACTAGATGCATTCCAGAAGTATGAGGTTATATATATGTATGATGTAATGGACGAAGTGATGCTTAGAGGTTTTAAGAAGTACAAGGGGCATGCTATACAGAGGATAACAAGTGAAGGAGTTGAGCTTCCTGAGGATGAAGAAAACAACGAGGAGGTTGTGAAGTCATTTGAGGAGTTCTGCAAGAAGGTGAAGGATATCCTCTCCAATAAGGTGGAGAAGGTCACGGTGAATCCAAGGCTTGTGAGTGTTCCTGCTGTCATATCTACCACTAAATATTCTTTGTCTGGGACCATGGAGAACATAATGAAGTCACAGCCGGTCACCGAGGCAAATCCATTTGCAGCAATGACAGCGGTTAGTAAGAAGATATTCGAGCTAAATCCAAACCACAAGCTTGTCAAGAATCTTAAGGCATTCTTCGATAACAACGAGATCGAAAAGATGAGTAAGATTTTGGAATTGTTTTTCGAGACTGTTCTCATCCATAATGGGTTTATGCTATCTGAGCCCAAGGAGTTCTGTGCCAACGTCTTTGACTTCCTTTGTTCTGAAGAGGTGAAAAGTGAGGAGGTTGTTGAGGAGGTCCAGTGAGCCCTATTAAATAGTTCTTTTTAACTGTTATATGTTACATCTATAATTAATTCAAAAAAATTACCCAGAGATGGAGGCAAAGTTATGTGAAGATGCTTCGAAAGTCTTAGATGCAATAAGGCAGTCCATTACTTCTGAAAGAATGGAGATCACCCCGGAAAATATTGCTAGTGCGGCGATATGCACGTTTCTGGAGATGAGTAGGAGAAATGACCATTCGAAAGTGCAGGAACTTCTTCAGATAATTCTTGCACATAAGAATTACATTGCCGAGGAAGACAGCACAGAGTTGATCAGAAGAATCCTTTTCTCCTTCAAGGAGAAGAAGATCTATCTTCAAGGATTTCGTATAATCAAGCATTTTATGAAAAGTGAAAAATACTATATGCCTCACTTCAGAATTCTTGTTGAGGAGTGTTTTGGAAGGAAAGGATTTAAGACGAGGTCTGTAGAGCTGGCGAAGAGGTATTTGGGGATGGAAAAGTTCAAGAAGGAGCTTCTCGACCATATATCCAAACTCCAGACCATTAATCTGATAAGGCACATCAACTGCTTCTTCGATTCTATCATGGATAGGATTGATGTGGAGTCGAAGCTTGAGGAATTTGTGAGACCGACCATCTTCAGCGATATGGATTCTGATGAAGCTAGGGCACTGTACTCTGAATGCTGCGATCTGCTTTACAACTACACAGTGATGAGGATGAAGACCATTGAGTCTAATGAAAAATCCTTTGAATACATCATGAAGAAGCTTCTAATTCTTTTTGCAATTCCTCTTCCTAGAGGAGGAAAGCTCCTGAAGATATTCTCACTATTATCAGAAAAGGACTTAGTTACTTCTTTAAAAAATGGAGTTCATCTGATGAAGCTAGACAGCAATCTCAAGAAGGAGGTTGTGAAGGAGATATGCGAATCAAAACTGAAGAACGATCAAATATACGAGTTCATCAGGTCTGTTAGACACATTCTTATCCCAGAGTTTATAGATTTGATAAGGCACATGGCGAGAAGCTTTGTGGAGGGAGATGACAGGTATCGGTTTTCTCTTGGGGCCATTGCAGGGATCATAGGGCTGGAGGATTTGTTTCTGATATTGGAGGATATTCCTATAGAGATTAGGACATGGGCACCTATTATAAGATGCTCTTCAAATGAAGACATATCATTTTTTATAAAGCTGTACCGTGGCATAGAAGAAAAGAAGGAGGCGGAATCCATGGATAAGACCGTTCTTTTGAACTGTCTTCCTGCATTCTGTAACTATGGGACGGACCGTAACAATTCGATCAAGACGCTTCTTCAAGTAATGAAGGCCAATATGGGCGATGCGAATGTCTTTAACTCTATATGCACAGGAATAAGGAAACTAATACATTCACACGAGGGTAATATCAAAAACACCCTGATCCTTAGAAACCCCATTCCACGTAGCGAATCTCAGAGGATTCTTTGTGCAGTCCAGGAATCAGCGATTGCCCTGGATATTCTTTCCATGGCTATGACGAGAAGTTCGGATGAGCTAGACCAAACCTTATTCAAGCTACTTGAAACAAACGACTTTGGTGTTTCTCATAGGATATTCCAATACATCCTTCTCTATCCACAGATTGAATCGGTTGCAGTTGGGAATTGGAACCTGACAGGGCTTGCCGATGTCTTGAAAGTCGCAAGATACTTCGTTCCGGCTATGAGTTGTGACTTTGAATTTTATAGCAAGCTCATAGACCTTTCCCTTTCTGAGGACGGATGTGTCCAAAAAAGATCATACCAGCTGCTTTATCACATGAAGCAGCATCAAAAGATTGATCTATGCATTTGTGACACTCTTTTTTCTCACGAGATTGATGAAAAGACAAAGGATTGTTCCCAGAGATGGAGGATTTCTCTGGTCTATTCCATTTACATGATTGGATGCAAATGTTTCCCTAGCAGGAAGAAGGAATATCTCAACAAAATGCTTCCCATGCTTGTTGTAGGGCTGAAAACAGGAAATGCAAAGACTAAGAAAACTTGCTTGGAAAGCTTGGAAGAGCTTGTGTCTGGATTCAATGCTTCCGATTTTGACTTCTATTCCAGGCTTATGATAGCTGGGATGGAGTCTGAAAGTATGGATCTCAGATGTGGAATATTGGAAGCATCTACTTCGTTGATAGAGAACCATAAAGAAAAACTCTCTCAAGAATTCATCCTGTCCATATATGATGCATGCCTGTCCACAAGCAAGTTAGGAAGGGAAGTTGTTCCACATGTTCTTAAACTTCTGAACACCTTTGCTGGGATGCATGCAATGAACCTTCAAGGATGTGTGGATGTCCTGGAATTATATGCAGATAGGTTCAAAAGAAGACATGGCAAGGATATCAAATCCATTGTACTGAGGCTCATGAGTAGAGATGTAGAAATCCCTAAGAGTCTCAAGGCTCTCTTAAAAGAAAAGAAGAAAAGAAAACCTCTCCCATCTCTACAGATAACAAAGAAAAATGATGTGATGATTACACAAGAAAAGAAGAAACAGCACAGCATATTCGTAAGACATAGGAAGACATCAAGACAGAATAAAAAGCACAAGAAATAAAATCTCGGTATTTATACTCTTCTATAGGGACTCTATTTGATTTTTTATTTATCTCGTTCCAGGCCGCCGTTAGTCATGCATAGGACTTTATGAAGCTGAGCTCTTCATCAAAGCTATCGTCGTAGTCTACATTTTGGGACTCAATCCCAATACTTTCACAAAAATTAGAAAAAAGAATCCTAAGGTCAAGAGAATCCTCCGAGTCGATGCAGGCCCTAATTATAGGGATATATTGTCTTTGCATATCGACAGGCGTCTTTTGAAGAAGTATTATGATTATTTTGCACTTAAAGCTGTTATCAACCTCAAGTTGAAATACTTTATCAATAAGATGGCCCCAGGTATCTTTACTCTCAAGCAGCATAAGACTTGAATAAAGCCTAACGAGGGCAATACACTTGTGCCTTGAATGCTCATACATAATCTCGATGCTGGGGACCATCATTCTCATCACTTGTACTTGTATCTCAGCTTTATGAACAAGAGATGCCAGAAAGTCTGTATCTTCAAAGGCCCACGGGTGTAGGAGGATTGTCAGAAGAGTAGCCTTGCTTCTAACAAGACTGCTCCATACTGAGGAATTCTCACTGAATGTCTCCTTTCTAAAGAAGTGCCTGAAAAATCCCCTATAGTCTGCATTGAGCATTGTCTGAGAAGGTGAAAGAACCCTCGAAAGGCAGTTGTTTGCATGTATAAAATCCATCTTCGAAGCTTTGTAGTTTCTAATTCTTTCAATGAATTCACGGATTCTATGGCTAGTCGACTCATTCAAAAGGAAGTATCTTCCTATTCCATTGAGGCAGGCACAGTATGCCTCAATATTCTTAATCTTAAACAGATGATCAAGAAGCACAAACATCTCATCAGGAGAGACCTCTCTAAACTTACACATCTCAGATATGAGCAGGCAGTTGGACACTACGTCGTTGTGACCGATGTTCTTCGATTGATATATCTCTTTGAAAAGAGTTGCAGCAATCTTTCTTCCAACACCCCCCATACTTTTCAATATCCTAGCTATAGGTGTTATAAAATTAGGATTAAGTTTCAGTTGCATAATCGCAGAGATTATCTCCCTCTGGTTGCTTGCATTTTTTATGTACTTCGACAGCCCATCCAGCTTTTCTGTGTCCCCAGAGTGCATAATAATGTAGTCCCTTATCTCCTTCACATCCAGGCCTCCATCATAACATTCCTGTGAGGTAATGCGCCCAGTATAGTAAAGGAACTCCTCATCTTCCACATCAACCACCTTCCTGGGGCCGCCTTCCTTATCATGAACTTCTATTCCAAGAGATCGGGCCGCCGCTGTAAACCTTTCGTTTTCATCTTCAATGGTCAAAGATCCTATCTTCATGGCTTGACTTCTAACCTCTGCTTGGATTGCTTCATCCTTGTAGTTCTCTGTTATGTATGCAAGGAAAAGAGTCCTGGGCCTCACATCCATCTTGCTGCATAGATCCTTGATAAGGCCTTCTTTCCACCCTTCCTTTCCAGTGGCTCTTCTAGTTAGAACTTGCATGTCAAAGAAATAGGCCGGAAGCCAATATCTCTCTATATCTTGTATTCCGCATCTTATAACCTTCCCAAGCTCATTCATCAATTGCATCACAAAATCACCGCATGCCATAAGTGCAGATGTTACACGAACAACATTCTTTATGTCGTCCCCAGACTGCACCTTTGCCAGAAGTAATGAGGGTACTATTTCAGAGGTGAACTTGCTCATGTCCTCTGATGCCAGATCGTTCCTAATGGTGTCTACATCCTCAGACCCTATGTTCCTTATCTTCTTTATGATCGAAAGCTTTTTTTTAAGAGACGAGTTCCTCTTTTTTTCAACGCCAGCATTGCTTAAGACTTTGAGTTCATCTTGCCAATTCATGCAGGGGAGTATCCCTCCAAAGGATTTATTATGCTCAGGGCCTCTTGAAGCCCCTTGATATGAACCATGGCTACTTGAAGAATCTTTATCTTCAGCAACTTGAGACCGGGCAATATTCAGATGTGTTTAGAGAAAGCCTGCTGAGCATAGTGTCCATGAAAATAATAAACACAGTCATATCTCTTGCTGCTAAGGACAATGAAGAGGCCCCGTTTATGGAGCTTCTGGAATTATTTCTTCAACATCTGGAAAGCAATGCCGTATTTTACGAAAAGTTTAGAAAGTCAAACTTTCACCTTCTCTTGTTTGAAAGGCCGTTGAAGATGGAGAGCTACGCAAAAATGAAGGCCATTTATGACAAGGTTGGCGCAAGGAGAGTCGCACCAGGGTTTGAACAAACAGAGTTTCTCAGCAAAAACTTTTATAACTACTGTCTGTATAAGCATATATACAATGACTATCAGTTTGATCTTGAGTTGGATGTGAGAGGGTTGGGCCCTGTGGAAATGAACCTGTTCAAGGGCCTTCTCAAGATAATATGTATTGAAAATAGAGAGAACGAACATCTTGTTAATTATATAAGGACTCTTCCTATGGATACTGCCGTTTTTCTTGCAATAGTTATGCCGAACATCAAGATAGACGGGTCAAAGCTCTCCCCCGAAGACATGTTCCTTGTATATCCTTCTCAGGTAAGAGGATCCAGTCCAAAGCAATTTATAAAACCGTTTCTATGCAGCCTGAATTTCCATGAAGGATTTTGCAAGGTCTGTTGTAGGCGATTACTAGGATGTGAATTTGAAGAGATAGACTGTGAGGAATATCTGAGCAGTATAGCAGGTGACGTTGAAGAGATAAGCTTTGGAGTAAGCCACTGGGAGAAGATGAGGACACCCAGAATACTTACAATCGTTCTTAGATCTTTGTTCAAAGAGCCCAGAGGTCTTGAGTGCTACAAACGTCTGAAGTACTTTCCAATGGAGGAGAAAGGTGAAATGGAGGATGTGGTGATAAGGTTTCTGAGATACGCAGCCAGTACACTGAGTATTGAGAATGTTCAAGTGTCACTCAAGATGTTCCCATTTACAAGGCACACACCAAGAATATCCTTTTCTTATTTTGTTGTTTTGTTTGAAGGTCTTCAGAAGCATTCCGGAAATGTATTTTTAAAAAGTGTAGTGAAGAATGTAGTGATAAGGAACAAAAGCAAGTTTATGAAAATAAGAGCAATGATATTCGAGTATTGTCTGAAAAAAGGCCTTGAGTCTCTATCTTATACCTTGGAAAATACAAATAACAGAATAAGAGGAGACGAAAGATTGCTAAAGAAAGGCCTAAATGAAAAAGAGGACAATGAACTCGAGAGGGTGCTTGGCCCTCTATCAGAATTTTTTGATGAGGAGTGCCAATCATTTGTCAGGAACAGCATGTTTTACATATATCCCATAATGTACTCATTATCATTTCCTTGTAACGTATCAGACCCTGCGTTTACCCAGGCCAACAATCATTTTCTGATTATATCTCTTTTCCTTCAAGGAGAAGAAAGCAAAATAGACGATATAGGATATGGGAGGGATGATCTGTATGGAATGGGGGTGGATGTGATTGTACCACTTCTGTGCAATGGGTATTTCAAGTATGATGTTCTGAAGAGGTTTTTTGGAGATGTCCGGAAATACATAAGTGGCCATGTTCCAAGATTTCTATTTGTCTTGAAGAAAGTGTATGTTGAAAGGCCTTTTGAGTTTCAAGTATGTGTGTTCAAAGTTCTGAAGTGCATTATAGAGGCCATTTCTGGAAATGTAAAGATGCTGTTCAATTATCTGTTTCCATATATTGAGTTTTTCATGAAGAAGCATGAAGATTCATGTGGAACGGACTGTAAGATGATCTTTATTGAATACTATTCATCATTCTTCGAGAACGATTGTCTTATTCGGAACATGCCAAGGATATTTCCATACCTGGATGTTGAGAAGATAAGCAAGTGGAGCAATGTGAAGAACGAGGATGATTGCCTGGACATAGTTATAGGGCTTTTGGATACCAAAGGGCATTTTCCCCAGGAAACATCTATTTCCAAGGCAGTGGAGTTTCTCATAAGAACATTTGGAAGCATTGAGAAGGATGAGGAATTCAATGAGGAGAGCTTTGTGGAGAATATCCTTGTACGGTTTTTTAAGAGCCAGACATTCAGGATGAAGATTGGAAACGTTTACAAAGGATTAGTAGGAGCAGGAAGCGATGCAGCATTTATGATTGGATGTATATCTCAAGAGTTTTTAGAACAAGGAGGTTTTCCCTCTGCCTGTGATGGTTTTGTTGTTCAATGCACTCCAGAGGCAATTGCTAGAGTGATGATTGAGAAATACCTATCTGAGATAGATCCTGGAAAGCAAGATCTTTATTTCTTCATAATACAAGAGGGGCTAAAGTTTATTAAAGGGCCCTTAAGTGAAAGAATAGAAGAGATTGTCGAGCAGTTCAGGAGCACACAATACTCCTATGAACATATGCCTTCTCATTCAACGGAAAGGGTATATGAAAAAACGTATACCTTTAAGAAGTTTCTTCAAAGGGTTTACCGATATTCCCTTGGAGAGATTGAAAGGGCTAATATGAACGATTATTTTAATCTTCTTAAATATGGAGACCTACTTGACACTCAGTTTCTGGAGTTTCACTGTTTGTGCCTAGGTAGGCTGGTTTTGAATATAGGAGATAAGCGGATTCTGGACATATCCCAAGCCATAGCCTCTGATTTGCAGGGGGGTGTAGACAGAAGAATTGCAAGATTCATTTTAAAGCTACACAGGTTTACAGATGGAAAGTATATCTCTGATCAGGAGATTCTCAAGATATCGATTTTCCTCAAAGATCATTACAACTCCATCCAGGTTTTGGAAAAGATGATAAGAAAGGAAAGAAGAAGAGAGCTTTTTGATGCTCTGCAATATTGCTATTACTCCATCAAAGACTATGACAAAGTACTAGGGATAAACTCTGTGTTCGCTAGACCAACACTGATAAACCTGTTCTTCAAGTTCTGTATGGATAAGAACTTTGTAGCAGCAAGAAGATGCTTAGAAACTGAGATGGTGGCAGGGCATGACGGAACAAGAGAGGAGGTTGGAACAGATGGCGGAGATTCTGTGATACAAGACTTAGAGTTAAAAGCTTTGTTGTCTGAGATCATAGACGAATGCCAAGATGATGAAGTCATAAAGTTTATGGATGATTGCAAAAGAATAGAAAGGGATTTTTCTGAGTGGAAGAGCTTAGTAAGTAGAAACGAAATATTTCGGCACTTCATAAAGGATTGTGAACTTGTATCTAAGAGTGGAAATCTACTTAAGACCTTGGACTTGATAGCAGGGAGAAGAGAGCTGGCTGGAGATAATAGAATGCTTCTGGAATGCCATGAAAGTCTTGTGGCTGGGATAAAATCGATGATAAATTCAAGGGATGATATATCATGTGATGAAGTGCTTGAGTCTTTGGTTGGCTCGGCAAGGCAGGACATCACAGAGGGCCTCAGCCAGGGACTTCATAGCAAGGAATACTTTGATGATTTTGCATCCGTAGATATGGTTCTGAAGGAAAGACGTCCTGAAAGGATAGGGTACATGGATAGAATCAAGGCTGGAAAAGCAAGCAGATATAGTACTGTGGATGAGTTTGAAAGAGACCTAAAGCTTGCAATGATAAGAAGCTACAGAAAAGACAATGATGTGAGCAGATGCATGCAGGAGATTGGAGATATGCTTCTCAAAAGAGAATGGTGTGTACTATATGAGTTAGCAGAGATGAATGTTCTGCAAGGAAAGATAAGCGATGCGAAGTCGTCTCTTAAAAAGGTTTTGGAGTTGTTTCCAAGAACATCGTTGTTCCACAGAAAGGCTCTGATCCGGTATGCTGAGCTTGTAGATACAAAGACTGGATATGAGTCTGCATTATCCACTCTGAAAGATTCTGGAAAGCTGTTTCTTCTCGGAGCCAAGAAGTTTGAAAGCACAGAGCCTGTCAAAGCAATGGAGATGTATATTAATAGTATAGTGCATGATAATCAATATTCTGATGAAGCTGTTCCTAGAATATTTCACCTATTTTCTGAGATGACGCCATCGAAAGATATCAATGCAAGTGGGCTGCTGATAAAGAAGCTTCTGGAATCCTGTATATCATTGCTCCCTCCATATTACAATCAGATTCTCTCTAGATTAAGCCACCCGAATCAAGATGTGGCAGAAGTAGTGTCTAGAACTGTACTCGAGCTTATGGAGAACTATCCAAGTAAAACGTTCTGGAGGTCTCTGATAATGATGAACTCGCAAGTCCCAAGCACAAGAAGGCGCATGGAACGAATCATCTCAGAGCTTACACTTGACAACAAGGTAGTTCTATCTAACGTTAGGAAGATATCGGAAGAGCTGGTAAAAATATCAAGATCAAAGAAGAACGAGCTAACTATACGTGAAGACTTTCCAGGGTTTGTTAAGATGTTTCCAATTGATGCCGTGGTTCCAAACACGAATATATTGATTGGTGGGGTAAAAGATGGAGTGAAGGTTTTTAACTCTCTCCAACGCCCTAAAAGAATATGCTTTATAGGAAGTGATGGAAAAAGCTATTACTGGCTTTGTAAAAACCAGGATGATCTAAGAAAGGATAGCCGATTCATGGATTTGAATTTCATAATCAATAGCATACTCAAGAAGCAGAGCAGTGAGAATTATATCCGAACCTATACTGTGATACCATTCAGCCATGAGAGTGGGATTATAGAATGGATTGATGGGTTGAGCTCACTCAAAGTCATATGCGATTCCTATTACGCAAAAGATGGGATTTCGATATCTGAAACAGCGTGCAGGTTTGTGAGCAATAAGAAGATAGGAATGCGAGAATGGCACAAGGTCATCTTGAAATTTCATCCGAAGTTTCATTTGTGGTTTAGCGACAACTTTCCACATCCGTACGGTTGGCTAGTGGCCAGGAATAACTATACCAGAACATATGCAATAATGAACATTGTGGGATGGTTTATGGGACTAGGAGACAGGCATGCAGAGAATATTCTTTTTGATTCAAATACTGGGGATACCGTTCATGTTGATTTGAATTGTATCTTTGGAAAGGGAAAAGAGCTACAGGTGCCGGAAAGGGTTCCATACAGACTCACTCAAAACATAGTAGATGCATTTGGGGTACTTGGGCTAGAAGGCTCATACAATGCCACCCTTTGCGCAACTTTAGAACTATTTCTCAAAAACAGGAACATTCTGGTATCAAATCTCTTATCTTTTGTATACGACCCTTTGTTTGAGTGGAGAAGAAAATCCACAACTGCACCAAAGAAGATTATCGAGGACCTATATCGCAAAATAGACGACTTAGATGCCAGTAGCAAATGTGATCTGCTGAATGAGGAAGCAACAAAAGACGAAAATCTATCTACGATGTACATCGGATGGCTGCCATTTGTTTAAACCATAGGCATTTGAGAAAATACTAAGTTATATACTTTAGATTGGTGTGTCATAATAAACACATGCTTAAAATGCCTGCGAACTTATTTACTTTTCAAAAAGAGCTTGGAGATCGTCAAGAAACTCTTCGTGGACAAGCCTTCCATTAGAATCGAACAAATCAAACACAGATTTTGTATACTTGCTTGGGATGAGTTTGTTTTTGTTATAGACCAATATTACATATGTAGGGTCTGGTGCACTGATGTTTGTGGAAACAACTCTGTCCTCAAATACCATGGAAAAGCCTATATATCGGAAGTAGACCTCTCCAAGAATGTTGATTATGAAATAAAGCAGGGTTAACACAGCTATGATACGTCTGTGATATTCAAACTCCGATGTAACAGAAAGGTATGCAACTACTGAGGCGATTGCTGTTGAGATCAACCCTATCACTATTTTAATATCTGTGGAAGCCTTAGATTGTCTTGAATTCCTAACTTTTTCCATGAAGTCACGAATGACATCATCGAGGATTATCTTCAGCTCGCTCAGGTTGTATATGTCTCCCCTGAGTGGGTTTTTGTTGTACTTAGCTTTCAAGTTGTCCATGTAGGGTAAATATTTTGCAGAGGCCTTAACTGCAGTAAGAGACACCCCAAATGGATTCTGATCAGCAATCATCTGCATTTTCGTTCTACGATGCCAGCCAGGATGTTCAGCTGAATCTCACGCCGTCACAGTCACAGGGGGAACTTAGCTCTACATTCACACCTATAGTGGAGACAGAAAGAGTCAAGGTGATATGGGGCACTACTATAAATATTCAGGAGACGTCTGAACACTTCAAGGAGTTTATCAGGAAGAACAGAGACTATTACAGCATCCTTGAGCAAATGGATCTCACCCAAGAATTTGTATTTGATCTTAACTGCGAGGATCTCTATGATGAGCTTCGAAGTCAGCTTGCAATGTACCCACAGGAAGTACTCCCAATACTTCAAGGCTCTCTCCAAGAAATATACACAGAGAACTTTCCAAGCTTCAATGGATCTATCAGGATCAGACCTTTCGGGATAGGAAGGCCTCTTTCAATAAGGAATATAAATCCGAACGATATTGACAAGATTGTGCAGATAACAGGGATGGTTATCAGATCATCCTCTGTGATCCCAGAAATTGTGAGAGCTTTCTTTAAATGCTCGAAGTGCCAGCATGAATGTTTTGTGGAAAGCGTAAGGAATGTGATTGAAGAGCCAAACAAATGCGAGTGTGGAGGGAAGTATACCCATCAACTGGTCCATAATGCGAGTGAGTTTGAGGACAAGCAGATAGCAAGGGTTCAAGAGCTACCTGAGGGAATCCCCGACGGAACAACACCCATGGCAATGACAATAGTATGTAGAAATGAATTTGTCGATGGGCTTGTTCCGGGGGATAGAGTTAAAGTGATAGGAGTTTTGAAGGCAACTCCAGTGAGGCTTAATCCTGTGATGAAGAAGATTAAGAGCACGTTTAGAACTTATCTCGATCTCCTTAGTTACCAGGTGATTAACAGAAGAATCGAAGAAAGTGATCCCATTGATAAGATTAATGATCTTAGGAAAAGACCTGAATTATATGAGATACTGGCAAATTCGATAGCGCCTTCTGTATGTGGGATGGAAGATACAAAGAAAGCCTTGCTTCTTCAGTTGTTTGGAGGGGTTAGGAAAGAACTTGAGAGTTCGAGGCTTAGAGGGGATATAAATATACTTCTAGCAGGAGATCCTGGAATATCAAAATCACAACTGCTAAGCTTCATACATAGGACCTCTGAAAGAGGCATGTACACTAGTGGAAGGGGGTCTAGCGCTGTTGGGTTGACTGCGAGCGTGACCAAGGATCCAGATACAGGCCAGTTCATCTTAGAATCCGGAGCTCTTGTTCTATCTGATAACGGGGTATGCTGCATAGATGAGTTTGACAAGATGAGTGACACCACAAGAAGTGTATTGCACGAGGTAATGGAACAGCAGACTGTTTCTGTTGCGAAGGCAGGAATCATAACTACATTGAATGCAAGGTGCTCGATTCTTGCAAGCTGCAACCCAATTGAAAGCAAGTACAATCCTCGGAAAAGCATAGTTGAAAACATCAATCTTCCTCCAACCTTGCTGAGTAGGTTCGATGTTGTATGCTTGCTAATTGATAAATCTGATGAGCTCCAGGATAGAGCCATAGGTGATCACATTGTCTCTCTGTATTCCGAGGGAGTAGCAAAAAAAGAGCATGTTGATGCAGGCCTTCTCAAGGCATATGTGAGAGAAGCAAAAAGAATAGTGCCGAAGCTGACCTCAGAAAGTATGAAGATGCTAACTCAAGCATATGTTGATCTTAGGCAAATGGATAATGGAAGAACAATAACTGCAACAACAAGACAGCTGGAGAGTTTAATTCGACTAAGTGAAGCGCATGCCAGAATGAGGTTTTCAAGTACTGTCGATGGCAAGGATGTTAGGGAGGCAGTGAGAATAATAAGAGAAAGTCTTCTTATGTATGCGATTGATCCATCTACTGGGAAGGTTGATATGGACATGATAATTACAGGAAGAAGCACATTTAAGAATAAGATGTTGGAAAGTCTAAAAGATGCAATTCTCCTTATGGCTAAAGACAAAGTAGAGGTTTCTGAAATAGTCAAAATGACAGGTGCGGACGAAAAGATGGTTCTGGAAGCCTTGGAAGAGCTTGTATTGGAAGACAAAATGATGAGTTCTACCAAGGGGTTCTATGAAAGAGCAGGGAGTTGAAAGAGAATCTTTCATTCTAAGTACATCCCTTTTTAACCCTAGAGTTTGGATAAACTATTGCTACATTCTGCCTTCCTCTGTATTTTATTATGGAAATACCACCAGTAATAATATTTCTCCCAATCGCTAAACCCTTTTTGCATTTTGTGTTCTCTCATTGCCCGAAGCTGAGATGTCTTCAGCCTGGTGTCGCCAAAAAGAATGGAATCTTCTATCAGGTTTTCTATCACAGCGGTTGCATTTAATAGGCTCTCCTGTGTATCTGCAGTTATATAGCAATGTAGAGGCTCTGCGTACTTGTCCTTGTATGATCCCCTTATATATATTCTGGTTCTTGTAATTCTCTCGAGTTGCTTCTGAGTAGAGCCCCTAGGGCCTATGATCAAGCCTACGAAATTACTTTCAGGGAATTCTTGAATAGGGATATAGATCTTATTTGTATACATACTTCCAGATATGGTGACATTTCCTTGAACTTGGTGGCCTAAAATATGTTGCTTTCTGGCTTTCAGCCATTTAACCAAGCCTTGGTCATTGGATGCAACTGCTGCTTGAAGACGCCTATCTATTTCTTCTGTACGAATGGTATTGATCAGATCTTTCAGGCCAGACTTGTCTTTCACACCTTCAGGGAGTGCCACTTTCTCTGGATATCGGAACGACTCCATGATGGTCTGTCAAAAAGATGCAAATTTTTGCTCCCCGATGACAAGCATTCCTAAATCGAACGAGGTAGTCTTCATAAGGAACTACTACAGTATGCTCTGTAATAGACCATCGCTTATCCACCAGTATTACATGAAAGATTCTCAACTTACAATAAGCAAGGAGATGGACAAACCCGAGATATGTACAGAGGATTTTGGAAAATATATCAAATCAAAGATATCTAACCCGATTTCAAAAGTGCTTATATCCCATCTGTCCTGTCAAAAGATAGATGATTTGAGATCGATCATAAATGTCATTGGGCAGTTTGTTTACAATGATATATCTCAAGTAAGGATAACTCATCAATTTATTGTTTCAAAGTCCGACTCTACTCTATACATCAAGAACGAGATCCTGACATTTCTTGATGAGGAAGTTATTTATGAAACCGAGAGTGATGCAAAAAGAGTCATAGTTGTCTCGTGTGGAAAGAATGGCATGCCACAGGCGATTAGTGCGATTTCCGAGTTTGGAAAGGTTAGATCTATGAAGTCCGAGAACGATGGCAAGGTTGTTATGACACTCAATAGTATGGAGGATGTGGAGAATATCAAAAGAAATATTGCAAAGATTGTTTCACAGGGATACAAGCTGGAATTTGGTGGGCTAAAGGTATGAATAATCAAAGGGCTTTGGGAATAAATTCTTATGAACAACTTATTTTTTATGTTCCTTTCTTCCTCGTGAATGATGTTCCTACGTGAAAGAAACCCTGCTAAGTACAATGGAAGAGGAGGGGAAGTTAGCAAAGAGACTAGTGGATGCATATAACAAACGTGTGGAACTATACATGCAGAGACGTTCACTAGAAGATTCTATAAGCGCAAAGCTTATTGACCAGCGCGCACTCCGAGAAGCAATAGAGATGAATAAGGGTCTGGACAGAAAGGAGCAGGCAAAGCCACCAGACCAGGGAACAATGTTTGGAACTGGGATGCACAGACTATCTCTCATCGACATAGGAAAACTTCCCACAGATAACATAGACATGTTTCACACAGAAACAGCAATCTATCCTGTGGGATATACATGTAGAAAGAAGTACAAAAAGCACAACACTTATAAAAGGAAAGCAAAGGACAGGATTCTATATATTTGCAGTGTGGATCCCCATAAAGGCCTGACTATCTCTGCTGATGATGGAAGGAAATGGTATGGGCCTACCATGTGGAAAGACTTTGTAGATAGTATTGAGGGGACTGTTGAGTACAAGAACGTTGAAGAGTTTTTTGGATTTGGGAATTCGGCGTTGGCCAAGAAAATCGAATCTCTTGGGGATTTATCTCCTTTCAAGAAGTATATTCCATTGAGCAGAAGGTTTTAAAAATAAAGATTTCGAATCATAACTAAGCCAACAAGCAATAAGATTTCTAAGATGCTTTTATTTTCAGAAAGAAAACCTAACAACCATGAATATTGCAGCCAAAGTAAACACAATAAGCAGCATGGACCTGATGATTCTGACCTTCCAAACCTTTCTTCTTCTGGAAATTGATAGCTGCTCGTTACTGAGGATCCCATATTGCTCTCCTTCCTCAAGATGCTCCATAACATTATCTATGGGAAATATAGCATCATTGATTGCATAGTTTATATAATCTGAAACTGCAATGATCTCTTGAACACTCCTGGCCACCTCATTAATCGTGTCTTTTCTGCTCAATACTTCCATATGCATCTTACATGCAGATATCTCGTCATCTAACTCTTTGTACGGTCTTGCAATGCATCTGTACCTATTCTTCAGTTCGTTATATTGCCCTACAAGCTTAGGGGATTGCTGCCCACACTCGACAAGACGATCACAAATCCGAAACATATCTTCTAGCTTCGACTCCCTTTCCTTAGAGGCATCTACTTCAAGCTTCCTTATGCATTCATCTAGTATCTCTATTCTTTTGGAGAAAGTAATATCATTCATCGTAGGAGCTTGTTTACCTGTTTCATCCGTAGATGAGATTAATGATCTTTGTTATAAACATGGCAGAGCATAGAACTAAGTTAAACTTCAAGCAGGGTTCACCCCTCATTCTAGCCCGAATCTTGACACAATCCGCTTCTCCACCTCGACAATGTCCGCCAAAACAGGAAGAGGTATGTCCATAGCACTATGCTCCTCAGGATCAGCCAACACAAGAATTCCTTTCGCACATCCTTTCTTCCTTATAGCCTGCCTTGTGTTCTGAAACCATTTCTGGATAGATTTTGGATGGACATTGATAAGCAGTGCAAGATCAATTATTGTCTTTGAAGAGGGAAATTTCGATATTTCAAATATCCTGTTCAAAACACAGGTCTGTAGCCTTGTTTTCCTCATCTGTTTTCCAGCACAATACCTGTTCATTTGAAACCCGCTAAGTTTTAGAAGCCCAAGCGCTGCTTCCAACTCCTTCACATTCTTAGTTTTTTCGGCAGCCATTTTCAGGAACTAAGGTCAGGCCTTGAAATAACTTTACGTCTTTCCTCTCATTGATATATTAATTACTCTGCATGTCATGTGTTGTAATCCTTCCTAAATTGTTAGTTCTTATAGAAATTGACTTCTAATTAACATCATTTGCCCTTAATTTAGCAACTACCAACTATTTGTTCATTACTTTTGCCTTTCTTAACCATATATCAGGTCCTGTATGTACTCAAGCGAAGATTCCTAGAAAACTGCTTATAAATGGCTATATCCAAGCCTCAAGATCCTTATAAGCATCTACCAAGCCCTCCTCATCTCATCCAATAAGTCCACTATGGATTTCCAGAATATCACAGAAAAATATCGAACAAATTTAATTGGCTGTTCTCTTTTGCTTAGTAAAGGGTAGTAGATTAAATACTAAAAATCTGTCGCAGTAATAAAAGCCATTCCGTTCAAATTGTATCACATCACCCTCCTTAATGTTTACGACAGCAGACTCTGCATAACAATATTCCTTTTTAATGGAATCCTTGTTGAATTTCATGTCTAAGTCGTCAGTATCTTCATCATTCATCAGGTTGCCATACTCGGTAAGCTCGACAATTACAGAGCCTCTTTTAGAAACCCAGGATATCTTATTTTTTGTCTGTTTAAAGTCTCCCTCAAGGTTTAGTACAATGGACATCTTCGTCACTATTCCATCTACAACGGTTTTTTTCTTTACAATTGCATTCCCCCAGTTCATCAGTGTGAATTCCTCATCGTCCTGAAGCACCTTACCATCCTCTTGAGAAAGTAGCATCAGGTTCGAATACAAAACTTCCTTTACTCCAAGATTCCCATTCTTCTTATGCTTGGGGACCTCCATCATATATTCAGACATGTTTTCGATAGATACTTCCACAACGTTCCTTTGCTGGACACAAAAATACCTTGCAGCAACAGGATCTATCTTTTTCTTGTTCATTGCCCAAACTTTGTCCCAGGATATAGTGCAAGTCTTCTGAGAGACTCCTTGCATTAGTATGTATTCCCGAAGAACTTCCATACTCATTCCAAGCCTTTTTATTCCTGCAACAGTTGCCAATCTTGGATCATCCCACCCAGATACAAATCCATTGTCAACATAGTACTTGAGCTTTCGTTTGCTAAGAACGGTATTCTCAAAGTTGAGTCTCGAGAAATCATGGATTTTAGGTCTGTTACTAAGCTGGAGGTTGTCAATAAACCAATAGTACTGCTGATTCCTATCTCTGTACTCATTTGTCCTGAGAGATAGTGTAACCCCTTCAAGGCTGTCAACAACAGGGCATGCAAAGTCATATGTAGGATAGACCTTGTATTTGTCCCCTGTTCTATGGTGAGGAGACCCGTTCGTTCTAAAAATAACAGGGTCCCTCATGGCCTTGTTACAGTTGGACATATCAATCTTTGCCCTTAGACAATATCCTGAAGCCTTTCCATTGATCATTTCCTCAAATGTTCTTCTACTTTCCTCTGCACTTGTATTTCTACATCTAGACTCAATACCCTTTCCTCTCTCATCCCTCATCACCTCTTGCGGTGTATTGTCCGTATAGGCTTTTCCTTCATCAATCAAGAAAAAGGCCAAATCTATTATTTTCTCAAAGTAGTCACTGGTATGAGAGAGTGTGTACTCTTCTATCCCCAAAAGTTTGAGGTCCTCCAGTATCCCTTTTTCAAACCTCTCTTCTTCCTTTTCTGGGTTCGTATCATCAAACCTAACGAGAAGCTTACCCTTCCCCTTGCTTGCAAAATACCAATTCAGTAATGCCGCCCTTGCATGCCCAATATGAAGGCGCCCGTTAGGTTCTGGAGGAAATCTAGTCACAACGTTCCCAGAAGGCTCATCTATTTCAAGATTTCCTTGTTCCTTATTAAAACTAGTGTTGAAATCTTTGAGTAGGCACTTGTTTGCTTTGAACTGCTCCGAATACATCCTGCAAACCTCAGGGAACTTTTCCATTTCTTTCTTGTCCTTCATAAGCCTGTTAAGAACCTGATTTATGTTGATCATTCCAAATATAATGTCTTTCAGTTCACCAGAATCAATCCTGTTTACAAGAGAGTTTAGTGATACCAGAAAACCCACTCCTTCTTCACGGCTAGGGCTTATGGAATAGGAATCAAGGATATCTACAATCCCTGCAGGAAAAACATCCTTAGGCATTCTTCCCAATGCGTTGGAATACACTGGAGGATCCTCAGGTTTCTTTCCATACTTTTTCATCAAAATGTAATTGATAAGCTCTTCCTTGAGCTCAGCCTTTCCATTCATTTTTAATGGGCCAAAATATTCCGAACTATTCGTCAAGCTTAGGCCTGAAACAAATTCTACCAGAGATATTGGGAAGGCCGTGAGCCCTTAGGATGAGCAAAATTTTGTTTTCAGACTTCTGTGCTACGCTAGAGAAAATAAACCTGACAACCAAGCGCCTAGAAATCCAGTCGATTTTGACAAATTATCTGAAGGAGGTATGTGAAACTCACCCTCCATCGCTAGCACCAGCTCTATATTTGTCTACTGGAATGGTTTATCCGGAGTATTTTAATAAGGAGCTTGGTGTTGGAGAAAACGCCCTTGTAGGTGTGGTTGCAGAGTTCACAGGGAAGTCCATCAAAAGTATCAGAAATGAGTACTCGAAAGAAGGGGATTTAGGGACTATAGCAATGAAGTGCAGGGTGTCACAGCTGTTTATACCGAAGACACAGCTGGAGGTAATGGATGTATTTCTTGGAATGAGGAGGATAGTGAATGAGGGGGGACCGAAGTCCTCTTCCTCCAAAAAGAGAATCATTCTTGGGATGATGGTCAAATGCTCACCGTTAGAATCCAAGTATCTTATAAGACTAGTTGAAGGAAGGCTTAAGATAGGATTGGCTCTTAAGACTGTATTGATAAGCCTTGGAAATGTATTTTCTAGTGATAAGGTCGACGAAATCAAGGCAGCCTTTAATCGCCAGCCGGACATAGGAAGGCTGGCAGAATGCATACTTGAACATGGCGTGGAAAAGCTTTCAACAAAGTTTCAGGTTACTCCTGGAATTCCTTTGAAGCCCATGCTAGCAAATCCTTCAAAAGACTTGACATCAGCATTCAAGAGGGTTGAGGACAAAAGATTTGCCTGTGAGTATAAATACGATGGGGAAAGAGTCCAGATTCATAGGTTTGGTAACAATATAGAAACATTCAGTAGAAACTCCGAGAAAACAACGGAAAAGTATCCTGATCTAATGGATCTTTACAACATAGCGGACAAAGACTTTATTATTGATGGAGAGATTGTTGCGTATGACAGAAAAGAATGCAAAATCCTTCCTTTTCAGGTATTGACAACAAGAAAGAGAAAGAGAGTGGAGAGCAGCAAGATAGACGTCCATGTATGTGTGTTTGGATTTGACCTGATATATTTTGATGGCAAGACCTATATTGATGAGTTATTGGAGGAAAGGAGAAGAGTACTACATAACTCATTCAAAGAAATGAAAGGGAGGTTTCAGTTTGCCGAGTTTAAGGACTGTGAGACACCAGAAGATGCTGAAGCATTCTTCAATACATCTGTTGAAAAAGGATTTGAAGGAATGATGGTGAAAACGTTGGGATCTGATGCAACTTATCTGCCATCACAGAGAAGTAACAAATGGATAAAAATAAAGAAGGACTACCTGGAGGGTATGTCTGATTCTTTGGACTTAGTTGTAATGGGGGCGTATTATGGAAAGGGGAAGAGAGCCGGGTTTTACGGAGGATTTTTACTTGGAGTGTACAATGATGAAGAAGAAAAGTTTGAGGCTTTGTGTAAGATTGGGACTGGATTTGATGATAACATTCTATCGAAGCTTTATGAGCAACTAAGCAGCAATCTGTGTGGGGCACCTAAGAACTATTCATACAAAGAGTCGATCAAGCCGGACGTCTGGGTTGAAGCCAAGTATGTATGGGAGGTTAGAGCGGCTGGGATGTCGCTGTCGCCAATATATAATGCCGGGGGGAGCAGAAATGGAAAAGGAATATCATTAAGGTTTCCCAGGTTTATAAGAGAAAGAGATGATAAAGATGTAAAGGAAGTAACTACTTCCTCCCAGATTTATCAGATGTACCTAGACTCAAAGATTGAGAATTCTGAGGAATTCTATTGATTAATAGATGTAATATGTTTTCAAAAATTTTTAAGTTTATGTTTTAGTTTTCACCCCAATGGAACATATGGAAGGTAGGTTTGAAAGCAATCATCAGGATGAGGAAGACCTTTCTCCAAAGTCTATCATCGATGAGAACAACTACTATAGATCCACTATGGTTGCCGTTCCAGAAAAGCAGGATGCAATAAGAGCTTCGGGGATTCCCTTTGTTATTAATGTAATACTAGAAAACTACGAAGAAGAGGGTGTTCCGGTGTGCTCTGACGACATAATTCGGTGTGAATGCTGTAAGTCTTATTTGAATCCTTTTGTTGAAATTATTCCTCCAGGTTTGAAGTGGAAATGCAATGTTTGCTTATCAATCAATGATCTGGCTACTGCATTCCAGGTTACCAGTAGAGGTATAACCAGAGACAATGACTTGTTTGATCCAAGAGCAAATGCCATGCACAACTACAGCTATTACAACAGAATGGAGCTGAAAAGCACTGTGTATGAATTGGAGGCACCACCAAACTATTCACTCAAAACCCCATCACCTCCATTAATATGTTTTCTCATAGAGGTGACTTTTGAGAGTATGAAGTATAGAGCTGTTGACGCAGTCATGAGAAGTATTTTTGGGGGACTGAACCCAAAGTCTTTTGACCCAAGATCAAGGATGATGTTTGCATTCTTCGATTCATCTGTATATCTTCTCAAGAAGAACGGGGACTTCTCTGTGATTTCTGATGCAACATATATTCCTTTCTTCCTGGAAGAGGACTTCTTATTACCTCTTGATCATCATTTTGACATTGATGGAATAGAGAAATTCTTTATAGAGAACAAGCCCACAAGGAACAACTATGGAGATGCACTAAGGGTTGTTCAAAACATACTAGGCACTACTGGTGGATGCATAATTTCCTTTCTGGCGACACATCCAAATGTTGGCCCTGGATCTGTGGATGCTAACCAATATGAACTAAGATGCAAGTCGGTGTTCTATAAGGAGATGTCGGTGCATTTATCTAAGCAGGGAATATCTGTTACACAATTTTTATTTCCTCGACTTGGAATAGAGCTTCCTACTCTTAGTGTATTGAGCAAATACACCGGGGGGATGCTGTACTATTACCCAAATTTCGATGGAAGTGATCCAGCATTTGCCACAAAGCTAGCAAATGACCTGGCCTCGCACCTTGACCTGAATGTAGGTTTGTATGGGATGTGCAGAGTCAGGGCTAGCAAGAGTGTGTTTATAAAGGAGTACTTTGGCTCCCTGCACCACAGATCGGCAGATCTAATATCATTCTCCACATTCTTCCCTTCTCATTCATTTAGCTTCGAGATAGATGTATCCAGAGAAGAGGGGACTAGGGGCGTCTGCTTCCAAGTAGCAATTCTTAGGACACTTCGCACGGGCGAGAGAAGAATCAGAGTTGTAAACTTTTGTATCGACAAGGTGGCTAGATCGTTGTACAGCATTGTGGATCCATATGCAATAGCACATGCACTTGCATTGAAGGCTTTCTTCTTCGAATCAAGGTCCAAGGGGGGAGGGAATGAATACCTTAACAAATCCATGAAGGACATTGTAAAGTCATATAAGCAACTCTCCAACACAACAACTCTTCTTCCAGCAACTCTTGAAGTCCTTCCCATGCTTATTTTGTCACTGTCCAAATCCATTCCCCTCAGGCCTGCATCTTACACCCCCATGGACTACAAGTCGTATTATATATATCTGTTGGCCAATTCGTATCCAAAACTTGTTGACACTGTGATCTATCCAACCCTGCTTCCTCTTCACAGGCTGGATTCTATTCAGCCGCTTAATCTTACCCTGAACTGCCTTGAAACGAATGGATTGTATCTGTTAGACACAGGGGTGACTATATTCTTCTTTGTAGCTAGAGACTGTGATCCGTCGCTTCCGAATCTACTGTTTGATCCCTCAATAAGGTCTGAGAGATTTATCTTCGATCCAGAGAAAAACGAATATAGTGATTCTGTTTGCAAGATAATCAGAGAACTGAGAAGCAACAGGTATTTAACTCCGAATTATGTGCTAGTGAGAGATGATGGTATAAGCAGCATATACAGGGACATATTCTTCACCTATTTTGTGGAAGACGAATCCCATGGTCTTCCATCTTATTCTAGATATCTTGATTTGCTGAGGGCCTAATAAAGTCTTTTCGGGAAAGCCTTTTAATACATATTCCAAGGACTGTTCAAAAGCCCTGGCAGGTCTCCCCCCAATGCAAAGGGAATTAGAGATTCTTATAACCAGGCTCAGGACCATGACCATAGTTGATAACCACGAAGACTACAACTACTTGGTGTCGTGTGCAGATAAATACACCAATAAAGCAAAAATATTTGAGCTTCTAAGAAGTAAGAATAATCCTCCTGTGGAAGTGGCACCTCTATTGTTTACATTTACATCAAAGCTAGAGCCCGAATCTGACGAAGAGCTGCTTTCTAGGATAACAGATTTTATCAGAGGATGCAGAGGAGACTCTCGGGAAACCTCTGAATGGATGGTTAAGATTCTGTTCCTGATTCTGGAGAAAGTCAAAGAAAAGAGAAAAGACTCAGGAATAAGATTAAGACTTCTTGAATGCATTAGGATGTATGGAGAGGACATAAGCTTAGTTAATCACATGATTGATCTTATGTGCACAAAGAACAGTGGAGATATTGTTGGATCAATACTTGAATCCGTTCCTTCTGTATCAAAGGGGTTTATTGAATGTGCCATGAAACAAGATAACCCTGTACTGCTGAAGAATCTATCTACCGTCCTTTCTCTTCTGTCGGAAAAAGACATAAGCCTTTTTGTAAATTACGAATTCTTCGACGAGCTTCTTGATTCTGAATATTTTTTCATGAGGAACTGCTTTCTAGAAATATGTGTAAACCTTATGGAGTATTTTAGGAAGAAAGGGATGCTTGGAAAGACGAACGGGATTATAAACAGAGTTGTGGAAAGGCTGTCAGACACATACTTTTTGACCAGGTACAAAGCTCTTCAAGCCCTTGAATGCTTCTTCCAAAAAAATTCAATATCTGTTGAAAGAAGGCATGAGGTTATTCGGGAAATTGGAGGAAGAGTAGCAGATAAAACTGTTGTTGTTAGAAAGAAAGCCATTAGTATCTGCTCAGGCCTACTTATGAAACATCCCTTTGCATCCGGAAAGAATCTAGAGGCTGATGGCCATGAAAATAATATGAACAACTTAGAAGATGAGAAGAAAGAATCTGAAAGGGAGCATTGTGAAGATCTTAACGCATTCCATGATGTAATGAGAGAAGTACAGGACAATATTCTTGTTCTTTTGAATGGTGGGGCAAAATCAGAGATCAATGAATGTATTGAATTTATAAAACTCTCTTTCTACTACAGAATAGATGGGTCTAAAGAAGCCTTTGAATCATTGTTTGATCTGGCATGGACGCAGGATTTGGAGCTTTTAGTTCTGTCGTTCCGTGATCTTATTATGCAAATGAAGATGAACAATGTTGGCTTGTTCTGGTTCTTTAAGGAATTTGTAAGAAAAGAAGGAAATTATTCTTTTGAAAAGTTGCTTAGAGAGCTTAACTCTCAAGGGTATATAGATAAGTCATTTACATCCGAGCTTTGCAATATGTTTCTGCAGAAAGGCCATTTATTTGAATCTTCCTATCTTCTAAGACACATAGGCAGACCTCTTACTGTGGAAATGTTTCGCTCCCTGGTTCTATTGTGCACGGGGCTTTTATTTTCTGTCGAAGGGGAGAAAGATTTGATAGAGATGCTTTCTGTATACAAGAACATAATCCAGATCAACATACGGGAGAGGGTTGAATTTGATGGAGAGATAGTCGAAACACTTATTAAGAACTTGGCCAAGATGACTTTCTTCGAACATCAGGTGGTTGAGATAACTGTTTCGGTGATATATTCAATTAGTAGATTTCCAGAAAAGAGTAGTATAATGTTACTTGAGAAGCTTTGCATGATGGAAAAAAACATTCTCAAGGCCGTTTCTGTGGTGGGATGCATTGGGCTAAAACACATGGAATACCTGGAGATGTTGGAAAGGCTGGTAAAGTCTAATAGAATAAAAGTCAAGGTTGACAAAGCTGTAATTACTCCGGAAATAGTAGAAAGAAGAAGAAGCATTAGTGCATCCAGACAGAGCATTAGTACTATCCTTGAAGAAGACAATGATGGAAACAATACAGTCTTGAACGACTCCGGCCTCGATAAGGACATTTCTTCTAAAATTGGAGACAAGAGTGAGGAGGAGATTGTTGACTTCTTCTTTTACATCAAGGAGAAGGAGATGCTTTATGGAAAAAGTATCCTTTCTATTTTTAAGCAGATTGTCGAGGAAGGATGCCATTCCAGTGACGAAGAAATTCAAGTTGCTGCATATGTTTCTCTTTATAGGCTCATGTGTGTCAGTTTTGAATTCTTTAGTGAGCATTATGAGCTCTTTGTTCGTTCAATGAATCACTCTGTTTCTAGGATCAGAGCAAATGCTGTTGTTGCCATGGGTGATTTTCTACTGAACTACAATACCACTGCAGAGAGACACTCCCACCTCCTTCTCGAATCTCTCAGAGATGCAAATGCTGATGTCAGGAAAAATGCTCTTCTTGTAATCCACAACTTACTTATGAAGAATATTCTCAAGATCAAGGGACATGGTACTAAGCTTGCATTGCTTTTAATGGATGAAAGCATGGAGATTAAAGAGATGGCTGAGAATCTTCTGATGCAAATATCAAAGAAGGAAAACATGATGGCTGTTCTGCTCTACGAAACGGTAACTGAAGGAGGTGACCAGCTGCCCCTCGTGATAGATTTTCTTGCAGGCTTGATGAGTGAAAAGCTAAAAGAGAGTTTATTCCTAAAAGCCTTAAAATCAAAAGTTAGTGGGGAAGCTTTAAAAGTCCTTCATAATGCTTTTAGACTGGATGAAAGAATTGCAGGGGATGGAATGTTACTAGAAGAACCTAAATAAAATGATCAAAGCCTAAGGTTGATGTCTAGTCAAGAAACCTAGATTACATATTCCAGGGTGCTTTCTTGAAGATCTTGGTGTTGGGAATTCTTTTATACAATCTCCTGTATGCCTCGTGTATGTGCGAAGGAAGCAGAGGGCCTTCTTCCTGGCGTTCTTCCTGAACTATTTTTGCTATTTCTATCATCTCGCCTACAAAGACCTTGGCAAGCCCGCAGACAGCAATGACAAAGTTGGGGTTCACAGCTTGTCCTATTACACTACTTATGTACTTTTTAATTGCAGCTTTTGGGAATCCACTTCCCCGAAACTTTTCATATCTGTGTAACTCCTCTTCAGACATAGCTCCTGTAATAGAATGGAGACGCCCTGGGTCTTCCTTCTTATATGTGGAATCATCTGTCATGAGGTTAAGATCATCCGACTCGGTATCCGACTGGAGATCCTTGGTATTCTGCTCTTTCTCCGCTTCATCGTTGCTCTCACTCATTTTAAGGGTTAATTCCTGGATAAGGATGGCCCCATGATAATAAGAATCGAGGAGAAGTATGCAAGCAGTTCTGTTCGAGAGTGGTTTGGTTGCCTAAAGTCTGATGAAGATGTTCTAGAAGAAGATGAAAAAGTAAGCAATGGACTACCGGAATACAGAATAGAAATAAAAGAAAATGGCGAAGGAAATGATGCTACTATTTCTGTGGGAAAGCTTAACATAAAACACAAAGTGGCATTGGATGTGCTTGAGGACACCCTGATAGAGGTTGTTGGGTCTCTTCTTGGATATGAACAGACCATTCTTTATGGGTTTACTGTTAAAGACTCCAGTGGGACTAAAATGAAACCGGTTGTCCCAATCTTCTTTAAATCAACTCTTGGAGTTCAAATTCCAAAAAGACTAGGATACTTGAAAAGTGACAACTCTGGCATGCCGGAGGTAGATGAGGGAATGATGATTCCGTTTGTATCAATTAGCCCTATTATCAAATCTGTATTGACTTCTGGGACCTTAAGATTCTCAGCAGAAAACGTGAAAGTTTTATTGGCGCCTTACAACGGATCTATGTTTATGATCCCAAACACAGCCAATATAATCCCTATGGTCCGTGGCATGCGGTCTAGAGAAGACATGGGGGTGTTTCTTAAACTCCTTAGGAGCTTTCCATTCAAGTTTGTCGAAACCTTCATAAAAGCATATCAGCAGCCTTCTTCTGTTACGGTTAATAGAGAGCTAAGCAATTGCTTCTCCGAATTCCAAAACAACCTTACAAAGCTTGACATAAAGTGCATATACAAAATAGTGTCGAGCGCCCCTGTGTTTCTTGATGCTCGAGATAAGATCACTGAGAGGGTTGAGAAGTTTTATGTCTACAATGCAAGGGGGTTCAAAAGGAAAAAAGGTCAATATCTTAAGTGTAGAGAGGAACTTTACATTGATAGGTGCCCCATTGGATCTTTGAAGAGATATTTCAGGGACCTTTGAAATTATAAACATAACAAGCCTATGGTTATGCACCCATGGTGAATGTGTTAGATTCATTAGATGAGGTGAATAGAGTGGTTGGAGACACACTTTGCAGGCTTGTGGTTATAAGATTTGGGGACAGGGACGATCCACTATGCATCCATGTAGATGCAGTTCTGGAAAGAATATGCCCTACTCTTTCCAAATATGTTGATATATATACTTGTGAAAGAGCCTCTGTTAGAGAGCTTGTGGATGTAATGAAGCTAGACTCGCCCCTGAATATTATGTGCTTCTTGAATAGAAGACATATAAAGATAGATTGCTCAAGTGGTGATAACGATAAGATAAATTTTCTTGTAGACGACCCGGAGATGCTTATAGAATTATTTACCCTAGCTTACAAAGCAGGTGTAAGAGGAAAAGGGATTATAAGGTCTCCATTCAAGATCAGGGAACTGCAAGGAGGATTATAGTATAATGGATGTTTATTAGACGAAAGGGTGCCTCAGAGAAGCACTATAGAATAAATGAATCCTTTGTCGAATCTTTTTGAAACCAATGGAGGATCTGTTCTGAGCATTGAATTAAGGATGTCAACACACCTATATCTTGAAATACCTGTGGTTTTGATGATTTCTTCCAATGCAGCACCTTCTTTATTGGCATAAAGAAATTTCGCTATTTTTGTAGCATTAGCTCTAAACATTTTGTTACACATTGTATTGGATTCCATTCTTTCCATGAACTCCTCAAAGCTTTCTTCTTTTCTTATTCCTGACGGAGGTAACAGTACCACCTCTTCTTTGGTGCCTTCCTCTTGCATATTCTTTCTAGGCGAAACTATATCCAAGGATGCTCTATCAGCCCCCAGATTGCTCTCCGGGTCATAGATTGTATATGCATCAAAAGCTGCTAATAATGCCTCAGCCTTATAGTTAAACTCTTTGATGTGCATGCTGTTTTGGATTATTGCCTCAAGTTTTCCTTTTATTTCCTTCATTAGTCTCGAAACTTCTTTAAGCCTCTCATCCATGGGATAAAGCTATGCCTTGATGATATTCTTTAAGCCTAATGGCTGTAATTACGAAGGTGAAAATGCACCATCTCCACGCCCCTATATGTCCGCCGATGACCTAAGAACCTGGCTCAAGGCTGCTGCCGAAAACAAAATCACTACAAAGAACACATGGAGGTCGACCCTAATTGACCACTTTACAAATATAGACGAGTTTCGGGAAAAGCAAGGGATCAATTTCCAGAAAGCCAGTTGTACATTAGATGGGTGTGCCAAGGTCTATTCAACCCGTGTAGATGATGTCTCCGAAAATGCAGTGAGGCTTCTGGAGGGGTTTGGAAGAGAGGAAAGTAAGAAAAAGCAAAGTAGGAAACAAACCAAAACAACAATAGAAAAGAACATTTTCAATCTCAATATCAAAGTGAATGCTTCTAGAAAATCGGTTGATCCAAAGTTTCTATATTTGACATCGCTACCTGAAAATGTGCTGATGATTGACGCCGTGGGGATTTCATCTGATGGAGTACTTAGAATGTCATCCTCCAAAGATGGAAAAGTTATTATTATAGATGATCATCTTAAACTTCCCATAAGCTTTCCAAAAGGACTTCTTATCTCCCCTAGTATAAGTGAAGACAAGGAGATAGAAAAGATGATTATAGAGCCTATGGCAGATAATGATCAGGAGGACTCCAGAGAATTTGCTGGGCTCGATACTGACCGGAACTTTGACCTTTCGGAGATTCCTCTAATAAATGACAACCAGAACTTCGGCTACAAAGAAGCTTCAGTTTCTCATTTTAAAGGATGGGCTGGGCCAAATCATTGGAAGATACAAGCCAAAAAGGGAAGAAATGGAAGCCAAAAACCGAAAGAAACATCTTTTTTGGATTTCACAGAAGTTATTGATCATGAAAGTATAACAGAGCCTGGGAATACACTCTTTGATCCTTCGTTTATAGTAGAACGTAGAGAAAACCGTCATATATTACCTCAAGACTTTAGGCTGGATGTGGAGGACCTATACAAATATTTGATAAGAGACGGATCCTTCTATGGAAAAGATCAGAGATGTGAGGATGAGGCTATTGACTATTCTCCTTCGTCATGCGTTATGGAGGAGCCTGAGGATGAGTTTATAGCTGATATCCCTTTGCAGGGGATCCAAAAGAACCCTATCCCGTTCAGAAAAACATCTAAGAAAGTCAACATCAAAAAGCTGAAAGACAATGTATTTGACTCTGTTATGATGGGAAATACTACTTTACTTTCTATATTTGAAAGTGTGCCTAAAATATATGGAGACGATGAGTCTAAAGACATTTCTGTGCATCTTTGTTTTATTTCCCTTCTCCATCTTGCCAATGACAACAATATTCAGCTCAAAGGCGTAGGAAATGATGTAGAGGTATGCATCCTATCAAAGCCAGGAGCATCAGGGTAGTTGTATGCCCTATTATTCTTTTTCTAAGAAATCCCAGGTAGGAATCATACTGATTCTTCTAAGAAATGGTGTTTCCTCTGTAAACCCATATGTCAGCCTCGAGTAGAGAAAAAAGGATATGATAACTGCAGACATAAACACAGCAACAAACCTAAACCTGACAAACTTCATAACGTAGCACAATGAAAATAATGCGAAAAATAAAGCGGGATAGTAGTGGTGGAAATACAACACCCTTTTGACAAAGAAGAATGGGACATAATGAAAAAGCCATCCACAGCAAGACAAAAATACCATATAACCCTCGTTTTTCAAAAAGGTTAGTGGCTTCCCTTTTCGCTTTCGGATAATGACTCTGGAAAGAAGTAAAAAGGGAGAAAGAATCACACAAATACCTGAGGAGTACCACACAAGTGGGTTTCCAAACATATAAAACTTTTCGTTCCGCCCGTCCCATGCAGTCATCCTCATGCCTCTCCTGAGAATAAACCATTCATATGGCTTTGAGACAATTCTTTCTGGCTCCAGGTCTTCATCTTGAACAAAAGAAGCATTTGTAATAAACATGGCCTTGTTGTGCTCTATAAACTTCTTGATGAATGGGTACTTTGTAACCTCCTTGTATACGGGGTTCTTTTCCTCGTCAAGCTTGTCAGAAACGCTTTCCTCTACATTCCAAAGCGCGGCCTCATCCTTTCTTGCAGCACAGATAACCTCCCCTTGCTCAAATCCCCAGGAGGGATATTTCCTCGAAGAGGGCTTGAGATAACAGTTGTGCTTGATATTTAACAGTCGAAATTTTGTCGTGAGAGTTTTCACCCGGCTCTCTTTCTTTAAAGCATCATCTACTATTTCAATCTTAAACAGATTTGTATCAGAAAGATGACTGCCTGAAGACTCTGCTCTTAACCCACTTGAGATAAAAGAGGGATTATTTGGAACATCTAAATGCTTTTTTGTTTCCATGTGTAACAGAACTACTGTATCACCAGACTCTATAAACTTTGCATCTTCTAGATCATCTGTTACCTTTTGAAATACCCATCCGTTGTTTTCATCCTTGTGATGATAGATAGTTACCTGGTTGTTCTTTCCATCTGGATATTTATGGTCGTGGGAGTGAAGATATCCTCCTCCTGTTTTAGATGCCTTAATAGTTATCTTTGTTCCAAACAGTGGATACTTTCTATTGTTGCTGATATCGCTTCCTTTAAGAGTAGCTTGGAAGAGTGAGCTCATCTGCCCGTCATCACTACTGCTTCTGTTGACTATCTCAAAATGAATATAGAACAGCAAAATATACAGAAATGAGGGCACGCCGATTAAAAAGAATGCTTTTACAAGGAATAACTTCATAAAGGCAAGAATGCTTTCCTTGGAAGTTATGTTGCACCACAAGTGATAGATGGTAAATACCCCAACCAGGCTCGTTGTTAGGAATCCTATCCACTTGACACTCATAACACAACCCAGAGTTATGCCTAGGAGAAAAATAGATGGAATATCCACTCTCTTCTTCGATCTAAAGTACATTCTGGTCATGAAATACGCAACTGCAGCTGTAAACGTCAAAAGATGAGAATCTAAAAGTATAAGTCTTCCAATAGATGTAAATCCATTCTCAAATATAAACATTAAAGATAGGATAGTTCTACGCCTATATGAATATCCCATCTCCTTGAGCATCAGATATCCAATAACAGGCGTAAAGGAAGCTATGATTGAATGAAACCTTCGCATTCCTGAATAATCAAACCCTTGAGGAAATTTCTCTCCGGAGTTGAATTCAAAATCCAATGGCTGGTTAAAAAGATATCCTCCAAGAGAGGTTAATATCTTTCCCAGGGGTGGATGAACATCAAAATAGAACTTTCTGGATAAATACTTCTCTGCAAATTTGCCGAAGTGTGCTTCATCCCAAACAACAAAATTCCCATTTTCTATCTTGTAAGTTTTTATAATTATACTCAATGCAAATATCAAGAAGGTTGTGGATACTTCAAGATACTTTACCTTCGACATCATGTTTTGCCTCCCTCTTCGTTTTTAAGTCTCACCTGAAACATGTTTCAGTTGTAGATCAGATTATTTTAATCATTATTAGAAAGATATACCCCAGCGGCATAGAACCTTTCCACCCTTTCTGCAATAAAGTCTCTGATACCTCTCTCGTTGATAGTATGGAACACATCCTTTTCTAAAACCTTCCTATCAAAGTCCGGAATATTATCTTTGCATTTTACAAACAAATTGAACAGGCCCACCTCGCTATAAAAAGGGTGGTCTATCTCACATCGCTTCACTTCATTATCTATCTTGTTCCAGAGAACCGGCCCAAGCATTTTGTCATACTCTCTATCTATTTCATCCAATAGAGAGACTGTTTTATTTTTAATGCAGAAATCATAATGAACTCTAAGGGAAAACCCAATCTCTTTGGGCATCTCCTTCTCGTTCTTAAGAACATCACAAATAATTTTTCCTTCGTCCATTCCATCCTTTTCGTCTGTAGATATCTTGAACATACTCATTATTTTTCTTTTCAGAGTCATCTCTGAACTCGGATTTGGATCTGAGTTGAGGACATTCATCAATTTGTCATATCCATAAATATCCTTTGTGGCTATAGACCTCCATGCTACTTCCTTTCCCCTAATGGCATCCTCGATCAACCGTTGCTTCTTATTTCCACGAATAACAGGCCTATATCTCCCTTTGGTAACAAGAGACACATACAGTTTCAGATTTTCTTTTGGATTTCTTTTGCTTCTTAGAAGCAACCTAGGATCCGAGGCAATCTTTTCCACATATGACCTTTTTCTCTTAGCATTTGGATGAAGAAATGCATGGTGCTTATCTATAAACTCCATTTTAATGGCTGTAAAAGCTGTTCTGTTCCCCACTAGCATGTGCCCCTCATACAGGCAGACAGAAACTTTTCTTGAAAAGAAAATCCCGTAGTCAAGAATCATTTACTAGGGTTAATAGAAAATCAAAAACCCTGATCCAATATCACCTGAACAAGTACGAAAACATATAGTCGGTGCTGTATTTCTTTTCTACATCCACCTCTTCTTTGTAAGTTTTAGATACAAAGCAGTGTGTGTATTCGTTTCCTTCAGTAACTCTCCCTCCTCCATTTTCAATGACTCTTACATAGCTTTCCCTTTTTTGGCCTTCGCAATATAATTTGACAATCCATCTATGGAATGCCGGCTTTCCACCAGAAGTTACTCTTTCCCTCCATTTTCTGATGGAGGCCACAATCTTCCTCTCTTTCTCAGGGACATTTTCGTCCACAACCCATTCATACTCGCTGAAGTTGAAATTTAAAGAGTTGTCAAACTTATCTATGAAGTCGGGCCTAAGAATCCATCCTCCATTACACAAGCACGATAGAAACTTCTCAGAGGTGCATATAGTTCCCATTATGAGGTGGGTACATTTCTCGTATCTATCTGTATCACTATATCTTATACTTAGATTTTCAAACTTTTCAATCGCCTTCTTTTTTAGAAGTGGAGACAACCCTGTGAACTGGAACATCATAGGTTTAGATGCCTTTTTCGTCTTTTTGGAAACTCCGCTTCCTTTGTTCTCTATGAGGAAGTTTGTTGTCTCTATCCCAATACTATATTTGTCTTCGTTCACACGCCTCAGAAGATGCAAGCATTGGTCAACCCACGAGTATAACACAACCTTACAAGGCATGCGTCTACCTTCTCTACACTCCCTTCCATCTCTTACTATCAGGTGAGTGCAGCTCGCATCAACATCCTCCTTAACAATAGCTCCTAAAGCTCTTAACTTGTTAAACATCTCTACTTTGCATTCCTTAAGGCTTGCAGAGATGCAACATACAGCTTCATTCAGAACTGGCTTTCTCTGGCCGAAATGAACCTTATATGATCCAGGAAGTAGAACAGCCCCGGCTTCAATGCAATCAAACACATATTGATAGTGGAAAACCTTCCCGTCATATTTCTTAAAGTCCCCATAGGACTGTGTCATTATAAAATCAACATCCCTATCAACAACAGATACTCGGGTTCCTCCATTCGATATAATCAGCCTTCGGAGGCGGTTAAAGAGGATTTGGGGAAGGCTGGGGTCAAGAAAAAACACCTTCTCGTTAAACACAGATCCGCTGGCCTCCGCTATAGCCTTGAAGCATGGCTCTTTTCTATACATGGTGTAGTCATTTCCAAACATACACTTCGATGTGATGATCGGGATCCCATATTTCTTGCAGAACTCGGTCTTATCGTTGGACTTGGAATCCGTGATAAGGAAGTCTGTCCATACCATGAGATTTTGAGTAAAGGTTGCGCCGAGTAAACAATGGTAATTAATAAGAGATTCATTGGAAACCTCAGATACCGTAAAGCTACATCCTTCGAGTGGGGCCATTTCGTATTTTTTTGTGTTCTCTTCCGTGTCGTATAGCCACTTGACGTGAAGAATCTTTATGTTCCACTTCAGTGCCTGAATGTATTTTTCTGTCATCATTGCCTTATAGGAAATTAGATAGTCTGTAGTGATCGACAGAATGTCTTCAAGAACTGCATGCTTTGGAAGCTGCGACTTTATCAGCTCCTGCTCATCTCTCGAAATTCCTGTTGTGCATACAAATATGTTTGGCTTAAACGTACTTTGAATTTCAAAATCCATTCCTTGGCCTGAGGCCTCTTCTATAATATATAGCTGGAAGGAACTTTCTTCTTACCACAAGACACGGCGAAAAAGATTTATTTCAGGTTTACACCAGAGACATGCTTTACTAGGGCCAAAACAACATCCTTTCTGTTTCTAATGTTTCTAAGCTCCTTGATTTTCATCTCAAGTTCTGATTTCAGCTTTTCATCAACAATCTTTATATACTCCTCAACTTCCTTCTCTAAAAGAAGAAGCTTGCTCTCGTTTTCTTTCTTAAGGCCATCCACCATCAGCTTTGCATCATTCCTTGCTTGAACTCTCATCTCCTCGAATTCCCTGCGTGCTATCTCCAGCCTTTCCTTGGCTTCATTTTCGCATTGTACAAGCCTTTTAATACTCTCGACAGACATACCCCTGTGTTGGGCGCGTTGCTGGCCTTTTATAAGCTCGAGTGTTCAAACCCAACATAAAGCAAATGCGTTTATTTGTACTAAATAGACATACATTTTCATCTAACATTATCGGGAAGGCATCCTCTACTCCTTTGCTTTGTATATCCTCCTGAAGGATAGATTCCCTCCCCTTCGTAGGAAGTATAAATAGATCCTTACTCTCTTATTGTTTTCCATGCATATAACCTCCCCAATGCTATTGTTTTCGAACTCGAGGTCCTTATCTAAGTACTCAGTCATGTCACACGTAAGAAATAACCTCTTATCAGAATATGCAACTAGCTCCAAGCTATGTTTTTGGAAACATCGAATTAACCTTCTAAAAATCAAAGGCCCATCATAAGAAATTACGTACCAATGGTGGGAACAGGTGGAACACTCAGGATTCCTTTCACATGTTTCTAGTCTTCTGATGACATTTCCATTATCGACAGAATAATAGTTGCATTTATTCCTGACAGACAGCATCATTAGGGATGCAACTATTGAGTTTATCGTGCTTAGAGATGGTATTATATTCCCTGCTACCGTAACTGCTTCGTCAAATGATATGGGTTCAATCCCAGCACATCTCCCCCTTATATATGCTGCATTATAAATATACTCTAGGATATCCCGGTTGTCCTTGTTGAACAAAATAGAATCTAACTTTCCCAAGATTTCCACAATCTTTTTAGTCCTTTCTTTGTAGTCTTCGCTGTTCCTGAACTTTTCTAGTTTGTCTGCAGTGGACATATCCTCACAGTTTTCTATGACATCTTTTAAAAATCTTTGGTAAAAGTCCTGGCTGTTTTCATCTACTTTGAGCCTCATTTCAAGAAGCACATACTTTGCCCATATAATACAATGCTCGAACCTAGTCGGCCTTGACCGGATTGTGCACATCAAATATTCTTTCGAAAACTTCCTTGGAATACAATCAAAGCACTCTGAATTGTAATCAAAGTAATACGCCTGCCCCTTGAATCCTCCGCATCCTCCATCCACCAGAGGGGTGTTCGATATGAGACATCTCTGGTTTACATAGCTTCTTGCTTCAGCATTGTCTAGGCAACTATATACAACCTTATATCTTGCAAAGAACATTGCGTCAAACTCTGTGATATCGGCACATATTGGAAGAACCCTGCATTTCTTATTCAGCTTCTTGAAAGTTCTTGCAGCCACAACTGCCTTATTTTTTCCAATATCATCCCTATTAAATAAAAACTGCCTATTTAGGTTGGAAAGATCAATAGTGTCGCAGTCTATCAATGTTATACTCCTCAAATTCTGTTTTGCTAGCAATTTCAATAGCTCGCATCCTATCCCCCCACAGCCTATCACCAAGACCCTTCCGTTGATCATATTCAAGGCTTCTATCGACGGGGATTATAATAGCGGACATAAGTATATGCTAAACATAGAATGTAAAACAGTTTTAATCTCTTTTTTCGTCTGAAACATAGAAAATGCTTATGGCCCCTTTCTCAGAGCTCAGTTTAAGCTTGTAAAATCCCTTCTCATATCTAGGATATTCCATGGTTGTTTCCGAAGGTGCTTTGACTGCAAATACAAGATTCCCACCTAGAGAAGGGAGGCTCTGAAGATCGGAATAGGTAACATATGCATTTGCAAGGTTCTTTTCTGATTGAGAAAGCATCGAAATCTCCTCATTAAGCCTGCAGAGGGTCTCATCCAGGTCATCTCCTTTTAGGAGGTTTTCTGGATCCATGGAGATATTCTCTTGATTTTCTTTCTCTTCACTATCGAGTATATATCGATCAATGCTTCCCCCAACCCATTTTGCATTGCTTACAGACCATTTGCTTAGAAGCCCCAGTCCTTCCAATACGTTTGTTATGTCATATATTCTTCTTTTTCCTACGTTCAGCTCTATCGATGCTTGATGAATACTCACATTACGATCTGGAGACATGCTTATGAGCTTCAGAAATCTCCGAGTAAGGTTATAAAGCGAGTTTTCCGATCTGGTGGACGATAATCTGTCTGAAGCCGATTTCCTCGCCATAAGGGACGTTTTCGACAGAAATGGTTTTGGTCGAAATGAGGTAAGGTTTCCTAATCGTGGACAATTTAGGCATAATCGGAAATAAAAGACGTAGAGTGTGAAATAGATCAAGTGTACCACCGAGATGGTTGGATATGTACATCTTAAGAAAGAATTAAGGTTTTCATGAATATTATTAGTTTTTCTTGCCCTATTATGACTAAACAAAAGTTTGGGCTAACAGTCAAAAAAGAAGAGGACTTTTCCGAGTGGTATGTGCAAGTCATAATAAAAGGAGAGATGATAGATTATTATGAAATAAAGGGGTGCTACGTAATGCGGCCTCAGGGACAATTTATTTGGAAGTGTATCCAGAAGTGGTTCACTGAGAAGATTGAAGAAGCTGGAGTCCAGGAATGCTATTTTCCCATGCTTATCCCAAAATCGATGCTTGAAAAAGAGAAGAGCCATATAGAAAACTTCTCTCCCGAAGTTGCATGGATTACAAAATGTGGAAACGAAGTTTTGGGGGATCCTGTTGCTATTAGGCCTACTTCAGAAACAATAATATATCCATCATTCTCGAAATGGATAAGAAGTCATAGAGACCTCCCTCTCAAGATAAACCAGTGGTGCAGTGTTCTGCGATGGGAATTGCATGGAACACTTCCATTCATAAGAGGAAAAGAATTTCTATGGCAAGAGGGACATACTGCTTTTTTGACAAAGGAAGAATCTGATGAGGAAGTTTTGGCCATCCTGGATCTTTATTCTAGGATATACGAGGAGCTTCTTGCTGTGCCTGTAATAAAAGGGAGGAAAACAGAGAGTGAGAAGTTTGGTGGTGCAGACTATACAACATCAATCGAAGCTTTTATTCCTGGATCTGGTAGAGGAGTTCAGGCAGCGACATCCCACTTCCTTGGGCAGAACTTCTCTAGAATGTTTGACATAAAGGTTGATACAGATGAAGGTAGTGAAAACAGTAGTTTTGTCTATCAGAATTCCTGGGGGATAACAACCAGATCCATTGGAATTGCAGTTATGATACATTCAGATAACCTAGGGTTGGTGCTTCCTCCAAGAGTGGCTATGACCCAGGTTGTTATTATTCCATGTGGAATAACATCTTCTTCTTCAAAGGATGATGCTGAGAGGCTAAAGATGTATATCGGCAAAATACAGGCTCAGCTCAAAAGTTCCGGAATCCGCGTGTACGTTGACGATAGGAATAACGTAACTGTTGGATTCAAATTCAATCATTGGGAAATAAGAGGAGTTCCGTTAAGGCTAGAAGTAGGATTCAAAGATATGGAAGGTGCTGAGGCCTGCTTGGTAAGAAGGGATACTCGTGCCAAAAGACAGATATCTGTAGAAGGCATAGATCAAACTGTGGCAAATGAGATTGATACAATGCACAATGACATGCTTGCTAGGGCTATTTCAGAAAGAGACAGTAGAATTTCTTATGCTAAGAACTTTGAAGACTTTATCTCTGCTCTTGATAACAAGAATATAATAATGGCACCATGGTGTGGAATTGATGAATGCGAGTCTACCATCAAATCCAGGAGTACAAAGCTTGGACCAAATGGCAGCGTTATTTCAACAGGAGCAAAGACTTTGTGTATTCCTTATGACTCGAAGCCTTGCAGTGGGTTGGAATGCGTGAGTTGTGGCAAGCAAGCTATACATTACACTTTATTTGGAAGATCCTATTAATACTAAAGCCTTGATTGGCCTAGCTTTTAGAAGGCAAAATGAATGATAAAAATAGATATAATTAAAGCGAAGGGATCTTTTACCTATCATTATTTATTGTGCGGAAAATAGGAAAATAACTTTTACTCAAGGTAATAAAAGCCTTTTCAACCACTCATTGCTCTACACTAAAGAATCTAACATTCCAAAAGAAGGCATCTTTCCGGCGTATGATTTGCAGGAATTTCTTTGCTATTTACTTTCATTGATAACAAAACCTTTATGGCTTTGTATGACTCTTCATGTGTTTTGCTCGAAATCAATTCCAAACCAAAAATATCTAGAAAATGGATAGCAACTCCATTGGTCCATCCAAATCCTTTTTGTGCCATATACTCCCCTTTGTATCCAGGACATCCGGCATTCTCACAGCTGTACTTCTCAAAGATTCCTCTCTTTTCTTCATCAACAACAGAAGTAGAGATAGATATGTTTTCCAAGAAAGATTTGGCCATGTGTAATGCCATTTCACGCTCACCTATCCTCTCTAGGAATAATGCCACTGCATGTACGAGTGGAGGCCAGACATTTGGATAATCCCATTGCAAGGTGCTATTCTTATTTTTAGCCCCACTCACCGGCATTCCCCCAGGATGTCCGAACATATCTTCTACAAACATATTCAGGATGTTGTAGACAGTTACGTCTTTGCCTTCTGGAGGTTTAATCCCGTAACACATTGGCATTATGTTTGAGGCATAAAAGCCAGACGACGTGTGTTCTTTGGTATCTATGTCATAATCATTCCATACACCTTCTCGATCGCACCACAAGACGCTATTGATTGCATCGATTCTCTCCTCACTTTTCCTCTTGAAATCCTGAGAGTTCCTTGAATCCTTGCCTTCAACTATTTCATATAACTTTGAAATTATACACTCATTAGCATACATCATTGCATTCAGATCTGCAGGGATCCTTCTGGAAGTCCTTATGGAATCAAGCTGCCCATGCAGTCCTAACCATCTAGTTGAAAAATCCCATCCAGACTCTGCTCCAGCCTTGAGCTCGGAATAAATCTCTTCACTTCTTCTTCTATATTTCTCTTCTCTGGCCTTGTTTTCCTCAGTCGTCATCCTATCCTCGCTATAAGACTCTGCTCTTGGAGTGGTGTCCCTGACCTTGTAAACATTGAGAATGTGTGTCTTTCCGTCCTTTACAACATTTTCTGATTTTTCCCTCATGAAAAACTCATGCTCAACAACTGCAGCATTTAGTCCTCTTTTTATTACATCTTCTATTTCTTCCCATGGAAGGTGTCTATAAAGTGTAAAAAGCATCTGGGGAAAATAAGGAGGCTGGCTTCTATTTAGATAGTATTTCCTAAGCCCATTAGGAATAAAACCAATATTTTCTATTAAAGATATGAAGTTTTCAACCATACCCTTGGCGACTTTCTGCATGCCGTTTCTAACCAAACCTTCTATAACCCAATAGCTATCCCAATAATAGGCCTCTTTAAATCGGTCTCCAGGAATAATGAATGGGTTTTCGACTTTTATCATGGTTGTGTGATTCCCCTCATCCAAATCACGCTGCTTTACATAAATATTCTTCCATTCACTATTAAGTTGTCTTGCAACCCTAAGCAGATTTTCTAGCTTCTGGTTGTATGTATGGTCTTGGCACAAAGGACCACTGTTGACTAAGATTTTATCAAGTTCTGCTATGTAACCCGGCTCCTCTGATGGAATGTCTTGCAAAAGGTCCTCATCATCCTTTGCAAAAATGAGCTCTGCTTCTGGTATAAAGCTGTGTTCGCTAACAAACCTCCAGAAGTCCTGCTCTCCAGTAAAACCCCGATTTTCCTTCAGCATCTCAATAATTAGAGCATTTATCTCCTCTGGAGGCTTAGTATAAACTCTATCAACCAAAGACTTACTGTCCCTGGAAATTTTACATCTAAATGAAGCCTCGAGAAGCTCCGAGCTAACATGGGGATCTGTACCCATCATCAATGGGACCTTCGCCGGAGATGCTGCATGTACGGTAAAAACTGCAAGTATCCATCCCACCAAGCGAGCAGGTTTCATGTTCCTAGTTTTTTTGAAGTTTTTATACTTTAGAACATTATCCATTTAAGTCAAATAATACAAAAGTAAATTAACAGGCTATAATTTTTTTATTTAATAATCAAGCCTTTGGCATGTCTTTCCAATCTTCCTTAATTAGAAAATATGCTTTGCTATATTCTATCATTATTTAGAGTGGAGCAAGTACCTAAATATTCATTAAGATGGCATTTCTATGTTTATTTTGTATTATCCCAGCCCTTAATGGCAGGAAACTTTTTGCTAGGGATTTCCATAATGAATTATATTTTTGTAGTTTACCTAAAGACTCGAGAGTTAAGACAGCTATCTAAGCCACCGTCCAGAACCTATCTCAAGCTTGCAACGCCCGATCAAATAAAGAAGACAAAGGAATATAACAGAGATAAGTTATCCATGTCTATTTTTGAGCTTACCCTTCTTCTTGCACGAGATCTCTATTTGATCAACCAAGGAACACTTGAGAAAGTATATAGCAGCAAATACTTCATGAATAATTGGTACGGAGATGCACTATTTCTGATGGGGTATGCTCACTTCCAAAGGCTTTGTGATCTTCCACTTGAGGTTATTTCAACATTCTACATCGAGGCCAAGCATGGATTCAACAAGACAACATTGTCAACATTCCTGATGGACTTTCTGAAGATGTCACTTGTAATTACGGTTATATTTGGGCCATTCTCTTATGTTGCAACAAAGATAATCAGAATATATCATAAAACATCCTTCTATCTCTATCTGTGGGTTTTCATGGCCATATTTCAGATAGTCCTCGTCGTTGTGTATCCTATTGTTATTCAACCTCTGTTCAACAAGTTTGAGGAGATGGAGGAATCCGACCTTAAGACAAAGATCGAAGAACTAGCAAAGAAGGTTGGTTTCTGTGCTAAGAAAATACTAGTGATGGATGCATCGAAGAGATCTGGGCACTCGAATGCTTACTTTATAGGAATAACTAAGGAAAAGAGAGTTGTGATATACGACACTCTACTAAAACAGACTGATGAGGAGGAGGTGCTTGCTATTTTATGTCATGAGTTTGGTCATTGGAAGTACAACCATGTCATGAAAATGGCATCTATAGTTCTTCTTATACAACTGTTCTATCTGTATGTATTGAATATTTCATTGAACTCTAAGTCCTTTGAGAGACTTGTACTCGCCGGGGACCTGCCACTACTGGTAAGATGTATTTACTTCCTTATGATAATTGGGGCGCTAAGCGTTCCTATTGACACACTAAGAAACTTTATATCTAGGTACTTTGAAGGCCAGGCAGATAGGTTTGCCGTGTCACTTGGATATGGAAAGAAGCTCTCTTCTGGACTGATCAAGCTTTTTGAGAAGAACAGCAGCAACATGGAGCCCGATCCACTTTATTCTGCAGTTGTGCATACCCATCCTACGCTGATTGAAAGAATGAAATTGATTGAAAATGAAATGAATAAAGTCAAGTGATTCTTAAATATTATTTAATAGAAAGCCCTTGAGTAAGATGTCTAAGGGCCAGCTGGACCTAACTCAACTAGTAAAGTCAGCTGTGGACTTTTTGTCCCATTTATCATCATCAAGAAATATGAAATCAAGATATTCATACAAGAAAATAGCTCAAGAATTGAATAGAATTGAGGAACCTTTATACTCATTGGACGGTTTGAAGAGTATAAAGGGGGCAGGAAGCAAAACAATTAAAAGGATACAGGAGTTTGTAGATAAAAAAGTTGTAGAAAGTATAAAGACAGAAGATGATCTTGAGAAATATTCAAATATTCTTTCGCCAGATGCATATGATGAGACGAAGAAAAAGTTAAGTAGTAGAGACATGTTGGGTTATAGCCTTGGGAATGATGCAGATGAGGAAAAGAGGATCCGTATTCCTAGGAAGAGAAAATATGTCCCTGGATATAGAACAGGAAGCTATGGGATAATGAAGGCACTGTGGATAAGGGAGGGGATTACCAAACACGAGATAGCACATATAGGAAGAAATTATTGCGACTCTGAATTTGATTTTACTGCTAGGCACTCTGCTTGGTCATCTATGAAAACATTAACAAAAAAGGGAATTGTGTATAAGGAAGGAAGATCTAAATTCTATCTTACAGATGAAGGAAGAGAGCTAGCAACAACTATGTTTGCGAATACATCTGCCATTGAAGAAGAAGAGGAGGAAGTTACACTTATAATAGATGCTAGAGAAATAAAAAGCAGAAAGTTTAGATTATTTTTCCAAGAATATTTTGAATCGAAGAAAATTAGGCATGATACCCGAATTCTTGAAGTTGGAGATTTCCTTTGGATTAGAGGCGAGAAGGTATGTGGGTTTATAATAGAGAGGAAGAAAGGAAGTGATTTTGTGAGTAGTATAATGGATGGCAGATTCAAGGAACAAAAGAATAGATTAAAAAGTACTGGAATAAAGAAGATCTTTTACATCGTAGAGGGATTGAAGAGCACCCATATGCAAAGCGTGGGGAAGGGGCTTGTGATGTCGTGTTTGGCGACAACGAAACTAGAGGGATTTATTGTTATAGAAACGAAGGACATAACTCAGACGGGCTCTGTTATTCACATGATAGACTGTGAGGTAAGAAAAGGATATGAAAAAGGGCTTGAGGCTCCAGATAGATTAAAGAAGGATGAAGAATGTGAAGAGTACCTAAAGCCCTGTGAGAGTTCTGATGGAGAGATGGAGATGAGTTATGGAAGTTTTATTGACAAGGGCGCCAAAGGAAAAGGGAGAACCCAGACATACTTGCTCTACATATCCCTACTTTCCATTAAAGGAATGGGCCATAAAAAAGCTTGGGCATTGGCTGAGTTTTATAAGACAATTGGGGAATTGATTGGAAAAGTTAAAAACAATGGGCCAGGAAAGCTCTATGAATTTGAGGTGGAAGGAAAGAAGATATCCCGGAAGAACGCCGATGACATAATAGAGTTTTTTCTGAAATGATCTGTGTATGATAATCAAAAATATTTTTCTCCCAGGATGAGTGGGATCAGCGAGAAATTAAAAGGTCTGAAGTTCATGCAAAGAGCAGAGAGAAAGAACAGTAGTGATGGAGAGGTATCATTTTCGACATATTTTTGTAAAAGGAGTATCTTTAACTATAACAACAAACAAAAGATTTATGATCGAGAGGCTCTGAAAAAAGCTAAGAACTGAAAGATACCTTGTATCTTTTATTAAAAATGTGTATGGTTATGCTAATTTTGCCGACCCCTTCCGTGTTAGCTTTGGATGAATGAGGATGGTGTGAATATAAAGGAGCTTATAAGTGCAAGATTTCAGAATCCGAAGTTCGTCTATGATGGAAAGAGGATGAGGGTTTTGCAAGAAAGAAAGGTCGTGGATTACACCTCGGGAATTTGCATCCAAAGGGTGAGAAGAAGATTAGATCCTTTACAAGTTAATACAAGCTTTGAATTGTCTCCCCAGATCCTCAACCTGAAGTCGCCAGAGCTGTGCTATAATGACATCCCTAGCCTGTTTACGACAAAGATTGAGCATATCAGTGTCAATAAAGTTAAATGCCCAGTGAACATTGTTAGATGGACTCCTGATGGGAGAAGATTAATGAGTGGTACAGCCACGGGAGAATTTACACTATGGAACGGGTATGGATGCAATTTTGAAACTATTCTACAAGCACATGAATCACCTGTCAGAGGAATGGCTTGGTCACCTTCAGGATCATTTTTGATTTCTTCAGATAATTTCGGAATAATTAAGTACTGGCATCCATCGATGAACAATATCCAGATAATACAAGGCCATGCAGAAGCAGTGAGAGACCTTTCGTTTTCTCACAACGACAGCAAATTCTGCTCGGCCTCTGATGACTCTACAATAAAAGTTTGGGACTCTATTGAGGCAAAGGAGGAGTCTGTCCTTCGAGGACACAACTGGGATGTAAGAGCTGCACAGTGGCACAAATACAAGTCTCTAATAGCCAGTGCCGGAAAAGATAATCTTGTCAAGATGTGGGACCCACGTACTGCTGAGGAATTGTGCACTTTACACCATCATAAGAATACAATACTAGCCTTGAAATGGATGGGCGATGAGAACTATCTTCTCACAGGAGGAAAAGATCAAGTAATAAAGATGGTGGACATTAGGACAATGGTTGATGTGTTCACTTATAAAAATCACAGGAAGGAAGTTACATCAATAGGAACACATCCCTGTATTCCAGATATGTTTGTGAGTGGAGGTACAGAAGGAGGGATTTATTTTTGGCAAGCATATACTCAGGTACCTTTGGAGGTTATTGAGGAGGGGCATGAAGGCACTGTGTGGTCGTTAGACTATCATCCGGTAGGACACATTTTGGCATCTGGGTCTGTAGACCAAAGCGTGAGGTTCTGGGTTAGGCCAAGACCAGACGAAAATGCTGAAGTTTCTGCTGGAGGATTTGATGATGAAGAAAACAATTCCGATGGCGGTGCAATACCAGGATTGTAGTGATAATGCTTCCCTGTAAGATGCCGGTGAGGCTTTCATGCCGTCTGTTATTAAATATATTTGGCTTCCTATTTTATTTACTGAAGAAAGTTGGATAATACAATTGAGAAAAATAAAAACAAATCCTGAATGATTACAGACCATGAATACGATTTTGTTATTCTGGGGACAGGACTGGTAGAGTGTGCAGTCGGATGCATTTTAGCTGGAAAAAACAAAAAGGTTATTCTAATAGACAGAAACCCGATGTATGGATCTGACTTTGCAACGCTAAGGTATACAGAGTTAGAGACATATTTTCGAAACTTAAATACCATTCCAGAGCTGAAGACCTACGATTCTGAGTTTTCGATAGATCTGACACCGAAGTTGTTTCTTGCAGATAGCAAAATGCTGAAGATGCTAGTCAGATATGGAATTGATGAGTATTTGGAGTTTTGCAGAATTCCTGGATCCTTTCTTTGGAAGAAGAAATTGTATTCTGTTCCAACGAATGAAGCTCAGTCGATGACAACTGGATTGATAGGGATATGGCAGAAGCCAAAGGTCATGAGATTCTTCTGGAATGTTCGGGACTATGCAAGGGCTGCAATGAAGGGAAAGCCATACAAGTTTAAAAACACTATGAGAGAAGAATTCAAAGAATATGGACTTACAGAAGAGTCGATGGAGCTCATAGGCCACGGGATAGCTTTGAATCTTGACGATTCTTATTTGGACAGGGATCCAAGAGAGACGTTTGACAAGATTGTAACATATGTAAGATCGATTATATGCTACGAGAATTCAATGGAGTCGCCCTATTTATACCCAAGATATGGGCTTTCTGAGATTGCACAGGGATTTGCCCGAAGCTGCTGCACAAAAGGAGGAGAAATAATGATAAATGCGGAGATACTGGAAATTAATGAAGAAAATATGGAGATCCATGTTCAAGAGCCTGTTAACAAAAAAGTTCTGAAAATAAAAGCAGGAAAGATAATTTCCGATCAATCTTACTTCCAGAAGAGTGTGGTTTTGTATGAGATTATAAGAGGAATATGCGTGATACGAGGAGATGCCGCTTGCGTAACAAGAGGAGCTTCTTCAGCACAAATAATTTTCTTGAAAGGAGAGTTAGGAAGAAAGAATGACATTTTTGTTGTTATATTGGGACCTGAAGAGAAGTCCACACCCGAAGGATACAAGGTGGCGATTATAAGCACTGTGAAAGAAACTGATGATCCTGAGGGAGAAATAAGAGTTGTTCTGGAGAAGCTGGGGGATATTGTCAGATACTTTGTTGATGTAAAGCCTGTATACCGAGCAGAAGATATGGAGAATATAATCTTTACAAAAGGGGTAGATGAATCCCCGCACTTTGAAGATGTTTATGAAGAGATAGAAAGAATATGCAAAAAGCTAAATGTTTGTGACTAATTGTTATGGTCAGGTTTCTTTTATTCCAAGGGTTTCTACGGTCCTTGCAGCGAAGTTTACAACTATTGGATTTGGTAAGCCCTTATGGAAATAAAGACTGGGCTAGTAGGGAAGGCTCTTTCATCTTGCTACTTAAAGACCAATAAAACATCGGCTATATGCTGCATACATTTTGAACAGAAGGGAGAGACGGATCCCTGGGTTGAGGTAAATTTTTCGGAAATGATTCCCTTGGAGATCCGCTCACCGATTTCCTCTATTGCGAATTCTCTACTTTCATCAAAGGCCCGGTCTACAAAGATTAAGGTATCCTTTCATACTTTGAGGCATGGGGAGGACCTGCTTTCTTGCCTTATCAACTCATTTTCCATATGTGTTATATTATCTGGGATTAGAGTTGTAGATACTATTTGCTCTAGTACAGTATATGCGGGAAAAGATAGGATTGCACTTACAGAGGGACCTGATCTACATTCGCTACACATGGTGTATATGATTCATAGGAAAAGAATCATGCAGGTACATTTTAGTGGGGAGATGGATTTTTCTCTTCTTGCTGAAGCCACTGAGAAGCTTGTTCATAGATGTACTGAGCAAGGAGAGCTGATAAGGTCTAAAGTAGAGGGGGTTGCGAAGGATATGGTGAATAGATGAGGCTTTTAGATTCTACCACTATGATGAAATGAGGGAATTACAAAATCCCCAATATGAGTCCAAAGGAATCTGAGAAGAAGGAAGAAGTTGGGGCAAAAAGAAAAATTTTTGTGGTGGTTGGAATGGCAGGAAGTGGGAAGACAACCTTTTGCCAAAGACTATACTCATGGATCTCCCAGGATAATTGCAGAGTAAATCCGGATACTGGATTGAATTCATACATATACTCAATCAACTTGGATCCTGCAGTTGTGAATGCAAAGATGCCTTTAAATCTTGATATAAGAGATGTTGTGGATTATCACGAGACGATGGAGAAATATAATCTAGGGCCTAACGGTGGGATTACTACATGCTTGAACTTATTCCTTTTGAATATCGGGGAGTATATTGACAAGATAAAGGAAGAATATGTTATTATAGATACTCCTGGGCAAATTGAGGCATTTACATGGTCATCTCCAGGGTACATGCTTATTGAGACACTGAAGACCATTGGAAACGTTATCCTCGTATATGTAGTTGATTCTGTATCTTCGCACAAACACGCTGTATTCATTTCAAACATGATGTATGCAGCTTCCTTGATGTGTAGGTACGAGGTTGAGGCACTATGTCTCTTCAATAAGAAGGATCTATCTAGGAGTGAGGTTCTTGAAGAGTGGATCTCTGATTATGAAAGCTTCCGGGATTCATTGAATGAAGACAACATATTTTCTCCTATTTTGGGGTCAATGGCTCTTTACTTTGAGGAGTTTTACAACTCGGTAAAATCTGTATCTATTTCTTCACATACAGGGAGCGGAAGGTCTGATTTCTTCGATGCTGTTAACCAGCTACTAGAAGAGAAGGATACTTAAGAGAATAAAATGATGATACAATATCTCAAAGTTTGAGCAAAAAAGGAACCAAATTTTTACGATTTTGAATCCCCAGGAGCTTATGAAAGCTAAGGATAGGAGGAATCGAACCAGGATGAAGACCATTGATAGTGTTGCGAAGATAAAGGAGTCGAAGACTGTGTATTCGCTGCCCAATGGACCCTACATGGTGGTTTCTATTGTTTCACTAGGAGGAGACTGCGGAAACTATTTTGACAAATACTTGCATGGAGAAGGGGGATTGTTCTTTTCGGAAGAGCATAAGATGAATTTCTTATTTAAGCCTACAGACGAGCTTAATGAACTTCAATTAGGGTATACTTGTAGAGCAAGTGATGTAGTGGTGTTTTTTGTCAATTCCAACGAATTGGAAGACAGCAGGCTTAAGATAATCAAGAAGTTTGTTCCAAGCTGCTTGTTTTGCATAGCCAATCAAGGCCTAAAAGATACAGCTAAAAGGTTTATAAAGAAGCATTTCCCGAAGGAGCGACTAGTTGAGATAGATGAATTGATGGGAGCTTTAAGCAATGTGAGAATTAGAAATACGTCTGTTTGTAAAAGACCATACATTGTACCAAACAAAGTTTATTGCGATGGAGAGTACTTCTATGTTGAAGGGTTCCTGAAACGTGGGTTCCTAACTGACAAAGTGATTGTCAATGGGCGATATGAGATGATCATTGAAGAAGTTCTTGGTGATAGAGTATATAAGGGGGGTGATTTGTGTTCAGGGACTGATCTTAGAGGAACTTTTCACACCGATGTAGAGAGGTCAGAGGAGGAATATGACTCCGAATCCTTGACATCTGCTTGCAATGATTCTGATGTAAAGGAAAATGATTCTGATGATGAGTCTGTCATAGAGGATGAATCGTCTGGAGAAGATCGTCCCTCGCTTATAGATAAGTATTCTGGGTATAGAGGAATAAGAAACCTTTCTACGTGCAACTTTAGATCATGTAATTTTCCAGAGCATTACAAAAGACTTGTATTTTTTGACGACTTCAAAAGAGCTGAGAAGCTTGTTAGCGGACAGAACAGTATAATTCCCAATAATCAGATGGTAAGGATAAAGCTCAGATATGAAGGGCTTCTTGAAGAGCAGATATGTGTGCTATTTGGATGCTATGAATATGAGGATCAGAAGACAATACACAACTTTTACTTTGAGGGGCAAGAGGCATTAGGGGAGGAAGACATGGTTGTTGATCTAGGGCATAAGATTATTAATGTACGTCCGATGATTACCCGGAATTTAAACCACAAGGTTTTCAAAAGGCAAAAAGAGCTTGAATCTGGAGTTATCAGCTTTATTGGGCCGATTGCTTTTGGATTATCTAGAGTTCTCATATACAAAAAATCTGTACTGGGAGAGTTGTCTGCATCAACATTTGCTTCGGTTGGAATGAACGGGTTTGTAGGAGATAGAATTATTTTTGAAGAGGCAGTGCTCCAGGGAATACCATTCAGGAATAAGAAGAGGTACAGCCTTGTCAAGCGTATGTTCAGTAGCAAGGAGGAGGTCATGTACTTTCGAAACATTCAGCTATACATGCGGAACAAGAAGATTACGGGATTTATTAAGAAGCCCATAGGAACAAAGGGAACATTCAAAGGATATTTCACCCAGCCTATAAAATCTGGAGATAAGGTGATGATGTCTCTATACAAGAGGGTTTTTCTGGAAAACCAATAAACATTATCCCAACGTTATTTTAAAGCTTGATTTTTGCTTCCCTGAATGAAAACATATATCAAGGAGAAGAGGTTAGGAGAAGGGACATATGCAGTAATATATCTTGGGTATAGAGCTCTTCCTCAAGACAAGCCTTTTGTGAACACCGGGACAAGAATAGAAGATACTCCAGTGGCGATAAAGAGAGTAAAGCCGACAAAGTACACACAGGGGCATGAGATAAGTGCTATAAGGGAAATCAAGGCCCTGAAGAGAATAAGTAGTAAATATGTTGTTAAGCTATTGGATGCTTTTATACACGATAAGTGTGTTCACATAGTTTTAGAATACGTTGAGACCAATCTTGAGAATGTAATAAGAAATACCGATAAAATTATCATGCCTGGGGATATCAAGGCATGGATGCTAATGATATTGAGGGGGGTTTATGAGTGCCATAAGCTATTTATAATCCATCGGGATATCAAGCCGAACAATATACTTATTACAGCTGAGGGAATGGTTAAGCTGGCAGATTTCGGACTTACTAGGGGGATAAGAAATAAAATGACACCACAGGCGGTGACTAGGTGGTACAGAGCACCGGAGCTTCTCATGGGATCGAGGGACTATGGAAGCCCTTCTGACATGTGGTCTGTAGGATGTGTATTTGCGGAGTTATTTTTGAGGGTTCCTTTATTTGGAGGTGACACAGATATTCACCAATTAGATATGATCTTTAGAGCTCTTGGAACACCTACAGAAAAGGAATGGCCGGGAGTATCCACCCTACCTGAGTTTCTTGAGTTTCAGCAGTATGCCAAGATATCCTTAGGTTCTCTATTTTCAGCAGCATCTTCTGATGCATTAGATTTGTTAGAAAGGCTTCTTACTCTAAATCCATGTAATAGAATCAACTGCGATGATGCCATAAAGCATCCCTACTTTAAATCGCTACCTCTACCTACACCCATAGGAAAGTTACCTGTGTAAGGAATTGTGGCCTAATGTACCATGAATGCTGATATAACCATCGATTTATACCGACATGCAAAGGATCTAAATCAAATGGTTATAGCGCCCTTTTATTAATCGCATTTGTCTAAAAACAAAAAACCCTTCAAATAATATGCACTCAAGAGATTTTGCATCCCAGGCCATGCATCAGGCAAGCAAGCAGTTTCCAAAAGCATTTGAGGGGCAAAGGAGACCAAAGATGAAAATTCCAGACTTTCCTTTGGAGTTGGAGAAAGACCAGGCGTCTTTTTTCTCTTTCGATACATCGATTCAGCCACCTCCACTTAGCACAACAAATTGTTTCATCACAGAGACAACAAACACGGATCCCAACTTACTAAGGTCCACCATGTATACTCTTCCTACGGACACAGATACGTTTGAATCTATGGAAATTCCCTTTGGGCTTGTCCTCAATCCATTTAACCAAAAAGCCATGGCTACCGAGCTAGATAAGGAGATTTCAGTAAGGTGTTGGCAATGCCAAAGTTATGTCAATATATTTACTAGGATAGAAGGAACCGTTTTCTATTGTAACATTTGTGATTCAAAAAATCAAGTAAAGGAAGGAATAAGCAATGAGGTTACAAGATACTCCACAATAGAATATGTCACTAGAACAAAGAATGTAAAGGTTGGAAATGCCGAGCTAGGGAATATGGTTTCCGAAAATTTGTTCAGAACTACTATAGCTCATGGGCCAGTGTTCATTTTTGGGGTTGATACAACTGTTCCCACATTAATGGAGCATGCTGTGAAGGCTATTGGATATCTTATAAAGGATGAAAACTTCCGATTTCTGTTTAAGAAGATAGCTGTTGTTTTGTTCTCTGATGCCATCTCATTAATCAAGGCATCTGGAAGGATAATTACTGAGGTTCTATTATCTGACAAACTTCAACTTCCATTTATTTCTCCGGAATTCCTAATGGATGTCGAAGATAACGAGCTTATGGACTTATTGATAGAACATACTACAAAGATGCCTGTGGGCAAAGGAAACCTCAAGAATGGGTTTAATGATTGCTTAAAAGTTAGTATTTCCATAACAGGATACTGCAAAGGGTCGAAGATGGCAGTATTTACCAATACTCAGGAAAAACTAGAAGAAGAGGAGATAGCAAAACAGCTCATTGAAGTGGGGTGCTCACTGAGTGTCTTTTCAATGCAAAAGACGCCAGCATCCAGGCTGTGTGCTCTAACTACTGGTAGAAGTTTTATATATACGTCTGAAACCCTTTCGAAGCTAGCGACTGACTTGATGAATTTAGGGACTATGAAAAGCTCTTATAAGGTAAGGGTTGAAGCAAAGACTTCTGATGCCATAAGAAAATTAAGCTTCTACGGAAATACTGCTTTTGAGCATCTTGGGTTTCAAGATTTCGCACAAATGGATGATAAAACCACATTTGGAATAACCTTCTCTCTCGAAGAGTCTCTGAAAAATAAGTCTAAAGTGTATGTTCAGATGATACTAAGCTTCTACTGTTTTGACGGCTCAAGCCGAGTTCTTGTTATGAATACCAGCTTTGAAGCTTCATCAAGAATCTCAGAGGTTTATGCAGGCCTTAGCTTTGACACCCTATCATGTATATATGCAAAATATATAGCAATGGACGAAAACACTGTCAAAGAACATAGCAAGAAGGTTGAAAACTCCATCAGCCGGTCTCTCAAATACTATAGAAATAGTTGCTGTAAAGAAGCATCTAGCTCTCAATTTGTTCTTCCAGAATCTATTAAGCTAATTCCTCTTATATACCAATCCATGCTGAAGAATAGCTGTTTCTCTAATAGCGCAAGCAGAGATAGCATATCTCAAGTAACAGGCTTTACTGTTGAACAAAACCTCAGGTTTTTTTATCCACGGCTGTTTGCGTTTACCGACTTCTACATAGACAAGTCTCTGGATAAGATCAAGGCCCTTAAGCTTACTGCCGAGTCCCTTAACTCCGAAGAAATCTACGTCTTGGACAATTCTCAAAAGATATATATTTACATTGGAGAAAACGTAGATACATCCTTAAAAGAGGCTATATTTACAGACAAGACAGAGGAAAATGAGGTTCTACGTAAAATGATTGAAGAATTCTACTCCTATTACGATAGCGAGCTACCAGTTGTATTTGTGGAGGAAGGAAAGGGAGGGCCTGAGGTTGAATTTATCGGATATTTAGTTGAAGACAGGCTTAATAACATACCTTCTTACCCGGATTACATATGTGAGCTTCATTTCAAAGTTAAAAATGCCTGAAGGCGGTGGTCCTTTCAAGGGGGAAAAGAAAGTGTTAAGTAAAGTCATGAAATAGCTTTTAATTAGTCGTCTTTACACCTCTTCATCCTTTTGTAAATCTTCTTCAAGTGATGCAGCATGGATCAAGATTATTATACCACAGATTGCGGATATCGCGAGAAGCCCTACTATTGCTTCCTTGAAGAATATAAAAAAGATAAGGATCCCAACAATCCCAGCTATACATACAGACCTTGGTTCCATCTCAATATTAAACAGTGTTGGCTTAGTCTTGTAAGCATACGCTGTAATGGAAATAATTCCAATAAGAATAATTAGCTCTAAGCGGTACAAAACATATATTAGTGTAAGTATGCTTGCCATTGCAAAATAATGGAATTTAAATCTATCAAGATTAGTGAGGATTCTCCTTTTTGCATCGTTTAAATCACGCGGGACAGAGGCCTTGCGTATGTTAAAGAAGTCCTTTGCTACATGCTTGTTTCCAAGAGCCTCCTTGATATTTTTTTGGAAAGTTTCCTCTTCTTGTATTCCTCCTTGCATGTTTTCTGAGGGCTCTTCGCTTAACTACTAAAGATTCATCTTTGTAATGTTTCAAAAATGATTGATTTAAAAGAAACACACCCATTACCAATAAAATTTTACTCTGAGAAGCATTTGTTATGAGTCCTCCAATCAAATCTTCTCCCAAATGGAGTTAGTGATTTCAAACATGGAAGCACTCGAACCGACATCAATTGTAAAAACATCACTCATTTTCTTGTTCTTTATCCGGCAATATTTTCTTCCATCTCCCTCAAGAAACTCAATTCCAAATCCTTTAACAATTTCAAGGTATATTTCATTAAAGGAAGGCCTTGAAAGGGTACGCAGTCTTTCTTCTTTTTCTTGAATACTTTTATCTGCCATAATGATACCTACCTTTATTTTTTCGTTTTCGTCCTCAAGCTCAACTATCTTCTTAGCAAGCTTTAACTTTTCATTATTGATCTCTATGAATGCATCATTTTTTTTACTGTGGGTATAGGAGTATTTTCTTACTTCTCCTTCAAGCTGAATATTCTTTTTTTTAAAAAGCTGGACATTGTCTTGGAGAGCCTTAGTCACCGTCTCCATTTTCATCCTTTCTTCTTTTCTTTGGCTGTCCAAAGCCATAAGTATGTTCTTTTCTGCAGGGTTTTTGAACTTCTCACAAAGATCTTGTAGCAATGTCTTTGTTTCCTCCATCTGGGTATGCTTTTTTCTCATCTCAGGTACTCGTACGATCCATGGTCCCTGTAAGACGGCGTGGGGATGGGTATTCAGGTTGGATGGCCGAGTGGTCTAAGGCGCTGGCTTAAGGTGCCAGTCTCTCAGGAGGCGTGGGTTCGAACCCCACTCCAGCCACTTTTTCCTGCCCAAATTAATTCATTTTAGTTCAGGGAAAAATGTATTTTAATTTAATATCTCAAGCACAATGCCACAATATAAGAACCATTAGTTTATTGTTTCAAGGAAGCAAGTCTCTGGCGTCCTCATAAGTTATTTTCGAATGGATGCTTCCTTGAACCATGTCCTTACTAATCCTTACGTGAGCTTTTGGATATTTTGAGTTGATTTTTTTTATCAAATCTTCATTATCTGATACATTTGCAGCTATCAAGCATTCTTCCCCAATATACGTATAAACAATACATTCGACATCATGTTTTGCTGCTTCTCCGCAAAGAAGGCCTATGAATCTGGTGAGGTCTTTTCTAGTGCACGACTCTGTTGGGTGGTAGTAGTAAATCATATTTCTGGCATTTGAGCCTGAAACATTTTTGCTTTCAGCTATCAATCCAGTGATTTCTTTTTTATTCTTGGCATATTGGGCCCGGCTAAGTTCCTCCCCCTTCTTTTTGTTTTTTTGGTTTAGTGCTTCGACCTTCTGTTTGTAGAATAATGGGATTGCCTTATCAACGTTGACAACCTCTCCGATACTAAGCTTACTCAGATAAGACTCTGCTTCTTCATCGAGCTCTTGGGCTTTCTTCCCCGTCACTGCAACTATTCTTCGTGTATTAGCTGACACCCCTGTCTCATTGATAATCCTGAATCTCCCTATGTCTGAAACATTGGTTACATGTGTCCCTCCACACATCTCTTCAATAACTAATCCATCATTTTTCATCGTTATGACCCTCACCTCCTCAGGATATTCTTCATTCCTCATCCTAACGATGTTGGGATTCTCCAAAGCTTGACTCTTTTCCAAAATAATAGATTCAACTCTCGCATTACTCTTAATGAATTCATTGACTTTTTTTTCTACCTCCTCTAGTTCCTCATTTGTTAACTTTCTTCCCTCGAAATCAAATCGTAGCTTGTCTGGATCAACGAGGCTTCCACGTTGCTCAGTCTTGATTATGGTACGAAGAAAGAAGTTCAGTAAGTGTGTTCCTGTATGATTTCTCATTGTTCTTCTTCTTAGTTCGTAGTTATATGTTTGTAAGGCTTGGAATGATGCACTTCCTTCCAGAGTTCCTTTGTGAACAACGAATCTCTTGATTGCCTGAGTATCTGTAACATTGAAGACTCCAGTGATTTTCTCTCCATCATAAAAAGTTATTTTTCCTGTGTCTCCAACTTGGCCTCCACATTCCGCATAAAAACAAGTCTTGTCAAACACAAGTCCAACTTCTGTCTTTTCAGGTATTTCACTTGGTTCAGTTACAATATCTTTCCCTACAATGGCGAAGAGAAGTACAACATTTATATTATTCTTTTCATACTTAGAAGAATCGTCTGTAGGTGGAAACTTGGAACACATGTCCATATCAATACTAATCTTCATTCCCTTAGACTTCTTGCTGACTTCAATTGCTTTTTGCCTAAAGTTTTCGAAGTTTGTATAATCGATCTTGATGTTCCTTTCCCTAGCCATCAACTCTGTCAAATCAATAGGAAATCCATATGTATCATACAGTAAAAATAAGTCCTCTCCACTTATTTTGTCATTATTCTCCACAATCTTATTGAATCTCTCAATTCCTTTTTTTAAGGTTTTCATAAACAAAGCCTCTTCTCTGCTCACACAATCAGCCGATTCTAGATCTATTCCTATTGTACCCGCTGCAATCCGCACCAGCTCTTCAAGAACCCCTTCCTCCAATTTCAAAACCTCGTGTGCATATCTAACAGCTCTGCGCAGAATTCTCCTCAGTACGTACCCTACTCCATCATTGCTGAAATCAACCTTGTCATGAATACAAACGGCTATGGTTCTGCAATGGTCGGCTATGACTCTAAAGGCAACATCCTCGCTTTCCTCAGAATCCTTATACTTGGAAGTGCAACATCCTTCTATAGCCTTGATTATTGTGGAAAAGCTATCTATCAGGTAATTGGACTTGACATCAATGAGTATGCTCAAAAGCCTCTCCAGCCCTATCCCCGTATCTATACACTTTCTTTCAAGAGGGACAAGCCCTGAGGCAGTCCTATTGTATTCTATAAATACAATGTTCCAAATTTCAATGACATTGGGGTCGTCTTTGTTCACTAATTCGGAGGCATCCCTATTCCCGATCCTATCATAGTGTATCTCTGTACAGGGCCCGCATGGACCCGTATCCCCCATCTCCCAGAAATTGTCTTTGTATGAAGCTGGAATGATCCTGTTAGAGGGAAGATACTTGAGCCATATTCTTCGGCTCTCCTTATCTAGCTCGTCATAATACGTGACATATAATTTATCCTTGCTTAATTTAAGTATCCCAACTAAAAACTCCCAGGCAAATCCTATTGCTTCTTCCTTAAAATAATCTCCAAATGACCAGTTCCCCATCATTTCAAAGTATGTATGATGATATGTATCCTTCCCCACATCATCTAGATCATTGTGCTTCCCTCCTGCCCTGATGCATCTTTGCACACTACAGGCTCGGCGCAGGTCGTTTCTCTCTCCAAGTAAGTTTTTCTTAAACTGGACCATCCCACTGTTTGTAAAGAGCAAGGTGTCATCTTCATAAGGAATTACAGAGCTTGAGCTTACAACTTTGTGTGACTTCGAGGTAAAATAATCTAAAAACGATCGGCGTAGTTTTTCAGTTGTCCACAACATTAGGGCTCAAACTTTCAATGAATAGATATTTATTTTTCTTGCTAATACAAAGCCTACGCCACCCTAAGTAGGCTTGAATGTCTTTGGTGTCACTATCTGATTCTTCCAGATAATTCATTTCTTATTTCTTTCAGGAGCAATATAAGGCTTTTTGGACACATCCCAGAATCCAAAAGCTTATACATTTGGTCAATTATATCTTCACTGAAATGCAGCTTCAACTCATTGGCAAATTCCAATATGCCCTTGTATACATCTTCCATTCTTGTAAGAAAACAATGTTAGGGCTCCTTTTAAAACTTTTCTTGGCAAATTCGCGCTGATAGAGTAGAATTGCTTTATTTATTTTGCCTACTAATCTCCGCCATTCTTTCTAAGTGTTCGCTAGTTGGTAATGCCGTAGAGCCTTGGATTTCTCTTCCTCCAAAGCTATAGTCAAAGTCCTTTTCAATGACAAACCGTATATCGCTACTGTCCACAACACTCTTGCCTTTGTGCTTGCATAGCAATGCAGATCTGTGTATTATGTCTGATAGGAACTTCTCCGTTAAAAGCTGAAGATTTCTCATTACCTCCTTGTCAATCTTTTTGTTACAAAGCCTCAAGAGTTTCTTTGGACAAAGAAAGTGATGATCGATGTTCATTTTGGGGATGCAAAACATGGCAAAGCTATTTCCCCTTCATTCTCAAATAGCGAAAATGAAGGATAGAATACAGGAAATAAAATATACAGATGAGATGGATTACATCGTTGAGGGTCTGGATAATGATGAAATAGATGAATCTTTGAGGTTGGTAATTGATTCAATAACTGATGAAAGATTCAAGACCTATATGAAAGAGTCTAGGCACCTGGAAGAAATGATCCAGATAATGTCCAGAAAGAAAATATCAGTGTCTGCATCCAATATGATACTAGAAATATTATTCCAGGTATTCAATCCGTACTCGTTTGTTGACTTTGAAGGGTTGTTTAGAATTTTGATGGTGATATTTGATGGTCTTCTGATGGAAGGCACATTATTCGATGCTTCTTCTTGTATAAAACCAAAAATAAAATCCATAATAGAGTTACTCGGGAGAATCCCAATCAAATGGTACCCTGGACTTTCTAAATCCATCGAGCTTAAAAAAATAGTATTTATTTTGCAAATATGTATGAGTAAAAGAATAGTTAAGTGGAATGAGTTTCTACTTTCTCTTTTGATGGAGTGTCCTGAGTTTGAACTAAGCGAAGACTTTATTAGAATTTTATTAAGGAAAGGAAGAAACTATGAAATATTAGCAAACTATACAACGCTTGAGGCAAATGTTGGGAGATTGTCTTTAAGTCCGAGTTTCAAGGAGTGCCTGAAGAAAGCTGTTCTAAGAGAGTTTGTAAAAAGCAAAGGCCCCAGAATCCTTGGGTATATGAAGAGAGAAAGTTCTTCATATGCAGTTCCATCCATTCCAAGGCACAAAAGAGAAGAAATGAGGATTTTGAATAGAAGAAAATATCTGATGATAATACTCATCAATCTGATTTCCAGGAACTTCTGTTTGGATATTCCTTTAGACTTAATTGTAAGAGCCTACCATACAGTAGATGAAGTAACAAGATGTTATATGGCCTTATTTCTTCTCATTTTTGTCCAAGATTCAGAAAAAAACAGTATTCAGAATGCGTATATTGAAGACCTTAAAAAGAACGCAAGATGTCTGATTTTTGATTGCAGTGCATACCTAAACGAGGATGTTCTAAGCAAGATTGTCAAAAAATCTAGCTAATCTCGTTGCGAAGAACCACAAATCTTACCTGTTATGAATATATGTTTCTTATTTCTGAGTATCTGTGTGATTTATTTTGTTGTATTTTAAACCCCAGGCATGGAAGAGAAATCCCTAATTCAAGATGATAAGGAGGTTGCAAGAGAACTATTTACAATGATCAAGAGAGACACCACTGCTATAGAGACGGGGCTTGATGAAAATATTAGTGGGGTAGGAACGGATAGAGGAAAGCTCTTAGTTGCAGAGCAGTTCTCAGATATGGGGTTATCAGATGAGCTTTTAAAGGCTATATATAACAAAGGATTCGAAAAGCCTAGCTTAATTCAAAAATCAGCAATACCTCATATTCTTAGAGGACATAACGTTGTAGTTCAAAGCAAAAGCGGGACCGGAAAGACGATAGCTTACACTTGTGGGATCCTTGGAAACACAAGGGCTGGGGAAGGAACCCAAGCATTAGTAGTTACACCCACCAGAGAGCTAAGCACACAGGTTACCGAGGTTATTTCGGGTCTAGCCAAATCCCTTGGAATGAAAGTTTTTTCAGCATTGAAAAACAAAGCTACGGACTCTGTTATGGGAGAGATTGTTGTTGGAAGCCCTGGAACTATTCTGAAGCTCATTGATCTTGGAAAACTGAATCATAAAGAGATTAGGACTATAGTCCTTGATGAGGCAGATATTCTTCTTGATAAAGACATGATGGGAACACAGACCTTCAGGATACTCAAGCTTGTTTCTGGGGCACAGATTGTTTTCTTTTCCGCAACATACTCTGAACAAGTTAAGCAAACAATTGAATTTTATGCGCCTGATGCAATCAAAATGTATGAGGAGCGTAACGGAAAGCCAGACGAAATTAAGTTATTCTACATAGAATTAGAAGGGGACAACAAAAGAAAGGCATTGAAGTCTCTTTATGAATATCTTTCAATTAGTCAAATGATCATATTTGTAAGTTCAAAGGCAACAGTCAATTACTTGAGGAAAAAATTAGAAGATGACTTGCATTCTGTGTCATGCTTGCATGGCGACTTAGAGATTGAGGAAAGAGAGAGAGCTGTTGAAGAGTTTAGATCTTCGAAATCCAAGATCCTTCTTACAACAGATGTCTTCTCAAGAGGGATGGACATTCCACAAGTCAATCTAATTGTTAACTATGACCTTCCAATATACAAAGGAATTGCATCGACACAAACCTATATCCATAGGATAGGAAGGTCCGGAAGGTTTGGAAGGACAGGGTTTGTAGTGGATTTTGTTCGGGATGAAGAACTAGAAGGATATCTAAAATTCCAAAAAGAATTAAAATTTGCATCGAAGAAATTTACAATTAGGGCGCTTGAAGAGATTGCAGCAGAGCTTGGGTAGTAAATAAACATCTTGATGAAGACTTAGAAAACATAAGAACTCAGTTACTTTGGCATAACATGTACACATTTATTCTAAATAAAACTTTTGATTACCAATAACTTAAAAATTAATTCTTTAGTCCTTAGAATGGAGAATCCAGAAGATGATTTTGTGCCAGACTTCACACATTTAGCCACTATAGGAGAGGTATCAGATAGGAACAGCTTGGTTAAGCAGGTGGGGGGCATTGCATATATTTCTGTTGGTAAACAGCTCAATGGATGGAACATAAGATTTTCTGAAATTGAAAGAAGTATACCTACTCTTAAGAAAAAAATAACCAGCTTTGACTTTTCTGATGATCTGCTGGTCATAGGTTATGAAAATGGAGCAGTCCAAATACATTCAGAAGAAATAATATCGTTTCGGCCTCATTCCAGAAGAGTCACAAAGATTACAAAGATTGGCGACTATATTTTATCTTCATCTGCAGATGGTAGCATCATTCTGTACGACATAATCGGAGGAGAAGTTAGAGTATCCTATGAAGGAAATGATATATGCGTCGAAGGATTTTTCTCCGACTCTAAAATAGTTGTTGGTGTTTGCGCAGATAATACATTAAGAATTTGGGATTTTGAAGATAAGCATATAAAAAGCTTGCACATGTTTGAAAAGCCCATAAAGGATGTTTTTGCTGTCGGGGATGAAGCAGTAATATTCTTCAAGGATGGTGAGTGCATTTACTATGATTTGGAAGACAAGACGTCCCGCCCTTTCAATAAGTTTAAGAAGTTAAGGAATATAAAAATAAAGGAAGACAAAGTGTTTCTTCAGAATAAAAGCAAGTTACACATTTACGAGATAAGCAGAAGAGACAGGATTATACTAAAGCATCAGGAGACAGTAAAGATCAGCGATAGATATTCTGATTTTGATACAACATCAAACGGTGGATTTGTATTCGCTGCTATTGATAACTGCTGGGAATACGTTGAGGATGGAAGGGCATACTCATTTGGATTTCACAGGAATGAAATCCTGGGGCTTGAGGTTTGTGGAGAAAAAGGAATTACGTTTTCTAAAGAATGCATAATGTTCTGGATGTTAGATAAGAAGACGATGAAAAGAATTGGAAGCATACAGATAAGGAACGGAAAGTGTATGTGCGTATGGAATAACTGCGTCGTTGTCGGGGGGAATGAAGGATTCTCTTGCTATTCAATCTTGAATTACGACCTGATCAGAGAGGAAAGTATAGGGCCGGTCTCATCAGTTTTCCCTGGCACTGAAGAGTTAATTATCGGAAAAGACAATACCATTCTGTTCTACGATAACTCGTACAAAGTTCTTAAAACACTGGATGTAGAAAGCTCCATATCATCCATAGAAATATCGAAAGATGGCTCTTTGTTGTGTGTAGGCCTCTTGAATAGCAAGGTGCACATATATAACATGGACGGATTGTGTTTAAAGGTTGCACTTTACGGACATGCTCTGCCGGTCAGGTCAATGAAGTTGTCATTGGATAACTCTGAGATTCTGACCTGTGGTGCAGACAAGACAGTCAAAATGTGGGGAACACAATTTGGAGAATGCAGGAAAAGTTTTATAGGTGATTCGAAAAGCGTAGAATACTTGAACAAAGACTTATTCATGTTTGCCTCTGGCAGAATTCAATACTTTAGGAGATATGAAAAGCTTAAGGAATTCAAATATCATGAATCTAATCTGCTAAAGATAAGAAAAGACTTAATGATTTCGTGTGGAAGGTTCAATATAGATCTTTACGGTATGAATAAGTACGAATTCCAGAAAGGAGAGCAAGAGGAAAGCGATGAGGAAGAAGTTATGAAAGTGGCTAAGATAATGAACTGTAAGTTATATGACAGATTCTTGATGGGGCTCGAAGAACTATCCAAAAACCTTTCTGATGACAACATTAAGACTTTTTTCAATGTTTTGATGGATATAGACTTTTGTGAGCTTGATAGATTTTTATGCTTGATGAACTCCCATGATGTTATTCTCATTATAGATGTGTTGCATGAATGTCTTCATTGGAATGCCATATTGGCTTCGAGAGTATTTATTTCTCTGGTCAGGTTGCATAAAGACATATGCATTTCTCACCCAAAGTTCAAGACCTTCCTTTGGACCATTACAGATAGTATAAAAGATATTGGAAGTCAAACAGGCAGAAATGAAGCAAATCTTCTTGTGCGAAAAGCAATAGCTAGCCAAAAGGCTCTTGATATCGAATAAATTATTTTCAGAAGTAAAAATACTTACCAGCCAATAATGATATGAACGTAGAAGCCACTCATGTATTTAGCCTCTAGTGCATAATCAATTGTAGCAGATCTTCTGTAGCTTGTGAATATGAAGTATTCTTATTGATGTGATGGCCATCTAGATTGTTCTTTTAAATATCAAGGAGGATACAACACTGGAAAAAGCATATAATAGATGATTGTATTCATTAGTAACAATTGAGATAATGTTGTATTTACTGTAGATGATTCCAAAGGGTCTTCAGAATAGTGGGCAACAGGATATGAGTATAGGG